TTCTATTTGGACGATCTTGGCATTCAAGGCTTTGGGCATGGACCACTTCTGTTCCAAGCCTAAATGGTTCTTTTTTCTTTTTTTTTTAGGTATTGGGTTCTTTCTTATTGGGCTTAGACCTCTCACCCACTGAAAGTCTGGACTTAAAACAATTTTGGCATTTACCCTTTAATGAGCTAAGCCTGAAACTAATAAAAAGAAATTATTCATAATCATGTAAACATCATAAAGAATGAAAAACATAACATTTTTGCAATATCTTTGATGCATTCTTTTTCCACATATCTCAAATTGACAGCAACATCTGTAGTGATTTCTATAATAAGAATTTAACCACAAGGAGGTTAATCTCATTTATTAAACTTAAGGCCAGACAAATATGCCTTTTTCTAATTGAGAATAAATAAAAACTTGATCATTTATGCTACAAATATTGTAAATTTTATGGTTGTGGCTGATTTAGTTTCATCAAAACATTTTTGAGTTCTAAAAACTCAACACATACTGTTTATGTGGTGACATTGATGACCAGAACTTAATGTTCATTATTGTGTTTTGTCATTCTAAGAAACGGTTGTTAAAAATATATTTTAGATTTTGCTTTAATGATTGATCATTTAAATCTTTATTCAATGAAAAAGTTGAGCCAAATAGAAAGGTTGGCTTTTAGATTATGTCATCTGGTTGAGAGTTTAAAGAAAATATCAAAATAAGACATTATTTAGTATAAGTGTTCAAAACATTTGGTGGGGTATGGGCGGCACACACGTGTTGTGACTAATTAGATTGATGTGGGGTCTGCTTCGTGTTATTTAATGTGGCTAGACTTTTCAGGCACCGCATTAAATATCCCCATTTAATGCAGGAGAGGATGACTTCGGCTGAGGAGAGAGAAACGGTCCGTTCGCGGAGTGATTCTCACGGACGGAGCGGCCCATTAATGGGCGGACTGGGAGAAACAGAAGAGGAGACGGTCCAAACTGACCGAAACGGCCCATACGTGGCGCTTTCCTGAGGTCATGGCGTGGGTACGTTTCACGAGGTTTACCCACGATCGTCTCTTTCTCGGTGAGCTCGGCCCAACCTTACTCATTTAAGAAGTTAGGAATAGGAATTACCTCCGCTCTCCGAGTGGACAGTGTAAGTAGAGAGGAGGCCACCGGTCCCCAACACTCAACCTTGTTTGGTTTTGTAAAACAACACGAGAAATAAGATGGAGCGACGTGGAGGGGAGATTAGAAAAGAAATGAATCGTAGTATATGAATAGAAGCTTTCTGTCACCACAGCTTAAATAGTCACCAAAATAATATAAACACCAAGTGATATAAAAGCAAAACAATCTAACTGAAGAAGTAAGAAATATCATAGACCAATCTGGGATAGTGTTGCAACGTGTAACAACGTACTCATAATACTTGTGATCTCTAAATTGACCCAAGTGAAAATAGAGTAAGAGAGTAAGCAAAGATATAAGAGTTATATCACCCAGTTCATAGTATTTAGACTCTCCTACTAGATCCAACATAGAGAATGTTGTTAATCAGATTTTCTAGTAAAGATAATAGTACTCATGATATATTATTGTCTTATTCCCACGTTACTTATCTTTTCGTGTTTTGTTGTAACTTTCATAGACTGTAATCCACAGCAAAAAAGCAATATTAAAGACACAATTAAACCAAAGGATTCAGACTCCCCCTTTTTGCGGCTCGACAGCCGTTGACTCTTGGGCACTCATATATAATCAGGGAGGAAGAGAGCAGGTCTGACAAGGATGAGTCCTGTGCCCATTAAATGGGCAGATGCCCAACACAGGCTCCTCCGGAATGGTTGAGACTCCGACTTAACAGCGCTGGCAGAGAAGAGGCCACCGTGCCCCCACGCTCGGGCCTACCTTCGGTTCTGTAAACAACATGAGAAACAAGATGGGGAGACATGGAGGGGAGACTCCTCCTGAATGGTTAAGGAGACTCCGACTTGAGAGCGCAGGCAGAGAGGAGGCCACCGGCCCCCCACTCTGAGGAGCTCATAAGCTCATTGGCCTCCTTTTTTTCATCCCCGAAATCGACGAACTGAGATTTCACGCGGGCGTCTTGTGGAAGCCACGCTTGAACCGCCGCCTCCTTTCCCACTGACCGGTACAGGTCGAACACAGACCTCCCAACCTCTCGTTCTTGCCTCATTCACGGCACTGAGAGACGGCCCTCCTTGACTTTCCCCTCAGCCGCCAGTTGTCGTTTCGGTTCTTGTTTATTCGTGAAGTACTCGTGGATGGTTCCAAAACCGACAACCCGACGAGCTCAATCGGCTCAGAATACGATCGTCGACGGCGGCCGGCCCCCGTGATTACGACGTAGTTTATGTTGTGAACAAATAGGGGCTACATAGCAAGGGAAACATGGCCGAGTCTATCGCGTGAGAAAGCGATGCCCCGTCGTCACTGCGGAGTTGGTGCAGTGGTATGTCATCCTCATCGATGTTCTTGTGACTTGGTTTCTCGCACCGATTTCCCGACATCTTGAATTGGGACTGATGCGGATCCTCGTCCTGCATCAGGGACCTTGTCAATATGGTTGATGGATCTCCCGATGCCTCTTTTGGAAAGACAAAAGCCCGAGGAGAGGAGAGAGAGAGAGAGAGAGAGACCTCCGAGGGGGAAATCTAGTCCTTAAGCCGTCGTCACGCGGTCGCGTCTTCCTCCCTCTCTCTCTCCCGCTGTGCTCCGTTGCTCCTTCTAGAAGGAGGGTGAGAAAACGACGGTCCGTGGCTCTGGCGGCGGTGGGTTTGGTGCAAAAAGCTACGGGTAGTATAGCGGCTCGCGGTTAGATGACGGCGGCGGCGGGGGAACTCAGAATGGGATCGGGTCTCTGGTCGTCGTCGTTTTCTGAAGCAACCCAAAAAATCGCGATTTCGCTGACCTCTTCCTGTGGGCGTTGCAGGTCAGACTAATAATAGTTGATCTCAGCGACACGCCAGAGTGTTATCAGAGAGAGTAGTTAATGGGAAGATAACCCTTCCTCTCCTGCAGAGCGTGCGTGTCGGCTTTGGCCTCCAATCGCAAGTCCGGTCTTTCTCGCTGTGCTCCACCTGTTTCTACTTTCTTCTCATCCTTTTGGCTTTTCCTGTTCGATCTCTTCAGCGAGGCTGCGGACCAGACGTTCCCCTACACCGACCGCACAGACCAATTGACATCCCTCTCCCGCTTTATCGGGAGGTCCAGCTCCGATCCTGAGCCGGCCCCATGGCTTTCTCCCCGCAGTGGCGGCGCTGGCGACGACCGCGTTGTTGACCCTGTCTCGGCTCCCCCCTTGTTCTCCCTACCCTTTTGAATACAGGACTAGAGCGAAAGCTATTACCGAACGGCAAGGAGGAAGCTGATAACCAGGAAGGAGGTTAGGGGACCACTGCCGCTGATGACTGCTGCTGCTTCCCCTCCTTCCTGGAACAAGCAGAAGGTTTGGGCCTTGGGAACCAACTAGATAATTGAAGGGTTAAGGTTGCCGGAAGGAGGGGCGTGGTGGGCTTGATCAGGAGAAGAAGAAGAGAGCGAGTTCTTCGGCTTTTTGTCCCGTCCACCGTGTTGCCCCGCGTGCTGGGAGTCGGAATTTCTTCTCTGATTCCTCTGTGTTTGTACGCCCAGAAGCTGTCTGCAGATAATTAGGTTATCCGAATTATCAGGATTACCCATCTAAAGAAGCCCCCCAAGGAAAAGGACGCATAAACAGGGGGAAGAGGGAGATTACTCTGCCTGTGGTTTGTGTCTTCTGGAGACGAGAACAGGGAGGACAAGGGAAGCGACTGGATTGCATCAGCCTCTACGGTAAAGCGAGTACGCCTCTGATCCATCGTATCGTAGCCCTCTTCTTCACCCCTGATCCCTATCTGCTTTCGTTTCTTCCCCGTTTTCCGCTCACGAATCATGAAATTCACCTATGAAACTTGAATTTGTTTGCTCTGAATGATGTATTCCTCGTTGCTGTGGCATTTCCCATCTTGAGGCTCTCTATTGTTGCCGCCCGTTTCTGGGTAGGAATGACGAAGGAGAAGCTGATTGAGAAATTGTGCATAGAGCCGTATGGAGTTCCAAGGGGAAAAAGAATTCCTCTCTCCCTTTCCTTCTCTACCCGGAATTTTCTGCTCCCCTTCTCCGCCCTTATTTCCTCCAAGAATCCATTGTTTGTAACTGGGTAGTGGCAGTCGTTTCCCCCGATTCCAATGAAGAAAACCTAAAATGGAAAACCTCTAGGAAATCTAATTTTCATTTCAAGGGCATTCACCGCGTTGGCATCAGTCTCTTGGCATGATGCCTTATTCTTTGTTGCGGTCAAGTACAGATTCCTCCAGTACTCACTATTTCACGCATCTCCTCATGATTGGATGTTGAAAGTGCCGTTCCTTGCAATGCCTGATTAGGCGCTGTGCGGTGAAAACGGCAAGAAATATGTTCTGTTTTCCCCGCTTCACTCTTCAAGGTTACTTCCCCCATGAGAACCTCCTTTCATGCCCTGCTTCACTCCAAGCTGTCCACTGTCACCTGTCATGTTTCTCTGCGCTTCCTTCTTTCTCTGCCCTTTCCAACTTGGGAACTGGTGTATAATTAGTGTAAATGACCTAGTGCACCTGTTGAGTTCTTGGCACAGAGTTTCCGTGTTGAAGGTATGCTTGTTGTACGGTTAACTACATCAGCTACCTGTGCTGTGGTTCATGGCTTTGGAGACCCCGGACCGATGTTGCTAATGTGATTCACCAACCTCATATGCTTTTTTTCCTTCACCATACCTCCTCTGCAAGGCATTTTATTCCCAAATTCCAGGGTAGTTCATCAGTTTCTCATGGCAATTTAAGAACCTATTGTCTTTGTGCCTGAAGAGGATTGATCTAGCAGCAACCGTCTTCTTTTCTTGTGTAGTAAATTCGCTGAACTCGTCTACTATAGAAAGAACTTTCAGAGTCATCTTGACCTTTAGTATCTTCTGTGTGACAGTTACAGACGAATTAAATGGGGCATTATGGTGATGATGTTGAGCAGGGCGCCCAGAGTTTTTCTAGGAAAAAGGTACTTTTTTTAATTTTCGTCATCATGAGTATCTTGCTTTCACTGTGGTTTAATTCAACAAAGATCTGTAGAGTTCTTTCATAAGATATGTTCTATTATTCATCAACCAGCAGCATTATAAGTTTACCATCTTCGTTTCGTGATGATCATTAGCTTTTCCCCTATTCTAAAGGCTTGTACTCACATGAAATATGTACAGTAACCCCAGTGGATCAGTTGTTATTAGATAGATCTACGGATTGGTGTCATATGCTTTGAATAGAGGAAGAACAGAAGAATGCTGGGAAATGCTTGAACCAGTTGGAGATTCCAGCCCACGAGTTTAGATTAATCTTGATATCGAACAAATGCACTAGCCGCCTTCAGCTGCTGCTGCTGCTGGATGTGGGCTGCCCACTGGTCACCTCCCACAGCCCAGAGATCCACGCACCCCACATACCCGCAATGTTTAGAATGGGACTGTAGTCGGGAAGTGGTGCTTGTGGGATTGGGGTATTGGCAGGTTGTAAATTTAATAAAACTCTAATTTCCATCTGTCGATGTGTTGACATCCTTTTATAATAGAAAGTTACATATATATGCATATATTTTTCTTGCGAGGTCTTATCTCCAGAAAAGCTGTTGTAGGGATCTCTGCGGTCTGAGAACAGAATCCTTCTCTGACTATTTATTTGAATTGATCTGGCAGGTGCTTGCACCGATGTGCAGAGAGCTTTCCAATATTATGGACATGATTATTCCGATTGTACCAAGTATCGAGTCAGCTCGTCCAGGAGGCACATCTGGGATACAGGAATTATGTTCATTAAATAATGAAATAGAGAAAACGAACCTACTTCTTCAGCACTGTGCAGAATCTAGCAATTTCTATTTGGTACGTACCATGAACATGATCAGGAATGGAGAGCTAGTCTTTTGAATTTCATTATTTGTCTTATTTTGGATTTTTATTTTAAACTAATATCAACATGATACTTTGGGAAAGAAATATATGAAATTTGTATCATTTTCACAGCTTTTTCGGATATATCAAGTAATTCCATGATCCTTTCTGCAAGCTTACATTGTGATTTTGCTGCCAGCTGTTTGTCATTGACTTAAATGCTTGACAGCATTTCATTTTTATCAGGCGATGACTAGGGAAGCCATTACTCTGAGGTGTGAAAGGAGAAGAAATGCCTTGCATGAAAGTTTGAGGCGCATTCAAACCATGGTTCCAGAGCCCTTATCAGCCCAGGTTTGTGACCTCCCAGGACTTGCGTGTAACATTCTATCCTCCGTACATTGAGCTGCTATCACTATTATCTGTTCTATTTCATTGGCTTGGGATCACAGCAATTATTGGCTCAGGAACGTACTTTCTCTGTACATGCACCTACAAATCATTTCAGCCGCATCTATGAAGCTGATGTTATCTTATTTTTTTAGCGACTTTGTGGCAATATGAAGTCTTAAGGCTTAAAAACTTACAGAAAAAGATCCTCACAGGATCAATAAAAGCTGGTGTGATCTGTTGTGAGGGTTTCCCATATATCAACATCTCCTAATATGGAGACAATTTTGCTGGTCAATCTAATGAAGGTTTATAACCTGCACCGAGATGCCATCTATTGACGTAAGTTCTCTTGTTATGGAGAATAGGAATTCTATGGAGGGAGGGAGAGGGAAAAAAATTCCAACCTTGTGCGAGTAACTTATAATGAAAATAACCTCTGTCAAAAAAGAATATGGCTTTAATTCCTCATCTCTATGACATTTGGGAACTGCAGAGAAAGCTTGGTGCCCAGTTTTGTAGATGAATGTTCTAAGTTAGGATGCTACTATGGCAGTTGTGTGTCAAAGGCTATATACTCTGATTTGATATTGATTGCCCATTTAAACAGGCACCTGTAGGCGCACTTCACGATGTAAATTTTTCTGGGAAACAGGAGAATTGGCTGCACATTAGGTTCCATTGGCTAATTCTGCATGTAGAATGGTAGTCCTCAATTTGGTGTGCTGGAGAACCCGGAACACCTTTGGAGAGGAAGAAAAACCTTTATTGAATGGAAAACAAGAAATTCATTTTACAAGATGAACGGGATCCAGTATTTATACCAGACCCTTGAGAGTAGATTACAAGTATTAAGGGCATATCTGCCAATATGAAAGTACAGGGTTTATTTATAAAATCCTCACGACAACACTCCCCCTCAAGCTGGTGAATGGATATCATCCATTTTTAGCTTGGGAAGAATTTCTTGTAGTTGTGTGCCTGAAACACCTTTGGTGAGCATATCTGCTAACTGATCTTTAGTTGAAATATATGGTATACAAATCACATTTGTCTCAAGTTTTTCTTTAATAAAATGCCGATCAATCTCTACATGTTTGGTACAATCATGTTGTATTGCATTATGTACCATGCTGATTGCTGACTTATTATCATAGTAAATCTTCATATGATCCGATAAAAGAATATGCAATTCATCAAGTAAATTTTTCATCCAGAGAAGTTCACAAAACCTTTGGGCAAGTGCTCTGAGTTCTGCCTCAGCACTTAAACGGGCTACCATGGTGTGTTTTTAACTTCTCCAAGTAATTAGATTCTCACCAATAAATGTGAGATAACCAGATGTTTTGATTTCTGGTCAGCTATTGACTCTGCATAATCAGCATTTGTAAACATTTCGACATTTACTTTCCCACTGCGTTTGAAGAGGATTCGTTTGTCAGGTGTGCCCCTTAAGTAATGTAACGCTCTATGTGCTGCATATAAATGAGTCTCTTTTGGCTGATGTATAAATTGACTCACCACATATGAGATATCTGGTCGATTATGTGTGAGATAGAGTAAACAGCCAATAAGCCGTTGACACATCTCACGACTAACATGGACTCCTCCCTCCGCCAAACATAGTTTATGATTCGGATCAATTGGGGTAGTAGTTGGTTTACATGCAGACTTTCCTATTTCAGCCAACAGATCTGTTATGTATTTTCTTTGAGAATTAAAAATTCTTGAACTAGAGTGAGCCACTTCGATGCTTAGAAGGTATCTTAGGCGTCCCAATGTCTTGACATCAAATATTGAAGCCAAATTATGACTTAAGTCTGTGCCTGTACATCATCATTCTCTGTGATGATGAGATCATCAACATAAACCAAAAGCATGGTTACTCCCCTTGAATGAGATTGTTTAAAGAATAGTGTACGATCAGCATTACTTTGGGAGTATTGCAATGTCTTCATAGTGGCTGTAAACCATCCAAACCAGGCACGTGGGGTGGGGACTGTTTTAGTCCATTGAGAGATTTCTTTAGTTTGCAAATAATATTGAGAGATACATTACCCTCTTAGCCTGGTGGTAGTATCATATAAATCTCTTCCATAAGATCACCATGCAAAAATGCGTTTTTTACATCATACTGTTGGATATCCCAACTGAAAATCGCAGCTAGAGACAATAAGAATCGGACAGTATTCATTTTTGCCATTGGGGAAAAAGTTTTTTGGTAATCAATTGCATAGACTTGTATGTAGCCTTTGGCCACTAGTCTGGCTTTATATTGCTCAATTGAACCATTAGCATTGTATTTCATGATATACACCCACCTACAACCCACTGTTTTCTTATTTGGTAGTAATGTTACCAAACCCCAAGTTTCATTTTTCTGAAGAGCCTTCATTTCATTGTCCATAGGTTGCTTCCACTTCAAGTTAGATAAAGCTTCAGAGATATTTTTAGAAACAGTAGTGGAATCTAAGGAAGCTAAGAATGACCTATAAGGAGTTGACAGACGATGGTAGGATAAGAAATTGGCTGCTGGATATAAGGGGGTTTTATTACATTGTCTAATAGTCTAAGGACACTCTTTGAAACAAAGAAGGAAAAACATTCTTTAAGATGCTAAAAGAGGGATGACCCATCCTTTGATGAAGTAGATGAATCTTATTAACAGGTTCTAGAGGTTCTGTGTTAATCCGCTTCAACTATATATGTTTGGCTTAGTCCTTCTAGAAGATAAAGTTCATCATGTTCTCTAACAACTTCAATTTTCCGATGATGTACCTTATCAAATATTATACAAATATTATCATCAAAGAGGGCATGATAAAGTGAGGCTCTAACAAGTTTCTTAACGGAAATAAGGTTTGTAAACAATTTGGGAACATGAAGCACATTAGGAAGAATGCCAAAGGGTTCAAGTCAAATGTCTCCTATAATCTGCAATGGTTAAAAAAGATCTATCTGCAGTTGTGACTTTTCTGTCTCTAGGACAAAGATTGTAGTTGGTAAAATGGTGAGAGGATTGGTCATATGGTCCATTGCCCTTGAGTCCACTATTCAAGTGTTAGAAATATCTCTTGAAGAAGCTCTAACTTCGAGAGAGTGATGAAGCTTACCTTGCTGGACTGATGAGTTTTGTGTTATTGTTGACTTCAATTTTTCCAATTCAGCTTGAAGTCTTTCTATATCATTCATCTGATATGAAGATGGGTGTTGTTTTTAGTTGAAATCTATTGACTGATTTGCAGGTAAATTTACTGTAGAATGTACTCGACAGCCATATTTGTCAGTGATAAAGTGTGGTTGTTTGCCATGTAATTTATAGCACCTGTCTCAAGTGTGACGTGACTTTCTGCAGTACATACACCATAAATTGTCTCTAGAGTCAGTTTTCTGATTCCTTCTTTGACTCTGTTGAAATGGTTTGGACGGATCAACAGTCTTCTTCATATTGTCACCTTGTTTAATCATAAATGCAGAATTATCTATTTCTGGACCTGACATCATCAAATTCCTGCGACTATCCTCATTTAAGATGATCGAAATAGCTTCATCTAACTCAACTTTCTTCTCACGATTCAATATATATTGACTGACCTGATCAAACATAAAATTAAGACCAGCCAAGAATTTAAACACTCTCCTTCTGTCTATGAAATTTCGTATTGCAGTAATTTCAGCACGTTTTTCGGTGTCAAGACTAAGATAATAGTCAAGTTCCACCCATAGATTCTTTAATTCTCCTGCATATTCCATCATTGTCTTACTCCCTTGCATCATTGACATTGACTTTGTCTCAAGTTCATATATGTGAGCTTCATTATTTTTCTCTGAGAACTTGGTGTGAACCGTCTCCCACAAGTCCTTGACAGTGGATAAGAAGAAAAAATCACAGCTGATTTGGGGAATCATGGTTTCTCGCAGCCAAGTTTTAATCAGGGTATCCTCTTCTCTCCATCTCCAAAATTCTTGTGGCATTGGGTCTGGTTTCCCCTTTATCAAGTGGTGTACCATGCCTCTTCCAGTTAATACATATATTCTGACCATTGTATCAGATTATATCTCGTCAGTTTAAACTCTATAGGCACTGCAGGGAGTTCAATCAATAATCGTCTGGCTCCAGGAACAAGATGAACCTCACTTGTGGAGATTGAATCACCCCCAGAAGATGAAGCAACACCTCACGTAGCTTCCATTTCAAGAAATAGCAGCCTACTTCACGAAAAACTGATTTCGTGACCAAATCTTGAACAGAAATATTCAACGAATGGTAAAAAGACCGTAATAGCAGAATCACCTGTATTGGCTCTATGAAGAGCCTGTAGAGACGGTGAGTCCGTCACCAGATAGATGTGGTACCAACAGCAGTGATACTTCCCTTCACAACTAACCACAGATCGTCAAGAGAGAGGGATTCGAAACCCTAACCTTGGCACTGATACCATGTAGAATGATAGTCCTCCATTTGGTGTGCTGGAGAACCCGCAACACCTTTGGAGAGGAAGAAAAACCTTCATTGAATGGGAAACAAGAAATTCGTTTTACAAGATGGACGGGGTCCAGTATTTATCCCAGACCCTTGAGAGAAGATTACAAGTATTCAGGGCATATCTGCCAATATGAAAGTTCAGGGTTTATTTATAAAGTTCTCACAACAACACTGCGCTATAACTGTTTGCTCTCAGCCTATTTATATTACCTAGTGCCCCACCGCATTTCAATTGAGTGTCATATTTTACCATTCTACTAGACTAACAGGATACTCAAGTGGCTGGAGCAAAGACAAGATGGTTGATTCTGGTTCAGGTTTATTTTCTTTTTGTTTGGGAGGGAGGGCGCAGGGCGGGGGTATGCAAGGGAGACGCAACAGCACACCAAAGTAGAAAGAAGATTAGAAGGGGTCTGGAGAACAAGTTTGAGCAGTGGGAGAGCCGAGGGGTCTAAATTATGGGAAAAATCAGAGTAGTGAGGTGGTGCAAGAGCTAGAAAATGTAGGACAAGTGCACCAATGGTGGGCTAAATATCACAGTCTGCTGGTGAATGTGGGAGACATAGCAGATGATGATAATGACCTTATAGGTCATTTCTGTGATCAATTTCAGCTGGCCCCTGGGAAATAATGCTCACAAATTGATTAGAAGCTATAAACTTCCTATCCACAGGCTGCCAGACCAAGTATTATCTAACTCTGGTTCATCTGCGTCGCTCTAATTGCCGCAGTCTGGAATCGGACTGGGCATACATATCGGGAATATTTAAGAAAATTATACCAGAAGAGGATTAGATGTGTGCTTGCCACTATTTTTATCTTTGGTTTAAATAGTGCTTTATATATTCTAAGGTTCAGAAAAAAGTTAGCAGGATATATTTGCCCCTCGAATGGCAATCAGAAGCTCCTCTTCGTTTGCAGGTCGCAACGATTGTCGTGAGACTCCGAGCTGCAAAATTCAATATCGATCCTGCTGTGGAGGAGGCTGGCAAAGCGATACTGTCATTGCTTCAACAGAATAACTCTACTGAAAATGCCGAATTTGAGGCTTTCTGTAATGCTGCTTCGAAGCTAGATATCACAACTCCTAGAGCTCTTCTATTGGAGAGGCGATCTATCAAGAAGCTTTTTGATAAGCTGAGTGTCAGCGATCCAAGGAAGGAGAAAATTCTACAACTCCTGTACCTGTTCAGGAAATACGAGAAAAGGTTTGGGTCTGAAAATTTTGGGCACCAGATAGATCGCAGTGATGTGTTCATCGGAAGCTCTGTTGCAGAAGGAAAGAATGCATCTGAGAGCAATTCATGTGAGGCCAAGAATGAAGCCAGCGAGTGGCGAACTGGGGTAATTGATTGCCCCGAGGACCAGAATGATCTGTCTGCGGATTCGCCTCCCAAGGAGTTCAGATGCCCTCTCTCATTGGAGCTTATGTATGATCCAGTGGTCATTGCCTCTGGACAGACATATGAGAGAGCATCTATTGCCAAATGGTTTCGTGAAGGCCATGACATGTGCCCAAGGACGGGAATGAAGATCACTAATTTCGCGATGGTCCCGAATTCCTGCATGAAGATGCTTATTTCCAGCTGGTGCAAGAAACATGGTATCAGCATGCCGAATCCAGGTCCACGATCTAATGACCTCGAAGCATTTCATTCATGGGACAATTCGAATTCCAGCTCAATCGTCAGCATGAACATTTCTGCACCTACCGTGGGCGGCAGGATTGCAGACCTTGACTACAGCAACTTATCTATTCTCTCATCAGACGGCAGTTGTTACTCGGACTCGTCATTCGTTAGGAATGCCGAGGGTTTGAACGACAGCCATGTTCCTCACATGCTGCCACATATTGATGAAGGCAGCAATGGCGAGTCCTCTTCCCAGTTTAGCCAGGATGTGTATCTAAAGTTTTTCTCCGTTCTGTCGGAGCTGACACTGGAGTCCCAAACCAAGGCTCTGGCCGATTTCAAAGCCCGTCTTAGTAGCGAGGAAGCACGGCAATCTATGCTTTCTAATGGTTTCGTGGACGCACTTGTACAGTTTCTGAAGGATGCTTATCACCTTTCTAACTTAAAATCGCAAAAGATGGGATCGCAGTTGCTTCTTGCTTTTCTTGGTGAAACCAGGTATCTTTTTCCTGCTCGCCACAGTTTATTACCCCCCCCCCCCCTTCCATCAGTGTGGTAAAGTTTTCTTTCTTTCTTTCTTTGTTCTGTCTTTCCCAGGTTGGAAGATCCGTGCATAAATGACGACGCGTTCGAACTGTTGATATCTTTCCTCGATTCAGAAATAGCCCACGAGGCTTTGATGATCTTGCAAATAATATGCCGCCACCCAAGTTGCGAGTCCAGCATTGTATTACCCGGTGTTCGTCCCCTCATGAAGATCCTCGATTCCGGAGCTACCGAGTTCCCGGAACTGGTTCTGGACATCCTGTGCAACCTCTCCAGTAGTATTGAAGGCAAGCACCAGATACTGTCTTCAGGGGGCATTCCGAAACTGTTTCCCCATTTGAGCAATGGAAGACTCGCAGGAAACTGCTTAAAACTGATGCACAGTCTGTGTGAAGTTGAGGAAGGTAAGGTAGCGATAGCGGAAACCGATGGTTGCATCACTGCGATCGTGGAGTTGCTGGATTCTGGCAGTCGGGAGGAACAGGAGCATTCGGTGGCCATTCTTCTGTCTCTGTGTTCTTACTGCACGGAGTACTGCTCGTTAGTGATGAAGGAGGGTATTATCCCGTCTCTGGTTCACGTCTCCATCAACGGGAACAGCCAGGGAAAGGACAGCTCCATGAAGTTGCTCCATGTCCTGAGGGACATCAGAGATGATGACTATACCGAGAGTTCGCTCTCTCACGTTGAGCCCTGTCCAGAGCCGCCTCAGATGCCCAGTAGACAAGACGAGAGGAGACAATCGGTGTCCCGGAGACCAGGTTTCTTGAGAAAAATGTTCTTTTCAAAGCCCAAGATCCCCGCTCTCTTCTGAGATATAAGCATCCCGGCGATTGCTCATGTACAGATTTCTTGTGCCTCTTCTGGCATCGTCCACTGCCCATCAAATCTGAGATTTTGAAGCCACGTTGACGAAGGCGATGGGCTTCTCTCTCTCACCTGAAGGTAAAGGTTCCCACGTCGTCGTACGTGTATTTTTTCTTCTCGTGGAAATATAATGACATGCCCGAAGGCTGTAAGCGGTGTTCGTGCTTGGGTTTTGCGTCTGGTGGTAGTTTACTCCTTGTTGAGTCTCCGCTCTTCCAAGACCGCTACGCTGAATTTTCTCAGCGAGAGCACCAACCAGAGAGGACGGGCGACTGCCCCTCCATATACGAACATTTAACCGCTATTTTTTTTTAGGGTAGCTGGTGTTCATATTAGAATGTCTTTGGCTGAACTCTCTCTCTCTTACTCGCTCTCGTTCTCTCGCTCTCTCTCTCTCTCTCTCGCTCTCTCTCCCTTCCTCTCCCTCTCCCTCTCCCTCACCCTCTCCCTCTCCCTCTCCCTCTCCCTCTCTCTCTCTCTCCCTCTCCCTCTCCCTCTCCGCTCCCTCTCCTCTCCCTCTCCCTCTCCCTCTCCCTCTCTCTCTCTCTCTCTCTCCCTCTCCTCTCTCTCTCCTCTCTCTCTCTCTCTCTCTCTCTCTTCCTCTCTCTCCTCTCCCTCTCCTCCCTCTCCCTCTCTCCTCTCCTCTCCCTCTCCCTCCCTCTCCCTCTCTCCCTCTCCTCTCCCTCTCCCTCTCTCTCTCTCCCTCTTTCTCTCCCTTTCCCTCCCCTCTCCCTCTCCCTCTCGCTCTCTCCCTCTCCCTCTTTCTTCCTCTCTCTCTCTCTCCCTCTTTCTCTCCCTTTCCCTCCCCTCTCCCTCTCTCGCTCTCTCCCTCTCCCTCTTTCTCTCTCTCTCTCTCTCTCTCTCTCTCTCTCTCTCTCCCTCTCTCTCTCTCTCCCTCCTCTCCCTCTCGCTCTCTCCTTCTCCCTTCCTCTCTCTCTCTCCCTTTTTCTCTCCCTATCCCTCCCCCTCTCCCTCTCGCTCTCTCCTTCTCCCTTCCTCTCTCTCTCTCTCTCTCTCGCTCGCGCTCCCCCATTGAAAGCTGTGGGGACTGCAGAACCTAGAGGCAGAGATGTCAGAGAAAATCTGAAAAATGGAGGTCGGGCATCGATGGAAGAGGATCACTGACGGGGTGACGAGGTCGCAATGAGCAATCTTGGACGGAGGGCGTTCGCCGTCCGCTAGACCCCCCCCCCCCCCCTAGCAGAGTGCCAGTGATTGATCTAGTTACTAGACCTGTACTTGCCTCTCTCTCTTCTCTCTCTCTATCTATCTATCCATCTATCTCTCTCTATGGGCCCTCTTCCTGTCTACGACGGGAAGCCATGTGATGAGGATGCGGCAAGACAGCTGAGCGAAGATAATAATATAGACGGGATGTTGGTCTGCATCTGGAAGACAAGTTTAAACGCTGGATGATCGAACCCAGCCAAAAACCGGCTCGGTATATTCCATCACTGTGATGGATGAACAGCCGAGGTCAGTGCAACCCGAAGACGCGAGGTGTCCGATGGCCAGCCGCCGTTGCTGGTGAATTAATAATGAGAAGCCGGTCGGTAGATCCCACCTCGCTCCATTGAATGGGAAAGGGGGGAATGCAAACACAGCTAGCACTGACGACAGCCTATCCGTTGGGATCACTGCTCTCTCTCTCTCTCTCTCGCTATCTATCTATCTATCTATCTACCCAGGGCCATATAACAGGCCGCGCGCTGCCGGCATCGTGTCTTCAACTCAACCCCTTCTATACACGGAAAACCAGGCAATCAAGAACCGGGCATTCTCAAAGAAATGGCCCTCCGTCGATCACACGCTGCAAGTCAGAACTTTCCAAATCAACGAGAGTATCGGCATTTCGGAGCGGTCTTTATCAGCGAGCCGCGTTCTATCATTGGACTTCGTAGAACGTGGCCATAACAAAGTCAATGAATATCATTTAGCAAGAACTTTTCTTGGGATCAAATATATATATATATATATATCGATCTTGATTTCATGTAAGAAAAATGAAAATCGTCTTCAGGTGGCGCCACCAGACTCTTAACTTCCATAGAGCATCGGGAAGCCCTCGTTGAGTAGTTTCACCAAAGGGGACGGAGAAGACAGTCCTCTGTCTTCTCGATCAACAGCATCGTCATCTAAGCTAACGCTCTCGATTAGACTTTTCGATCATGGAGCGCCCGTTTTCTTCTGCGGCGGTGATGACGGCCGGCGTTGGCGTCGGTGTGGAGACGGCGGCCGGAGGCCTGGGACGTGACGGGGGCCCAGCGAGGGGTCGTCGCGGTGCGGATATGTGCTGCCTTGTCGTTCGACAAGGCTGGAATTCGCCCCCACTCCCCGGTCTCCTCCCTCATGGCGGCTGCAAGATCCGGTGATCTTCTACGAAGCCACCGGGGAGTTTCTCTCTCTTCTTCTTACTTGAGAGACAGCTACCACGAGTGCCCGGGTGCAGCAGCCCTTTGTGCGCTGCCTGCCGGCTAGAGAGAGAGAGAGAGGATGCCTCGCGCTCTCCGGGAGACACACTCACGTGTCGGTCACATCGGGGCTGGACGCCCTGGCCCATTGTAACGAAGAGAGGGTGAGAGAGGGGCCGAACAGCTGTCAATCTCCTATTAGAATCTCTTGTTAGACCTCTGATGAAGAGAAAGCGGGGGAGAGAAGAGAGCTGTCTACCTTTCGTTACACTGGCGCGCCGTCGGGGCATCACAGACTGTCTGTCGTCCACCATCACCGGCGCGACCCAACTTCATCGGTTCATCTATATCCACTCCCCCTCTCTTTCTCTCTCTAAAACCCTCCCTGCAGTAACCCACTAATATGGCATACATCTCCATTGCATCAGTGACAAGAGGGGAGGAGAAGCACAGCCAAGATTGAAGAAAACTTATTTGATCTTCACCTCACAGCCACCGAACGACGTTGATAGCGCCCCCCCCGCCCCCCCCCGCCCCCACACCCCCCTTGCGGCTTTCTCCTCCCCCTCGCGTTCAACTTTCTACATACTCGGTGCCCCCTCTCTCTCTGGTTCCGTAAGTGACGAGAAGCAAGCCTAGCCATCTCCACCCACGAAGTCGATGATGCTGCAACGTCCTCAACTCCCCGACGACAACAACCAGGAGACGGCGGCAGCGTCTCACTACACCGTCCTGCAGAGGCAGAGAGACAGACTCATCAGCTGCTGGCGGGATCAGCCGAAGCACGACGACGGCCGATCTCTCAATCTGGATCCTTTTTGTGGCATCCTTGCCAACGGAGGAGAGGGGGCGATCAATCAGGAGTTACCCGGCGGATTGCCCAATCGAGGCCAATATCCTTTTCTCGGAAGCGCTTCGGGATGTGGCGATGACGAGCGGACGACGGCCACGAGCGGCGGCGCAGCTGCAGCGCCTGCTGTCGGCACTCGGAGGAAGAGGGAAGCCTGCACCCTGAAGGTATTACGCACTACACTCTGCTGAACCCTGAGTTGTCAATGGACGCCGTGAATCCTGTGGTCGCATTGACGAATGTTCGACTGAAGCAGCCGGGAAACGAAGGAGGGGACAAGAGGATGAGGGGAGACGATGTCGATGGTCTCGTTCCCAAGCTGGAGAGTCCGCCCATCTCCACCATCACTACCGCCGCGAGTGACACTTGCGAGGGAAAGTCAAAGGCGTCGGCGCCGCCTGGGAAGAGCGATTACATCCACGTGAGAGCCCGCCGCGGCCAGGCCACCGACAGCCACAGCCTTGCCGAGAGGGTGAGCTCCCTCTTCCCCCAAAAACTAGAGCACATAGGCCATACATTCCCCTTCTCTGGCTAATCATATTCCGGGATGGCGATGTCTGGTGAAGGTGAGGAGGGAGAAGATAAGCAAGAGGATGAAGATCCTCCAGGACCTGGTGCCTGGATGCAGCAAGATCGCGGGGAAGGCTGGCATGCTCGACGAGATTTTGAACTACGTCCAGTCCCTCCAGAGACAAGTCGAGGTAATCTCCGATATCCGGCGATTCGTAGGATGTAAACAGATCATTCATCATCTCACATATTTCACCAAGTCTTATTGCTGCGTTATTGTTGCAGTTCCTGTCCATGAAACTCGCCGCTGTGAGCCCAACAATCGACTTTGGCAACATCGACGCCCTCTTTGGCAAGCAGGTATTCGATCGACGACGACTCTGAAGAAGAAAAATAAAATAGGAGAAATACAGTAAATTCGAGGAACGGAGGCTCCTACTCTTCTCCGAGTTAACTCTTCTCACACCCAACTGCGCGGTAGGCGGGCGGGTGGGGGAAAGTGGAGGGAAGAAGGGAGAAGGGAGAGAGAGAGAGAGACGTCCTGTAATGCTCATATTGATTGCGACCGCAGAAAATCCAGAAGAGGTTGGCCCCATATGTAGGGTTCGCGGTCTGACCATGTTGACCAGACACAAGTGGCCTATCCTAAGGAGAGAAATCTGAGATAAAAAACTGTCTTTTGTGGAACAGTGATCATCCGTGCCCTAGACTTCTAGGAGAGCGTACATCCAATGATTTAGACGAATTTATGGACTTCTGCCTTCCGTACGCTTTTCCGCAGATGGTCCCTGTTAGCGGCGGCGAGGCCCTGCCACACATGGGCACGATGCCGCCGGAGGCGGTGGATGCGTCGTCCTTGCTCCGTTTCATCCCCATGCACCAGACGGCGGCGGCGGCGGCGAAGCCAGTCACGTCCGGCGAGATGGAGCTGCCCGTGACCTCAGCAGTGCCTCTATCCGAGTCGTGGCCCTTCCTGGAAGTGAGTTCCGGTTCCAACTCCTTTGAGATATCAAACTCCGGTTTCCAGTCTGCCCGTCGTTCACTCGAAGCATGATGCATCTCCTGCAGGTGAACCCTCCGGTGTCCCCGTGGGAAGCTGACTTGCAGACCCTCTATGGTGTGGAGTTCCAGCTGAATAAAGAAGGCCTTTCTCCTCCGCTATCTTCTCCTTCAGCAACTACCGTTCTCCAGCCACCGGTTCCAGGTAAATGCTGCAACCGTGTTATTTTTCTCAATTCTCTAGCTGATCACCCCCACCCCCTTCTTCTTCTCTTGGAGGCTCCCCGAGGGTGAGCATTTCCTCCAGAGTAGGAGTTCAAGGATTCATTCCGAGAGCCTCGTTAATTATTCAAGGAAGGGCCAAACATGAAAATCGACTATGCTAAGACCATCTGACGGATTCCTTCGTAGCTGTGATATCGTTCGAACTACAGTTGGCGAGAGACGATTGAGTCTGTACGAAGAGATGATATTCCCGCTTGCTCTAACCAATTGGCTATCTCGATTGCCGATGAGTCTCGATGACTGAGTGCTGATTTCGTGTGATCTTGTAGGAAAATTCGGATCCAACTGCTGAACGAAGGTGTGTAGACGAGAGATAGCAGGGTGTCGCCTTTCCCGTGGATAAGAAGCGATCCCTACCCGGAACCTCAGGCGGCTCGGCTGCAACCCCTTGGTCGAAGCCGTAGCAATAAGAATGATTGGATTTCTGTGTATGATTAGCATCTGCCCCCTCCTGTTTGTTGACCCCATTGGAGTTGGAGAGAGGGAAAGGAGAGGGTGGGGGGGAGTTGTAACTGATTATTAACGCCTGCTTGAGGGGCGTTGTTCTCGGAGTCATTGGACCGTCATTAAGGCCTTTGGAGAAGAAAGTCCCTCTCTCCTTCCTCTCCTCCCCCCCACCATCTATACTCAGCCTAGCCGACAAATATTTACCCTCAGACATCGGACTAGTCCATGAAGTCCTCCCCCTCCTAAAGACCACTGAAAGTAGCCTCCCGTCTGCCTTCCTCAGTTATGGGGGTGCAACCTTGCACGAAAACTCTCTTTCACTATCGAGATCCTCTTCATCTCGTACATGATCCTGGGCTCATTCATCGACAGTACATAATGATGCTTATTGGCTTTAGCAGTATGAAGTTCTCGATTATCCATGAAATAGAGAGAGTCTGTCACTCCTTTCCAAACACTTCAACGATACTTTGCACGACTTATTGCCGAGTATCGATTTAAGTCTGATGAATGGACACCAAATCCCAATGAGAAAAGGGCAGCTTAGTCAAATAATTTAAAGCATGATGCAGTAATATAAATGGGTTTCGTGCGACTCTTTGTTATGGCCTCCTTAAAACTGTACTTCATTCTGATCAAATGAATATAAACAACTTGCCTCACAAGAGTACGAATTCTCCCGCTGTACCGCTTGCTTTCTTCCCGAATACGGGACTATTTGGCCGCCTCCCTCTCGGTTTGACTGGTAAATGATCTCTCTTCCTTCTAAGATCGTAAATTTCTGAGACGGGTGGTTGACTTTAGGGTTGTCTCACATTTAAATAGAGATTGCGTCACATAACGACATGTGTGACCTTAGTCCTCTCACAATCAATTGATTTCGAGATAGATGACTCGAATAGCCAGGGATGAGAGCGTCAACCAACCGGAGATCCATGAAAATGGGCCGCCTGCAAGGCCTCTATGGGGATGAGGCTTAGCTGTTGGTCACTAATTCTGCCTCAACACCTACTCCCTCCCACTTGGTGGCATTTTTAGACGATTCAGAATCCTGTCGGGCAGGAAGAGAGACCGAAAGAGACCCCTTTTGCAGCCTTCGTAGATGGATTCCAGCCCTAGCCGACGAGGGGAGGGAGAGATGGAGGGGGAAGCTCGTCCACATTTTTTGGCCAGCTCTTCACGCCATTACCTGAAAGTGGAGGCACGGGTTGAAATCCCGACCGTCAGATTTAAATACGTGGGGAACTGTCCATATCATGTAAATCCCAAAATCTATTTCGCCGAAAGTTGAATGATGCATAACAGGAAACTAGGTCAAGCATTACGAGTGGAACCACTCGTAACAAGTCTCTGCTCACTGCCTCCACGCCGCTGCATGACACGTTCTGGTTCATGAGGGGACACCTGTTGTGCAGAAAAATGGAGAGAGAAACAGAAGAGAGCGAAAAACGGCGGCCTTATCTTCTTCCTCCACTCTAATCCGTAAACTACTCGGATGTAAACGGTTATGAGAGAGGTAGATAAACCTATCTGAAGTGCTCACCAGCTTCTCGCTCGAAACACGGACCGCACGAAGGGGGAGAATGGGCTCTCTAATGGCAGGGTGGGACTCGCCTAATCTAGATCCCCAAGCTGGTGAGTGGCCACTTCTCAAGCCCGCAGATCATTTTTGGTTCAGTCGCAGGTGATCCTCGTGGGTTTTCTTTCTCCAGTGAAATACGAGAGGAACAGGTCGCTGACCAAAGGCGAGATTGAAGCTTTCTGGCGGGCCAGGAAGGGGACGCCGGAGGAAGAGGAGCATGCCGCCGTCGCCTCAACGTACCACGTTAGCCAGGCAAGGACGACCATCTTGGAGGAAGTGGAGGAACACCATGAAGGAAGGCTTTCGTGTAGGGTTCCTATTTAATCGGTTAATTAATGGCTACTGAATGAAGATAATGATCGTTGACCCAGCAGAAGAACACGGGGAAAGCTGCGGGGGGGACGCTGAGGAGGTCGAGTTCGTTGCCTCTGACCGACCGCAGGGGGAGTTCAGCAAGTAAGAAACCCGCAGAAACGATTTTCGGCGAACTCAAGAACACCAACGGCTGGTACGTCCTCTTTAGAAACCCAAGCAATTCGACATCGCTCTCTCTATTCTCCTCGTCCCACCTTCAGCGAAGAAATAAGTGATCGAAGGTCGCCCTATCATCAGTCATTGTATAAGAACGACTCACACCTTCGCTGCAGGTGGACCAGAAGTAACTGGTCGTTCCTGAACGACCCCCCGATAGTTGAGAAGGAAACTTTACACAGACACCCTTCAAAGAGGAACATCCAAGCGAAAGAACCGCCCAACCCCGAAGTCTCTTCTTCCTCCACGGCCGGAGACGGTGTTTGAAGCAACTCCGTGTGAAAAACTAAGAAGAGGGATAAGGGCCGCTTCTCACTTTCCGGTCGCAGTGTCCACAGAGAGCGTGCTAGCTAGCGAAATCCCAGTACCAGTCGCACAAGATAAGATACTCGACTTGTTCCCTCTTCTACTAGGTCGTCTCGCTCTCGGTCCTCCTCAGTGTGGAAGAGCTGATCTTCTCCCCCCCTCGCTCGTCCGATACCAGGTCGACCACTTCTATCTGCGTAAATACAGAGAGAGAGAGAGAGAGAGATTAAGTCGTAAACCTCTGGCATTGTTCAGAGATCCACAAACGGGACACGTTTTCATCGTTTCTAACCGTCAACTGGGCTAAGCCATTCTCGGCCCTCTTCCTGTTGACCGATATCCCTCCAGGAAACGTCTCCTGGCTGTGCAACAACGAATCGACTGAGTTTAACTTCGAGCTGCTGTTATTCAACAAGAAGACTAGGAAGAACGAACCAGACAAATTCAATTATTCGTAATAATTGTGTCGTATGAATTGGGAAGACCTGACTACGATGGCCTCCATGGTTTCGTCGAAGATCGACGGCCCGTAAGGATCCGTGATGGGTTCAGCTTGCACAGTGAGATCTGGCTTAATTGACTGCGAGAAGAAAAGGCGGGCAATCAAAAATATGATAAACCGGCGCTGATACAGACTCTTCTTTGGGGATTTCTACAGAAATGGAGTTCTCAGCCGCGAAAGCACGGCGAGAATTGGAGTGAATTGAACGCAATGTATATAAGCACCTGAATGTAGTCTCGGACGGCCCGAATCCTCTCCTCGACTGGTTGTATCAAGTGACAGAGCTGGAAGAAAATGCGGCGAACTACATGTGTTAGGGTGATATGAAGAATCGGATGCATACGTAAGCTAGGGCTACTGCAGAACATGGACGAAAGTGGCCTGAAGGATGAAGATCACTGTGAGAGGAAGAAAACGAAAACGAGTGCTCGCCTCTTTCTTCGAGATCATCGGCCCGTCGCAGACGCCGACGACCACACGTTCCCTGGCAATTTCAGCAGCTGCCTAAACGTTTCAATGACCGCGCCTTGATTATGATGCCGCCTTACGAGATGGAGATAGAGAGAGAGAGAGAGAGAGAGAGACCTGAAGGAGCAATCGATGGCCGGGATGCAACCTGTCGAAGGTACCGCCGACGACCACCACAGCATAGGAATCCCGTTTCAGATGAGAGCCCGGTGGTGGTGTCGTATCCCCCGTGGATCGGGCGGCCGCTTCTCCCCCTCGTACACCAGCCGTGTGGCTCTCACCGGGGACTAATAGAGAGACGTTGGACGACATAATTGACGGAGAGGCAGATACGGAGAACGCCTCTGATCTCAATCAGAGGGAACGAAAGAGAGTTTTGTTGCTGAGAGAGGAAGCCACCGTGATGAATCTGTGTGACGACCTTCCTCCCGCATGCCCACCGATTCGTATTGTTCACCACACCTACGGTGTTGCGGCTGGTCTTCGATGGAGATCGACAGAAAGGTCAAAGTCCAGCCATTTATTGGCCAAGTTAGAGCTCTAGTGTCCCTCTCGGAATGAACCTGGACGGGAACGAAGACCAGTTTCCGCCGCAATCTTCTTCCCGACCCATCCCGGGTGAACGTCAAGCGATCCCATCATGCAGACGGCCATTGACTGCGAGAAGGAGACGTGATTTAATTCGGACAGATTTTAGAAGGCCACAGTTCATACGATCGAAAAGAGAGCGTTCTTGCCCTTGAAGGAGAGCGATGAACAGCTTCAATGGGAGCCATCCGTCACAACCGCCTGGCGGCGCAATTCTTGAGGAAGTCATAGAGCTTGGCGGAGTAAATGAGAGGGAAGGCCCTCAGATGGTCGACGTGAGGCGACACTCGGAAGTCGTGGGCGTGGACCTCCCGTCCCATGCCCCTCTGCGCCTCGATGAAGAGCTCCACCGATCTCGCCGGGATGACCCGGTCGGCCGAGCTGTACAAGTAGAGCTGCGGGCAGGGAGGCTGGTCTTTTGAAAGAATGGAGATGATCTTGCTCAGCCTCCTGCAAGAGAGAGAGAGAGAGAGAGTAAGAAACATTGACCATGAGATTATCCCGAGAATCTTTTCTGACCCGACTTGATTGTAATAAACGCAGAGCGAGAGGCCGAACTGGTTCACGTCCGGCAGTCTCAGGACGAGCGAGAAGAACTTCTCTAAAATGGAGAGAACGATGAGCTCCGAAAGGCCTTGTCTGACAGCAGCTTGAGCGTCCTTGTTGCCCTCCCCACCACCAGGAGGAGCCCTGCCCGGGAGAAACTCCTCCGATGCATTCGCCCATAGACTGCGCTTCTTGAGTAGGGCGGCAGAGAATCCCGCTGCCCAAACCTACATATGAGGATTAATAAAGGGCACGAATACATACAGTACATGAACAGCCGGGCGGCAAGAACTGGGATTTCTTTAGCAAGAAAATATTAGGTCTTGCAGTCGCCTGGTGGGTGACGATCATGACGACCACGACGATGAAGAAATGTTTGGACCGTCACCCACTACAATCATCGGTGAGCGCTTGAAAAAACCAACCTGAGGGTTTATCTCCGGATCCGCTCCAGAGTCGACCACACATCCTCTGATCTTCTCAAGAACATCGCTCCTCGAACGAAGGCTCTCGAGAATGGCGCCATAACTGCAAAACGATGAGAATACCCGCCTTCTTGAGTCACCCAACACCAATCTCCGACAAAAAGTGAACCGAAGACCGTCCCGACAAAAAGTCAATATCAGTGGCAAGAACCCTTTTCCTAAGAACAAAGAGAACTCATTTGGGGAGCCTGGTTCTCCCAGCCGTTTACCCTCATCCCCACTAGTGAAGGGGAAGGGAGGAAGAAGATGGAGCTGGTTCACCCGCTTGCTTAATCTCCATTACTCTTATCCAGATAAATGGGGAATGAAGATTCACAACCCCTCCCTCCCCCCACAAAGAGGGTGTCTATCCTTGCTCGAGCCGTTAGTCTGAGCGCTTAAGCACTTAATACAGATTTGCCAATTTTAATTTAATCTGTTTTTCCATGGTGCTAGTGGATAAACTTTAGAACGAAGCATGGACATCCTGCGCCCGGAATTGATAGCATCTTAAGGACAGAGTTAGGCTTCAGACAACCTTGGGATCCTGAATATGGAAGGGGCATCATCGATGGCCACTATTGATGGCGGAAAAGCCGTGCTTACCCCCATGGTGCATATCGAAATGATTTTTGAGAAAACTCAGGCGCATTGGAGTTCTACAGGGTACTATATAAATATATATCTATGATAAAAGAGCATTCGGAAGGAAATTCTGTGAGATAGAAAGCATCTGACCGAAATTAATCGGTGAGAAAAAAAAAATGCAAGCCAACAGAGAATTGCTGCGAAAAATGAAATATTTCTTCCTGGGACAGAGTCATTGATAATTTGCTGTCATTCTATATCGAAAAAGTCTTCTGCAGACTGACGGAGAGGAATTGTGCAGCAAGAATGTCAGCTTCTGAGAGTTCCCCAGACTAGGAGAGCTAGCATGAACATGCGTCACCCTATGGAAGGTCTCGCTGATTCCACATCAGAGTTCGTTCTTTCAAGAAAAGAAAGCACACCCTTGAATTGAGAAAGGGTTTTGCAGGAAACACAGAACCTCCATTGGTTGGATTCCCGTTCAATTCTGAGAATGAGCAAGGGACGTTGACTGAATCAAGTACTTCCCCTGGAATTCTCGCAGAGTTTCTCTTTGTTTTCTGGAGCCCTCCACAAACGATCCCATTCCCAGAAAATTTCGGAATGCGAGCGGGGGATGATCTGTGACGTTTCATCCTTAACTGGGCAAGAAAAATCTCATTGTTGTGGACAGGAACAGGAAGGAGAGAGATCGGGGTAGCAAAGACATACGTGAACCAGCCGGTGTTGCTGAAGGTGTGGAAGAGGAGCTTCCTCTCGCGGCCATCCGCCTCCCCGCCCTCCGCCCACGCCGCCAACTCGGTCGCCAACCGGGCGATCCTCCCCTCCATGCCCTTCCCGAGGTCGAGCACCAGCTCCCCCACGGGAACCACGAAGGACACCGTGCGGATCCCCCTTTCCTTGTACATCTCCGCGTACCTCCTCAGGTGCTTGTGCTCCGCGCCCAGCCAGCCCAGCAGCACCGCCGTCCATACTGCTCCTTCGTCGAAGGCGGCGCCGCTGCGAGGCCCGCCAACGCCCTCTCCGGGCGGGAGTTCCCACGCGTGGAAGAAGCCCTCCGCATTGAGGGAGGAGGAAGACGCGAGGCTGTTGGCTTTGGCCGCGGCGGCGCCGCCGACCCAACGAGGTTTGAAAGAGAGGGATGAGAAGAGGAGCAAGCGAGGCGGCACCCCACGGGGGGCGGCGGAGGTAAAGCCGCGGCGCCGAAGATGGCGGCCAGCGGCGGAGCAGCCCAGGAGGGCGAGGCGCCCCGCCGCCGCAGCGGCGGAGGCCTCCATGTGGGCGGGGAGACCTCCTATTGAGAGTCGAGCTTCTGAGGCTGCGGGGACTACCGATGGTTGAATAATATCTATAGAGATTCAGCTTCGTCCGAGAAGGCGCTCCTGCGAGGAGCCATCGTCGGGAGGAAGGAGGGGCAGAGTGAATGGAGAGAAAGGCGAGGCTATCAGCCGCTTTCACCAGGATGTTGAGGTTCTAAAAACGGAGGATTTCCGAGGATGGTGAGGTTGTGGGGAGAGAGACGGCGCCATCGTCAAGGCTCCCGGGCCTTCACGAGGATGGTGATGGCGAGGGAAACAGCGTTCTCGCCCCCAAGCTGATCTGTGACACCCCTCGCTTCATCTTCGTGACGGTGATCCCTCAGCATCCGGGTTGTGGGTCCCGTCCCCTTCCTTTCCAAGCCCGATTCGGTCTTGGCCCAGGCCCGAAGCCAAGTCTGAAAACCAGGCTCCGGGCACGGCCCAGCCCCTTTTGGAATAAGAGAAGCGAGGGGGTGGAGAGAAGCCACGCCATGCCCGATGTCGGGGAAGGAAGATTGAACTACGAGGGTCCCAGGAGGCAAAAATCCGCCGAATTCAACTCAACCACAGCCGCAGCTCTCCTCCTGTTTCTGGTCCACCACAAGAGCTATACATGGCCCTGGCTACTCCTCGATCACTCAATTTTCCGATTGCAAAACCCCCCACGCTCCCCTGTCCCTCCCTTCCACCGCTTTTCTTGTCTGCGCAGCAAGAAACCGAGGTTCTGTGGTGGAACTCCGGGAGGAGGCGGTGGAGGGGGGGTTCTTAAGGGATGTCTGCTGCTGTGACGCCCTTCGCCGGCAACAACATTTGCTGCCCCAAGTCCGCCCTTCAGAAGCAACCCTCCGCCTTCATCGCAAAAACCAGGAATCTCCATGGCAGCTGCCTCCAGTGCTGCAGTAAAGGCGGCAGACTGAGGAGGAGGAACTTGCTTATCTCACAGGGAGTCGCCTCTGGCTCGGTTTTCTGCTCTCTGCTAACTGCAGACATTCCTGCCCAAGGTCTGTTCTCTCCTTGCCCCTCCCATTCGCGTCACTCATCGCAATTTCTTTTCTCCAATGCAGAGGTGCCCAGAAACTCCCAAAGCAATATATATTCTTCTGATAGTTAGCTGGCGGTATTCTTGAGGTTTCCCTGCGGACATCTCTCATTTTCCATGTTCTGTTTCTTCTTGTTGGCGTGTGTATTCAATTAGGGTATCTAGAAAAGACCATTGGATCTCTTGCAGGACCATCCAGACATTGTAATGTGATGTGATGTGATGAGTGAGGTTCTAGCGATGGGCGTGAGCCCTACGGGGCCCTCCTAACAGTTGGTGCACGCCAACCTGTAGAAAACTATGAAAGAGGCACAGGTTGGTGCAAATGCTCCCCTTTCGATAGGAACTCCATGAGGAAATTTCTGAATGCCCGCAACAAGCTCGTGGTCTGAAGGTTTGTGGAGAGAAAAAGGAGGGGATGAAAACATGCGCTGCCATGAAAGAACTCAGGCTGCATGTTCTTGCGATTCAGTGGAGAGAAGGCCGTAGGCTCAGCGCATCACTGGGCAGAGTTTCATGTATATGCCAAGTCTTTTTCTTGTGCCAAGCCCTCCGCTGAATATTTGCGGATAATCTCTTAGCGCATGATTGAAGAACTACATATAGCAAGCATTTTCCTGTCCTGCCCAGTGATGCGCCTGTGGTTGATTGATGGCGACCACAATTTTCTGGCCTTCTTCTGCTCTAAATCAACAGTTTTTTATCATGCTACACGTTCTTTGGCCTTGAATCAGAACAGGGGCATTCTAGGCTGTCAAACCTGGGACTCTTTCTGCTAAAAGTGCCACAGTTATGAACCATGCTTTCACTGTTATGAACCAAAATTGCTGACGAAGAAATTGGCACCCTGGGTGGTTCCTCCCACTCCCACTTCCATTTTCATGTCGGCAAATCAGCCTCGTCCTCTTCCTCCTCCTCTTCCTCTTCCTTCTCACGAGATTAATATCAGTTTTAGGCTTGCATTTGTGACCTTCGATGGAATTTCTTAACTTGGCTTTGGAAAACGCTTGCGTGCGCGCGCAGGAATGGAAAGGCTGCCCTTCAAGCCGGAGGGTTACAACTTCTGGACGTGGCGGGGTCGCAAAATACACTACGTAGAGCAGGGAAGTGGACCCCCGGTTGTTCTTATCCATGGCTTCGGCGCCTCTGCGTTCCACTGGAGGTGCCCTGCTCTCTTTTACTTATCTCTTTGGCCGATAATCCTGCTAGCGGACCTTGGCTATTCTCTGATGCTGTTCATGTAGCTTCTTCGCTGACATGACACCTGGTTCGCGTTTTGCAGATACAACGTGCCAGAACTGGCCAAGCAATACAAGGTTTATGCTTTGGACCTGATAGGGTTCGGCTGGAGCGAGAAGGCGATCATCGAGTACGACGCGACCGTGTGGAGGGACCAGGTTGCCGACTTCCTCAAGCAGGTGGTGAAAGAGCCAGCGGTTCTCGTCGGGAACAGGTGAGCAGCGGAGAACGAGACCGCAGCCTCCATGAATGTTGGAGTCTGATCCTCGAATGGTTCGACTTTTCAGCCTGGGAGGCTTCACGGCGCTGATGGCGGCGTCGGAGCTGTCCGACGCCGTTCGCGGGGTCATCTTGCTGAACTCCGCCGGGCAGTTTGAGAACCAGAGCCAGAGAGCGGAGGACAGGAGCGAGGAGTCGATCCCGAAGAAGTACCTGCTGAACCCCTTGAAGGAGGCGTTGCAGAGGGTCATACTGGGGTTCCTGTTCTGGCAGGCGAAGCAGCCTTCTCGCGTTGAGTCCGTCCTGAAGAGCGTAAGCTTCTCTTCCGCGCAAACCCGGCGGCGATCCTCGCCGGCCATCTTCTTCGTGCTCGCGCTGGTGATGCTGACGGGGATGTTCTTGCGGCGTGCAGGTGTACATCAACTCGACCAACGTGGACGACTACCTCTTGGAATCCATCACGCGGCCGGCGGCGGACCCCAACGCCGGCGAAGTCTACTACCGGTGAGTACATCAGCTTCTCGGTGGCCTCTGCAGCAGTGAATGATTTTTTCTGTGGAACGCAGGCTGATGTCGAGGTTCATGGCGAATCAGAGCAAATACACGTTGGACAGCGTCCTGAGCCGGCTGACCTGCCCTCTCTTGCTGTTGTGGGGGGACCTGGACCCCTGGGTGGGGCCGGCCAAGGCCGAGCGGATCAAGGCCTTCTACCCTAAGACGTCCGTGGTCAACCTTCAGGCGGGCCACTGCCCCCACGACGAGGTCCCCGCCCTCGTCAATGCGGCCTTAGTCGATTGGCTGTCCTCTCTCTAACAACTCTCTCTCTCTCTCTCTCTCTCTCTCTCTCTCTCTCTCTCTCCAGATGCCATGTCTGTAAGGGAACCCACTTCTTCCAGTAGAATACAAGGATGTAGTGTACGTCGTCCACTGTAAAAAAGAGGCGCCTTTGCGCTGATATTATGTTAATGGTCGGTATGGGTCTTCGTCCCCACGACCACCAAATCTTTATAAAAAAAACGTCGCTAGCTCGCCAAGCGTTGAACCTACCCGAGTTCCCGTCCAAGTTACTCTAAAGAATGCACCGGACCTCATTTTTCTCCTTCCACGCGGTCTCACCTGACTGCGCCGCTGTCGGCTTCCCCGTCCCTCTAGAAGAGTCGATGCCCCCCTACTCCGATAAATTAGGAGTCCTTCCCGGCAAGGAGACGAGGAGAAGAGGCAGCGAGAATGGCGGCGACGGGGAAGAGCAGCGTGCTGGTGATCGGGGGCACGGGGTACATCGGAAAGTTCATTGTCCTGGCCAGCGCCAAGGCGGGGAATCCGACCTTCCTCCTCATCCGTAAGAGCTCCGCCGAGTCGGCCGGCCCCGAGAGGGCGGCGCTCCTCCAGAACTTCAAGGACGCCGGCGTCACCTTCCTCTATGTAAGGACCTCTCCCTCCCCTGATCTATTTCCCCCCTGGGAGGAGAGACATCTGAAGGTTATGGCTGCCGCAGGGCGATCTGCTCGACCACGAGAGCCTGGTGAGCGCGTTCAAGCAGGTGGACGTCGTCATCTCCGCAGTGGGAACTCCCCAGCTGCCGGAGCAGACTAGGATCGTCGCCGCCATCAAGGAGGCCGGCAATGTCAAGGTAAGAAGATGAACGATAATAAAAGAGCTCCTCCCCTCGCCGGATCCGCTGATCGATCGATCTGTTTGGTCCATCTGCAGCGGTTCTTCCCGTCGGAGTTCGGTAACGACGTCGACCGCGTCCATGCCGAGGAGCCCGCGAAGTCGGCGTTCCAGGCCAAGATCGATATCCGACGCTTGGTGGAATCAGAGGGCATCCCCCACACCATCGTCTCCTCCAACTTCTTCGGCGCCTATTTCCTCCCCTCCCTCACCCAGCCCGACTTCCCCAGTTCGCCGCCGCGCGACAAGGTCATCATCCTCGGCGACGGTAACCCCAAAGGTACGCCACCGCCGTCCGTCTCTGGGACGATCGACGAGCGCCGGCCGATGACTGTGCCCCCTCCATCCCGCAGCCATCTTCGTGCTCGAGGAGGACATCGCGACGTACACGATCAGGGCGGTGGACGACCCGCGCACGCTGAACAAGATCCTGTACCTGCGCCCGCCGGCGAACATCCTCTCCTTCAACGAGCTGGTCACCCTCTGGGAGGGGAAGATCGGGAAGACACTGGAGAAGACCTTCGTCCCCGAAGAGGAGATCCTCAAGAATATCAAAGGTGAACCCTCCGCCGCTCCTCTCCGCCTGTGACGACGGTGTTCCTGATGGCCTTTTTCCATCGCGGGTTCTTTCTTGCAGAGTTGCCGTTCCCGGCGAACCTCGTGCTGGCGATCACACACAGCGTGTTCGTGAGGGGAGACCATACCAACTTCGACATCGAACCGTCGTTTGGCGTGGAGGCCTCGGAGCTCTACCCCGACGTCAAATACACCACCGTCAGCGACTTCCTCAACCGCTTCGTCTGAGGGACGCGGAGGCGGCGCCGCCCGAGGGAGCCCCTCTCCTTCACCATGCCGGTGGCGTGTACCCAACTCACCGCAGTTGTGTGGCTGTTATCGGTTTAAATGTGTCAACTGTGGCTGGGCAGAAGGTCAGCGTTTAGACTCGAGTCGGGCGTATCATAATTATCTGCCGATAAAGAATAACGTGCGCTATTTTATTTTGCTCAACGTGCACTTAGTGTAGTCCTCATCAGCTGTTCTCGGCCAATGGGAAATCTCCAACGGTGGACCCAATCTTTCCAAGAATGTGAAGGGGTCCGAATTAACTTCAGGCCATGCTCTATCCATAGATTTGTCAGCTGAAGTACCCAAAAATGGGCGTGAAATTGGTAGGAAAGGAAGGGGGCAGCAGACCAATCTCAGTTCATCCTTGCCAAATGAGGATACAGCTACTTTGCAAATTATCTATGAATAATTCCATGGCCTATGCATTAATTAAAGAGACGAGAACTTGATAACTGGTTGTTATGGGTAAATTATTATTATTATTATTATTATTATTATTATTAAAATCAATACGTATTAAATATTTGCTTCCGGGCCTTTGACTGCAGACGGATCACTGAATCCGTGTCAAGCACCAGCTGAACCCGGACACCGGGCTGGTCAACGTAGCCACAGATTTCTTGCTGACCAGATCCCCATTTTCTTCGCAAAATCTCTTGACTGACCAGATCCCTTTCAAAAGGTGTAGAGCGAGAGAGAGAGAGAGAGAGAGAGAGAGAGAGAGAGAGAGAGGCCAAAGTGGCAAAAGCGGGCCAGTAGCTTGAAGCCGTAGTCTTATTGCATGCGATTCTGGGAATCTTACCTAGATAGGTGCTTTATTCATCGGCTTGATTGGTCATAATGAGTAGTAAGCATTTTTTAATATAGTGCCATAAATATTCCTATTAATAACCATTCGAGCCCGAGGTGTATGATTATTATTATTATTATGAGTGGAGGGGTAAATGTGAAATGTACTGTGAATAATATAAAATAAGATATAGTGTTTATATTTTCTTACTCCGGACGAGAGTTAACTGGGAGTAGCGAACTTTTTGGGTCGAGGAGGTCAAAACCGACCCCGAGTCAGACTACGATCTGGTGATTACGATCGTGTGGGCCGACCCGGGAACTTCGTTCCCGGGATTTCGGCCCATTTAAAAGAGGGATTTGGCCCAATCAAATGGGAGGAAATTCATACTTCCGTGTCTCTTCCCGTCATTTGGCACCAGCTTCACCCCTCTCTCTCTCTCTCTCTCTCTCTCTCTCTCTCTCTCTCTTTCTCTCTCTCTCACTCCCCATCACCGCTTCGCTCTTTCTTCTTCGTCTTCTCTCTCTCTAGGCTCTCTCTCTCCCCCCCCCCTTCAGCTCGCACTTGGCCGCGGCCGCCGCCGCCGAGGACGAAGGCCCGAGAACCGGGGGGAGACGAAGAGCCTGGTTGTCGTTCTCACATCGGATATTGACGCGATGGGGACGCTGGGGAAGGCGATCTACACGGTGGGCTTCTGGATCCGAGAGACGGGGCAGGCGATCGACCGGCTCGGTAGCCGCCTCCAGGGAAGCTATTACTTCCAGGAGCAATGTAAATACCACTCCTTCCTTGATGAATGCGTTTCTTTTTTATCGCCCCTTTTTCTGTTCTTGTCCTTGTCTCGCTGAACCAAGCGCCGTGAGATTCTGCTGTGTTGGGAACTAGGCTGGAAGTCTTAGGGTTATGTTATCTGAAAGAAAATTGCCCCTGGCAAGATGAGGCTGCAGTTTTTCGCCTATGCTCGGTCATAGTCTCTGGAAAGAAGTTCTCCTGTAGTCGGATTCAATGAATGTATTCATTTAACTTGAGTTGTTGACCTGTGAAGGCTGGTTGGAGGGATCATGTCATTATTTACCCCCTCTTAGAGACCCGCAGTTTCCGACGACATATGAAAGGGGCATAAAATGATGATATTCATGGATTACACTTCCATCGGTTATTCTTGTTAAATTATTCTACTGAACAAACTTTCGTTCTTCTTTGAAATGCCATTGAATGAGTGATTTTTGGGCACTTTATCTTTGTCCTCTTTATCTCATGTGCTTGCATATCTCATCAATTATTCGGAATTGGTATATTCTAGACCTCATCTCATTGCAAAGTCGAATCAAAGCATAGGCGTATCCTAATTTTACCTAATATGAAGTGAAGGGTGGGGTCAGGTGTCCCTAACTTTCACAGCAATGTCTACAGTAAATTATGTGTACTCGTCACATAGGCATCGCTGTCCTTTTTGAGACATCTAGAAGTTCAGCAACTTTGGCAGAAAATGTTCCCCGGCATTTTCCCACTTCATATCCGTCAATATAGGGGGGAATAATTATAAGGCAACGTCCTTAATAAAAGTGTAGGTTATGGGAACGCTTCACTTGAGAGAATTGATTATGGAAGTAGACAAGATGTCTGCCGAAATTAAGCAGATTTGAAGGAATCTTTAAGACTTCAACAGAACCAACGCTCCCTTTTCCATCTTCAACTGCTCACATATGCCTAATAATATGGATATGGAAGCAAAAATTGCATTGATTGGTCTTTGCCCAGTGTAATGCTAGCCAAGACAAGCCAGTATATCAGTAAGGTATGAAACTCTCTTAAATCCAGTCTGTTCACGCTGAACCTTGTTAACCTGTCCTCAATCAGAATATGATTTTATGATCTATGCTTCTATCTTCTGTTTATTATCCTCTATAATTCATGCCAGGCGAACCTAGGTTTTCTTTTGCTTCATTTTCTTTCAACATCTCGTCTTTGTTCATGTGAGAAAAACAAATACACACTTTTGCGAGGGAAATGTTGCTGCCGTATCTCAAGCCATTGTCAACAGCATTATCATGTTGATCCTGGTTTAGAAGTTGTATTGTGCCTGCAGATAGGATCCTCCGGACAGAAAATGCGAGCCCCTGAGGTTGCTTACAATTGTGATGATGGCAATAGGAGTCCACAATGGAAGGATGACCTCTTATGCGAGTAGTTTTGGTATCAGTAAGATTTCTTTTGATAATTGAACGAGGTGCTAAATTATTGACTCATTTTTCAAAGTAGCTGTCAACAGGATGACTATCTCCTTGGCATTAGCTTGTTATGGGAAAAATTATACAGGAGGGCATCCCATTAGACCATAACTCAAATTCGCCTGTTTGTATTTCTTTGTCGTAATGCCATGAAGTCTATGAAACCCAGAAATCACTCGGGTCTTTTTATGGTACGTTCTAGGAATGATTCATGTGACCTCGTGAGAAACTATGAGCCACCAGCTCATGGAGAGATTATATTTTCAAGGTAGATGGAAACTTGATTGAGTTTAAGGTTTTATATGTCAGTGATGTAATTTATTTAGTTTTCATGAACATCTGTAGGGAAAGAAACTTCTAAGATTATGAGATAAAGGGCAGTAACGAAAAATTATTTCTGATTGTGATTGTTCAAGATCAAAGTTTAACTGACAACTATTTCTGGTTTTTTTTTTTAAATTTACTTTTTGGCGATTGATTGGTGGAAGATATCTACGCAGTGCTCATCTTTTCTTAAAAGTCATGTTTACTGCTCTTAACTCTTCTTATGCCATTGAGGCGAGGCAGAATTTTATTCATCTTCTGCTTGGGATCTGTTATTTTTTGTATTTTTTATTTTTCAATCTTATCTTTTAACAGATTTTTGATATTATGTAAATGCTATTAAGGACCGTCCTACTTTCTATGATGTTTGATACTGTTAATTGCTACATTTTGAAACTGGGATGAAATGCTGATGTCATTGAAGTACGTGATATTCCCTTGAAGATTAATTGGTTGTCAGCACACATTTTTCTCCGTAGCATTCATGAGATCTGGATGGTTGAAGCTTGGACTTCAGGGTTACCATGAATATTCTGAAAACTGAGATTGAAAGGATTTATAGTTTGGAATTTTTATGTCATTTTATTATTTCTTGCATTTTCTCTCGTATAGCTGCATGCATAAAACTGTATTTGAACTTTATGTTTCAGCCCTAGGCACAACTAATATCTTTGAACTTATTCCAATATGATGAAGAAACAAATGTTGTTAGGTATTCTTCCCATGCGAAGTATGACATTTGCAGCGAATCTTGCCCAATTTGGCTAACTCTTATGGTTGTAGCGGCAAGGGTTTATACCTCATCAATGAAGATAGCTTTAGGATTTAGGGGTTCGGAAGAGGTTTTGATTACTCGTAAATAATCTGATGCCTAATCGTTCCTCACCTTTCCTTCTTCCCGCTGTATAATTTTGATAATTTACATTTTTCGCCATTGTTCCCAATATAGTAAAACAAGCTCGTCTTCTTGCTTTTGCTCTTCCCCAATTTCTGTCAAGGTTTTGGTTAGCCGCTAGTATGACATTATTTATCGGCTGCTAGCCTTGTATATTTAAGTGCAACTGCACGGGGCCAAACGACACTATAACAAATTCTTTGCACGGATAGTGGCCGTTGTTTAGATTATTTGATATACCCGTAGCAGAGATTTGATCCTTTAAGCGCTAATGTTTTCTCCGTTTTTTTAATGAGACACACATGGGCCAGATTGTACGATCCCACTTACGAAATGTTGAGGTGAACAATTGATTGTGGAGGAGCCATGCTACAAGGCTGAAAAAAAGTCGTCATTGCTTGCAGACAGAAAGTTTGTTTATCTGGACGATACGCTTGAAAGAAACCTCAAATCATCTGAATAAGGACCATGGAATCCTATATTATGTAGTAAGTCTAGTAGCGGACTTAAACTCTTGGAGCATGGTATGAGTTGCAATATTTGGAGTTGCTGATGAAACTTGGTGTGTAGATTGGAGTGGGTAGCATTCCATTATTTCTATGTTGTGAGAGATTTTATCTACTTTTATAAGGAATGTAGAACTCTCTGCGTGTCGATGCAATGCTTTTTCAATGGATGATGAACCTGTTCATTCTTTAACATAGTTATCCTTTATTGATGATGTGTTATCATCCTATTTACAAAAACATGCTTAATAGCATATCGGGTTGATCCTCGTTTAATGTTCATTGACATATGTTTTTCTGTTCGATTTGACATTGACGGATGCGCATATCATTTTCAGTGTCCAGGCATCGGACTCTCATGAACATATTTGATAAAGTCCCCAATGTTGATAAGGAGGCCTTTGTGGCTCCAAGTGCTTCAGTTATTGGGGATGTTCAGGTCGGACGTGGGTCTTCAATCTGGTACGGGTGTGTTTTAAGAGGTATGGTAGTACTTATTTTAAGCTGATAAATACGTTCGATTTCTTCATTACGATATATGGATTGTCTGTCGGGGATGTTTGTTTTCCTCATTCGTATAAAATGCTACATTCCTGATGTCATGACATAAATGACTAACGTACAGTGTTCTTTACAATGCGAGACATAAATGACTAACGTACATGTTCAACATAGAAAAAAATGCGAAATAGACTTGACTCTCCACTGGCATGGTGAAGAGAGGATATTCTCAGATATTTTGGGCTTCATATTGTTCTATAGTACTTCATGAAAGGAATTAAGTGCTTTTAAGGGGGTTTTTTCTTTTTCAGCCATTCTCTTTTGGAAGGGGCCAATATCGTGTTCTTTGTTGAAAGAAAAACGTTTTGTGAAAGCAGAGCCGATCCTTCCTGATTCCCTCAATTGACCAAGCAGAGAGTTATCGCAAAGGCTTGTTATTTGTATGTATACGGCCAGTGAGTCTCATTTAACCTTCGAGTCGTGATATCCATCCATCAAATTCTAATCTTGTTGAAACAAAATTTCTTCTATCAGGTATGCAATTAAATAGATTTCTTTAATATTTTACATCATGATAAAACTAGCCAATGACAAGAGAACCGTGTATCTTAATCCGAGGAGAGCCGTTTTCAATGGAATAAAAATGAACTGGCAATCTGTATTTAGGTAGGCCCTGTTGCTTTTGAGCTTTGAACATGAAAATTCAACTCTTTTTTTTTTACTGCTGATGTTCTCACATGATATGTTGACAAAGATTTCTTAAAGACAATAGGTCTGTCGTTATGAGATAAATTCTTATTTTTCCATATTTTTTCCATGATACTTTTGAGCGTTGCATTTTTTTCCTTTTCTTCTCTTTTTTTCTGGGAAATCACACCCTGAAAAGTGAGATTATGTTATTTTCCCCATTTTTCATCAAGAAAATGATTTAGACTGGCCTCTCAACATTTCCCAATAAATATTAGTTTCCGCTTTGTACCGAATGTCATCACCTTGTCTTTAGGGAAATATTTAATTTTCCCAGAAGGAATGAAAGACAACTTTCATCATACTTTACAACAGCTGGTATAAAAAATGCTCGCTTTTTGGGTTGTGATTGATTTTGGACAATGAGTCAGTCGATCCCGCCTCAACCTTTCTGCGTGAGTTATAGATCGCCAGGGTCAAAAGTCAAAGGTAAAATGCTGGGGATGGTGTAACCCACCCTCTGGTTGAAGATCAATCTCATGGAGGGATAATAAACATATATCATGCACCAAAGCTCGCTCCATTTACTTTCCAAAATCTAAATGCTCCCGCACCCCTTCCCCAAGAAAATCTTACGTGTGTGGTCCGAAACAGGGACTCCTCGAATAGGACAATGACCATAGCTTACATCGGCCCGCTTTGCTATCTGCCGAACAAATGGAACGCCGTGTGTTATTCTTCGTCCTGGGTGTTCTTGGATCTTCATGGGCACGTCCCCCCTTGTCCTCTGTGATGTGGGATCATAGTGACCTTGAATTGAAGCAACCGTAATATTTCAGTGGCATCCGATGCGCCAAGGCTGACACTTCCGTTGCAAATCGTTCATCCTCCAGGTGACGTGAACAGCATCAGAGTTGGGTCTGGGACCAACATACAGGATAATTCTCTGGTCCACGTCGCCAAGTCTAATCTCGCTGGAAAGGTCCTGCCCACCATAATCGGCGACAATGTCACCGTCGGTAAGCAAAAGCAGAGCACCCACCTTTTTGACTGATGCTGCTGCCATGGTGGAGCTGACGAGAAGTGGGATGGATCTTGGTGTTTTTTCTTTGCATACAGGGCACGGCGCCACCCTGCACGGATGCATCGTCGAAGACGAGGCCTTTGTGGGCATGGGCGCCGTCCTGCTCGACGGGGTTGTGGTCGAGAAGAATGGGATGGTCGCCGCCGGAGCCCTCGTGAGGCAGAACACCAGGATCCCCACCGGAGAGGTTGGTCTCGTCCCTTCCCCTGTTTCCGGTCCCTCTGTGTTACGGTGGTCTCTCTTCTTCTTCTTCTCTCTCTCTATCTCTGTCTCTCTGTCTCTCTTGTGAGGGTGATTATGATGATGATTCGGTAGAGGTGGTGCGTTTGTGGGTATGTGCGCAGGTGTGGGGGGGGAATCCGGCGAGGTTTCTGAGGCGGCTGACGGAGGAGGAGCTCGCGTTCATCGCGCAGTCGGCGGCGAACTACGGGAACCTGGCGCAGGTGCACGCGGCCGAGAACGTCAAGGGGTTCGAGGAGATCGAGCTGGAGAAGGCCCTGCGCAAGAAGTTCGCCCGCCGGGACGAGGAGTACGATTCCATGCTCGGCGTCGTCCGGGAGGTGCCCCCCCAGCTCATCCTCCCCGACAGCGTCCTCCCCGCCAAGTCACCCAAGCCGGCCCTCTGAGCTCTCTCTCTCTTCCGACCCACCACCCTCTTTTGAGGCCCTGCCGCTTTCACGGCACTCCTCCCTCTGGAATCCCTCTCTAGGATCTCATTCTCTCTCTCGCTCTTTCGTTTTTGGTGGCGCCCCAATAATTCATGGGCTGAGCCGTGTCTTCGAGGTTGGGACGCGTGCTCTTTCCCTTCTCTGGTTCTTTTCAGAAATACAGGCATTTCTACGTTGTTCAGTCTCGTTCATATTTCCATTTCTTATCACACAAGGTGCATTATGGGGACCTGGGCAAGCCGTGCAGGCAGAGAGAGAGAGAGAGAGAGAACTCGCGTGGCGCGTCCTTTCAGGAACTGACGGGGACCCGAGGTGGAAATGGGCACACGCGAAACCGTAATGGTGAATCTTCGTTGGGAGGGAATGATTGGGAGAAGTATATTCCGTTATCTGTCTAACACTAGTGACCGTCGCTCCCGTTAACATGGACCCAGTACTTGACCTGTGGTTGGCCGTCGCTTTAGTGTTCTATACAAGAGCTGAAGGGCACGGACAGCTCTGCATGGAGAGAGAGAGAGAGAGAGGGGGGGGCAAACCGTGGGTCATCTACTAGATCCATGCGAGAGAGCATACTCCCTCCTACCCAATATCCCAACGTGTTTCCCTCCATAGCCCTCTCTCTCTAGAATCTATCATGCTGCCGCCAGACCAAGTCAGACACGTGATGAGTGACTCCCCGATCGGCGGAAGCTTGCTAGCAAAACGCACGGCTGGCAATTATCGTTCTCTCTCTCTCTCTTTCTTACTGTATCGAGACAGTCGAGGGGCTGCCCATCAACGTCCACACCAGGACAAAGCCCGGCTAAAGTTGAGGCCCACTGTCCTCTTATGAGAGAGACAAGAGATAGGGAGAGAGAGAGAGGACACAAATATTGCAATCATTGTTGGCTCCCAATTAGCTCGATGTAGAGAGAGATTTATCGTACACAAGATTTCTAGTTAGAATCTCTTTCATTGGATTATTTTACGAGAAATAACCCAAAGACCTGCAGGTATTGACAAATCACTCCCTAAAGAAAATCTAACTTGGGCAGAATTCGAACTTCGTATCCCCGCTGATGATGGTTTAATCACAATAATCCTTTGCCCCAGGGTGGAGTCGCAATAATTTCACGAACAAGTCGTTGAGCATCATCATTGCGTGTATAAATTTACCGGGGTACAATTAAAAATTATGGAAATTAGAGGAGGATTATATAAAAACGAGTAAAAGCTGTATTTTAACGGTCAGACAGTGGGCAGATGTGACGTAAGAGTCATGCGTGGGCCCGCGGCCTGCTTTCGGCTCGTTGATCTCGCACCTCGGATTGTTTCCCTTCCCCCCTTCATAAAATATTCACTTGTAGATATGCACTGATATTTTGATAAATATCTCTACCCTCCTGTACGGGCCTCTCCTGGATGTTTAATTTAAAGCGGTTTTAATTTATTTAAATAATTTTTTCCTTTAAATTTATGGTAAATGAAGAGTACAAAGGGCGTGTGAAGATTTCGAGAAAAGGGGAAGAAATGATTTATTAATACATCGTAGGGAAAAGGTGGTCGCCGGGAGGGAAAAGCTGCTTTCGACAGGGGCACCCGAGCAAGAGACCAGAAAAACGAGGGGTACCAGAGAAAAGTTCCAAAAGCCCCCCACCCCTTCCGGAAAGAAAAGATGGCACCAAGTATACGTATCAGGCTAATTCTCAAAATATATGGATAAAACATGATTAATGATGTGATATTATCAACCACTGTTTGCCTCTCCGCCATAAAATAATATCAAAGTAATAATTAATGGACGTAATATTGATTTAAAAAATTATTTAATAGGACTACCCGCGTTCAGTCGAGTCTCTCTCTCTCTCGCACACGGTGGGGGGAGGGAGAGAGTGGAAGGAGAAGAGCAGGAGCTCAGCAGAGCGGACAGCCCTAGTGAGCAAATCCTCAAATCGAAGGGCTTCGGAGAGGAGAGAGAGGACGAGGGAAGCTGTACACCGGCTGTCCATGGAGGACTACCAGGTCCAGCGCCCGGCCCCGGTGGCGGGGTCGACGCGTTCTGGAAAGCTGGGGCCCGGGGGAGGCGGCCAGGCGAGGCGCGCAGCGTCGTTGAACTACGGGGAGATTTTCGGGGCCGCTTCTGCCTGCTCCATCCCGGTGCTCGATCTGCCGCCGGCCGAGGATGGTCTCGACTTCCGCCATTGCTCGGCCATGGACTATCTTGACATCTTCGGTGGCTTTGACGGCCGCGATTTCGGCGTCTCCTACGAGGAACTCTACGCTTCCCAGGATTCCAGAGGTATGGGAGCGCCGGCACCATCGGCGCCTGACGGAAACATCAGCAGGTCTGACCTGGTCTCCTTCCTTCCACCTCTGTCACTTCGTTCTTCTTCCTCTCTCTCTCTCTCTCTCTCTCTCTCTCTCTCTCTTCCCCCGGCGGAGAGACTCGATGAAGGAATATTCACCATCTAGGCTCCCCTCGGTGAGAGTGGGTAGAATATACTAAGACATGAAGCAACCTTGTGGGCTCGATGGTAGAAGACTCTGTACAGAAACATCGGTAGGTCTGTGAATCTGATTTAGCGCTTCACTCGTACTAATTTGGGGGGATTCCTAGTTCTCATTCCTGTGGTGCCCGGCGATTCGAGCTTCATCAATATGTTTCCAAGAAGAACTTGCCCATCAGGAAAGGATTTATTCATGCTCAGAGATCAGATTTTAATGGAGTCATGGCTCCTCTATTCTCAAGTGCAGCCAAATATTTCTTGTTGTAGCAGGATCCTCGAACTTTTGGTTGTCTTTGTCTGCAAATCTCCGAAGATTATGATGCTTCTGATCATACTTTCTGAGGCATCAATGAATCGACAAAGGCAGTCCACATGAGTTTTCAGTATCACTGGGAGCTATGAATTAGATAAAACTGTAATTTTTTGCCCTTTGTTACTCTAAATTCCTCAGTATTTTCCTAGATTATTCATCCCAATACACATTTAACGAGCATTGATTTTATGGCCTCGCTGAAGTGATATTTATGCTGATGCTTGCTCAGTGAGATGGCCCTGATGCTCCACATGTTACCAGGCTGCCGGATGAGAGCCACATGACGTACTCGCCTGCACCATCTCGGTGTTGGTTGCTCTATTGGCATAGGACTGTAGGCCGTGGCCTGGGTCGTCTTATAAACGTTGCTGCTGCATAGCCACTATCACTAGGAGATGTGAATTGAAACAACAACGGTGGTTTCTACCCATAGTTTACTTAAATGGATTGCCATTTCTCAAATCAGTTGGCACGAAAAACCCTCCACGGCTTATTTGGGAAAAATCGACTCTATTTTTTATTATAACTTAATCTTTAGCAGGTTATCACTGATCGTGGTTTGTGGCTTTACAGAGATTTAAGAGGTGTGGGAGGATCAGTTCCCTTTGAAGGCAGAAGGGGTCAGGTTGGATCGTCATCAAATGGCATTGCTGACAATATAGATGATGGTGATGGTGATAGCACAACAGAATTGAATGGATTGGACCACGTGGCTGGCAGCACAAGCAAAGGAAACTTAGTCAATGGATTGAACGGTAGACATGTCCACATTAGGCATGGGCTGGATGTTTTTGTTGAAGAGAGAGAAGTCAAACGGCCTTGTGATCAGGCAGATGATATTAATTGCAGCAGGGGCACATCAGGACTGCATTTGGGAAAGACCGTGCTATCGTTCTCTTCCCTCAGCAGCGGAAAGTATTCTGGAGATGACCCAAAAGCAGATCAAATGCCTTCTCAGCCAGACATTTTCACCTCTGAGGGTTCATCTGGGGACCAACCAACTGCTCAAAGGCCCAGGGGTATCAGCCATACAGCGTCAAATAATCTGAATCTTCATGGGAATTCAATGGAGAAGACGACGTCCTTGGATTCTCAGTGTGTTACTTCTGAAGATTTTAGGGCAAATGGGGAACACCATCCGAGCTATTCCAATGGCTTTGCGGCATTCAACATGAAGGCCAAGTCATCTTCCGGTCAACTTACAAAGGACATCTTCTTCAATGAAGGCATCATTGACATTGCGGAAGGGATAAATCTCAGCAAGAAATCATTGCCTGGATCCCCACCTGGCAGCAGTTCCCGCTGCAGCTCACAGAGCCCAGAGAATGACAGAATCCCCGATCAACTGAGAGCTTCTCTAAATGAGGGACGCTTCTCTCACTCTTCTAGTGCGCATTCATTGTCCAGCTTGGATCGGAATTATTCCGGTGGTGCATTCTTGAAGGTGACCGATATCAGCCTTCGGACCCATCCCTCTCAAGGGCCACCTCCTAGCCGGCCACCACCTGCAAGGCCTCCGCCAAAGTTTGATCCTGATGAAAGAAGTTTTTCCAGGATGTTGACTGATCATCAGGGCTATGCTGTTGGGTCTGGGACTTCCTATCATTCATTTAAGCCTCCTACCTTTGATGCAGAAATGAGCACAAGCTCGGCTGCAGCAGCTTCTGTTGCTGCCATGCAAGAGGCAATGGCAGTGGCTCAAGCCCGACTGAGGAGTGCAAAAGTATCAATGGAGAGGAAGAAGGACAACCTTCAAAACCGCAGGAAAATAGGCTTAAGTGAAGAGCTGAGTAGTGTGAAACGAGACCAGTGTGAAATTGAGCAAGAGAGGCAGAGGATCAGAGAAGAGCAGGTTGCTGCTGGGGAAATAAATAGCTCTGCTGCAGCACTAAAAACGGTGAAGGGCTCCAGCCCACCTGTGCAGACTTTGAACTCGGAGAAGATAGGAAGTAAGTGCTCGCCAGGTGGAGGGAAGGTCGGTTTATCAAAAGAAGCTGGGGAATGGAAAGTGGAAGAACAGTTTTATGAGCTCATACAATGTGAGGAAAAGTTCATAAAGATTCGAAAGGATTGCAGTAATCAAGAGGAATCAACCGCAAAAGCTTGGATTGATGAGGGAGAAACGAAAGAGAGCAAAGACACAGAACTGCATTTAGATCTCCAAGACCGCGAGAAGCGTTCAGCAACTGATGGGGTGTTGAAGCAGGAGGGTGGTGACGAACTGCAAGAGCCTAGCCTGATCCATCTTGACCACATCAAGCACCTGAGGTCAAAGGAGACCGCAAAAAATCATCCAGAGAAGAACCCAGGGGAAGGAGGGATTCAGGAGGCGCTGCCCCGGACTGGGCTGGAAACCAAGTGGAGGGCATCCGAGAAGGCTTTCATATGCGAATTGGGTGAGAAGAATCTGAAAGCGAATGCTGGTTTGCGTAAATCCAGAACAAGAATTGCAGAATACTCAGAACCCCATGTAGAAGAGGAGATAAAGGAAACAAAGACGACCCAGTGTGCTAGCGAGGACCCTGAAGATGAGCTCGGAGCAAAGCCGGAGGCCCGCAGCTGGGAAGGTGACGAGGTAAAGCCCGGTGGATGCGATGGCACTGCAGAGGAAACAGAAGAACTCTGTGAAACTGAGAAGGAACTTCGACAGGAGGCAAAGCCTGATGCTTCGCCCATCCCTGGTAATGCTGAACCTTCTCCAACAGTCTTCAGTGGCGCAATCGAGGAAGCTGATATCGTTGGTGAGGGAGCCATAAAAGATATAGAAGCAGGGGGCGCTGAAGAAGCCACTTTGTCTGGAAACCAATGCCAGATTGCTGGAACAGAGGGAGAATCCGTGGAGAATGAAAGTGCGGGATGCCTTGTTGAGCAGGAATCTGAACATGATGATGCAGGGAAAGATTTAAGCGCGATGAAAATGGACCGAGATCAGGTGAGAAATGTGGAAGAGAAGAAAGAGGCGACAATAAAGTTGGCAGAAGATGGGGCGAGGGTGAAGTTCGAAGCAGAAGACGAAGCAGAGAGGGCGAGGAGAAGGCTTGAGGAGGAGGAGCAGGACAGGGAGAGGGAAAGGCTCGAAGAGGAAGATGAGAGGGAGAGGAGACAGCTAGAAGAGGACAGAGAGAGGGCAAGAAGGTTACTTGAAGAAAAGGAGGAGAGGGAGAGGAGGAAGCTAGAAGAAGAAGAGAAAGAGAGAGTGAGAAGATCGGAAGGAGAAAAAGAGGACGGGGAGAGGAAGAAGTCAGAAGATGAAGAGAGGGCGAGGAAATCTGGAGGAGAGGGGAGTAAACTAAAAGAAGAGACGGGTGGAAGGAAGTTAGACGAGAGGGCTAGCAGTTTTGACGAAGTTGAACAGGAGGGAAGGAAGCCCGAAGAGAGAGTGAGAGGGAGGTGGAAAATAGAAGAGGAAAAGCTGAGATTCAGAAAGTTAGAAGGGGTGATCGAGGGCGAGTGGAGGAGCACAGGAGAAGAAAAACAGAGGGACAGGAGAAGAATAGAGAAAGAGAAGGATAGAGAGAGAAGAAGGATGGAAGAGGAAAAAGAGAGTGAGAGAATGAAGATGGAAGAAAAAGAGAGGGAGAGAAGAAAGTTGGAAGAAGAGAGGGACAGGGAGCGGGAGAGAGAAAAAGACAGGCAAGCTGCCGAAAGAGCTGCGCGGGAGGCTAATGAGAGGGCATTCGCCGAAGCTCGGGACAGGGCTGAGAAGGCCACGGCGGAGAGAATGGCGGCCGAAGCTCGGCAGAGGGCGCTGGCGGAGGCCCGGGAAAGAGTGGAGAAGGCATCTTCCGAAGCTTTGGAGAAATCTCTGGTAGACAAGACTGCTCGGGAGGCCAGATTGAGGGCTGCGGAGCGTGCTGCTGTCGAGAGAGCGACTGAAGAGGCTCGGGAGCGCGCCGTCGAGAAGGCCATGGCCGAGAAAGCGGCCCAAGAAGGGAGAGTGCGCGGAGACAAGTCTGCAGCTACTACTCCAGGTGATGGGTTAAAGCAGAACACCGACTTTCAGCAATTTCCTCTCTCTACAACGCATCGCGTTCAAAGATAACCACTCCATTGACAATGATGATCCACATCCAATGCATTTCCTTCCTTCCATTGCATCACATGGGTTCCATCTCAAAGAAAAATGTTTCCTTTTTCATTTGCTGAAGTTTCCACCGCGAGTGAGAAACCCGGAAGCTTCGAGGTCGAGTCTGCCATCCGGTGCAAGGCGAGGATGGAAAGGCACCAGCGGACCGTCGAGCGTGCGGTAGGTGGCGCCAGCGTCGAATTCTACCTCCCTCCTTCAGAAGGTCCACAAAGAGTTTCTAATTCTTTCTGTGTGCCTCAATCTCAGGCGAAGGCTCTGGCTGAGAAGAACCTGAGAGACGTCATCGCCCAGCGAGAGCAGGCTGAGAGAAATGTAAATCCCCGCCATCCTTCCCGCTCATCATCCCTCCATCCGAATTCTCGCTAACCAGTTCCATGGCCCCTGCAGAGGCTTGCGGAAGCCCTTGATGCGGAGATCCGGAGATGGTCGAATGGGAAGGAGGGGAACCTCCGGGCCCTCCTCTCGACCCTGCAATACGTGAGCTCTCCATCCCCGTCGCCTCGCCCCCTCCTTCCCAGCTTCTTCAGTCTAATTCTCCGATCCGGTCGACCAGTCGTTTAATTTCTTCGTGTCTATGGTTGCCACCGATCCCTCTGTGGCAGATTCTCGGGCCGGAGAGCGGTTGGCAGCCGATCTCGCTGACGGAGGTCTTGACGGCCCCAGCCGTGAAGAGGGCCTACAGGAAGGCCACCCTCTGCGTCCACCCCGACAAGCTGCAGCAGAGGGGCGCCTCCATCCAGCACAAGTACATCTGCGAGAAGGTCTTCGATCTCCTCAAGGTCTGCCTGGCCCCCCCCTCTTTTCCCACCTTTATACTGAAGAACGAACACAGTGCTCGCTGCCTGATCCATTACGGTTCTGTCTGCGTCTCTCCTGCAGGAAGCCTGGAACAGGTTCAATTCAGAGGAGCGCTAGTCTTGGCGGGCACTTGACTTGATTGATCATCGCGTTCCTTGGGGTTCTTTTTTTATTTATTTATTTTTGGCTCGATTGCTGGGGAGAGCAATTTGGGAAGAAAAGGAACCCTTTTTTTCTTCTTCTTCTTCTTCTTCTTCTTCTTCTGTTCATGTAATCTTTCTCTGCATGCTGGCCCTATATGTACACTGCTTTCTTTATAGGTAGGGATTAGTGGGGTCGTATATTTCGCCCGAAAACCTCTCTAATGTGCGATTATTAGATTGAAGCACGTGCCGATCGTAGGTCATCTAGAAGGCTTCGTGTTTTAGGGGAGAGGAGAGTGTCCACTGCAGGGGTTTTCCTTCGTCGATGGGGCGTTGACATTTAGATTTTTTTTGTTTTTTCTGAAACTATGATGAAATGAGAGCGATTTCAGGGGTTGACTCCTGCCAGTATCGGAGGCTTCTTTGACCTCTGTCCACTCCTCTCTCTCTTCGTTGAATGAGTAAAAATGTGAAGTAACGCAGGGAGTTGGCTGGCAGCACAAGTACAAGTGAAGGACGTGTAATACTTTGAACCCGCATGTCGTCGAGGTCTATCAACGCAGGGAGTTGACTCCTATCAGTGCGAGAGGGGGCGAGTTGACTACTTCTTCCCATCCCCCATGTGGTAGGACTCACAGCCTCTCTCTCTCTCTCTTTCTCTCTCTCTCTCTCACACACACACACGCGTCGTCTATTGCTCGGGTGGGCCGAATCATTGATTTTCCGTCCCTCGCCCCATAGGGCCTCTCCTCCTCCTCTCCCCTCCTTATTTTCTCTCCTCTCCCTTCTTTTTAACTTTCTCTCTGATCTGCGGCAGAGGGGATGAAACCCAAGAGCAATAAAGAACCAAGATGGTGAACAATGAAGGGAATGAACGAGCGAACGTACGTGATGATGCTCGCTGGGACCTCGAAGGCCATTCCATTTCCCTGCAGCAGAGATTATCCTCCCCCATTTGTGGAGCCTGGACGGCCGCTCGCCGGGGAGATGGAGGAGGGAGAGAAGGGGAAGAAGACGACCGGGCGGGGCGCCCCCCCTCACTGCTGTCGCTGTCCTCTCGCTGTCGGGCAGACAAGCTCACATGCCGACGCTCACCTCCCTTAGCGGGAAAGGACGATGAACCAGAGGAAGGAGAGAACCTATTAAAGATATGATACCTTTTTAGGAGTCGGTAGGAGACGGGGGTTCGGTAGTTTAATCTCCTCGCACATGGCGGCTGCCGCATCATCAATCAAGAGCCTAGCGAGGGCACTGCGCCGCTGTTGCAGTGGGCTCTACTTCTGAATAGTAATCAGCAAGTCGCCGGGTGATCTCCTCGCTTATGTCTGCAGTTTATATGTCGAGGGAACCGCCGGCTCGGGCTCCATTGCCGCGGCGGAGGGCGGAAGGGGGGGAAGATGAAGAGGGCGGCGGCGCTTCTGCTGCTGCTGGTCTGCCTCCTGAACCAGCGCCATCTGCGAGCTGATGCGGCAGCCTTCGTCAGGGTCAGCGGCCTCCACTTCACCGTTAACGGAAGCCCCTTCTTCGCCAATGGCTTCAACGCCTACTGGCTAATGTCGGTGGCCGCCGACGCCGCCCACCGGAGCAAGGTCTCTATGGCCTTCCAGGAGGCCGCCAGCCACGGCCTCACTGTGTGCAGGACCTGGGCCTTCAGCGACGGCGGCTACCGGGCCCTTCAGGTGTCCCCCGGCGTGTACGACGAGCAGGTCTTCCGGGTACATCCATCCGCCATCATCGTCTTCTTCCTCTTCCGTCTGCTGTGAGTCGACCTTCCATGGTTCTCTACCCACCCGATACTGAATCTCTGGTTCGATCCGTAGGGCCTGGATTTTGTGGTCGCCGAGGCGAGCAAGCATGGAATCAGATTAGTGCTGAGCTTCGCAAACAACTACGAGAGCTTCGGGGGGAAGAAGCAGTATGTGTCCTGGGCCAGGGCCCGAGGCCAGAACGTCTTCTCCGACGACGACTTCTTCTCTAACCCTCTGGTCAGGTTCTTCTTCAAAAACCACGTCAAGGTAACAGCAAAGACCGACGGGGAGAGAGAGAGAAGGGACGCGATTTGGTGACTTGTCCTCATTGTTTTCTCTCTCTTGTTTCTCTTTCTTCGGATGAAGGCTGTGATCACGAGGAGGAACACGCTCACGGGGGTGATGTACAGGGACGACCCGACGATACTGGCATGGGAGTTGATGAACGAACCGAGATGCCCGTCCGATCCGTCAGGAAGAACCCTGCAGGTCAGATGCGGCCCTGGTCCTCCGCTCCATTAGTCCAAGGGTTCCTTCCTTCCCTAGCTGATGATAATGCGTCTGGTTCCTCTGCGTCAGAGCTGGATTGAGGAAATGGCAGCCCACGTGAAGTCCATCGACTGGAATCACCTGCTGGAGGCGGGGCTGGAAGGTTTCTACGGGCCGGCGGCGCCGCCGCAGAAGCGGTTCCTCCCGGGCCTCAACGTCGGCACGGACTTCATATCGAATAATCTGGTCCACGGCGTCGACTTCGCGACCATCCACTCCTACCCGGATCAATGGTGGCGCCTCACCTTCTATTCTCTCCTCCTCGCCGTGGACTCTTCTTCTTCGTCCAACCTATTCTCCATGACGGAGCAGAGCTCCTCCCTGGTCTTCTTCTTCTTCCTCCTCTCAGGCTCTCAGGATCGGACCACCAGACGCAGCTGGCCTTCCTGGAGCGATGGCTGGACACCCACATTGCCGACGCGCGGCTGATCCTCCGGATGCCGCTGCTCCTGGCGGAGTTCGGCATATCGCGGAAGGACCTCGGCTTCAGCGCCGCACAGAGGGATGCCCTCCTCACCGCCGTCTACACCAAGGTTTACCGCTCCGCCAGGGCCGGCGGCTCCGCCGCCGGTGCCCTGTTCTGGCACCTGCTGGAACAGGGGATGGAGGTCTACGGAGACGGGTACGAGATCGTCTTCCAGGAGATCCCCCCATCGACGGCGAGCATCATCACCGAGCAGGGCCGGAGGCTGAGGTATCTGGGCAAGCTGGGGGCGAGGCTAAGGAACGTCGAGAAGCTCGAGAAGGCCAGGGCCATGAATGCACAACCTTCCCGGAGCTCCGTCAGCGACGGGACCTAAACTCGAGATTTCCCATCGGCGTTGCCTCCTCCCTCCTCTGGGCCGAGGCCTGGGAAGGCCAAGTTCTGCCTCTTCGAGATGACTCCTGTTCATCCAGGGGGCTCTGCAATTGCTCTATCTCTCTCTCTCTCTCTCTGCACTGTGCCAACATTCCAATCTTCCTGGAGGCTCCGGCCCGCATCTTCTTGCTCTGCGGTCCAACGACGGGCCCGCCGGGCATCCATTGCAGGGAGATGAGAGGAGAAGGTGGGGCCTGACGCCGGGGCATCGTCCCCTCTCTCCGCCATCGCCGACCGACTGGGCAGCGAGCAATCACGGTTCCCGACGGAAGGGACGATTCCTTCGCCCGCCGCCGGAAGCATTATAGCCATCGGCGGTGCGGATGGTTTGCCGGAACGTTGCACTCTCTCTGCTCTCGTCGCCGCCGCCGGACATGGTCGGAGACGGCCGGGGATGGACCCGCCTGGGACCCACGCGCGGGCGGAGTTTATAATCTGCCATCCGCCAAGGGCCCCGATGGGAAAGAGATAGAGAGAGAGAGAGAGAGAGAGAGATCTGAGGGAACGAAGGGGGGGGAGGAAGGATGTTGGACGCTGTGAAGGCGGAGAAAGGGAGGGCGATGCGGAGGTATCGCCGGTTGCGGCAGGCGGGGGCGCTATCCCGCTTCCTGCTTGAGGCCGTCGCCGCCATGGTTCTCCTCTCCTGGTTCTCCGCGCGCCTCCCTGCCGTCCTGGCTCTCTGCGCCGGACTCCGCCGGCTACCTTCCTTCCTCCTCCATCCCGTCTGCGCCTTCGTGGTCGGCAACGTCATCATCTTGGCCCTCATCGCTAAGTCCAGCGTGCCCGGCGGCACGACCGGCGACCCTCGCCCGCCTTCTTTTCCACCTCCCTCCGCCGCCGCCGTCTCCACCACCGCCGCATCCCCGCTAAAGGAGAAGCCGGAGGCCGCCTTTCGTGTCAGGCGATCCAAGTCGGGGAAAGTCCGACCTGTCGCAAGGAAGGACGGCGTGGAGAAGGCGCTCCGCCGGTCGGAGACCAACGTCCGTCGTCCCCGGGAAGTGGCGGGGACGTGGTGGGCGGAGGGAGATAAGGAGGTGCGCGTCGGAGAGGGAAGTGCGGCGGACGACAACGAACGATTCCGGCAGAAGATCGAGGCGTTCATCGCGAAGCAGCTGGAGTTCATCGAGAGGGAGGAGGAGTCCCTGCAGCTCGCCGACCACGCCAGCGCTGGCGCCGCTGCCCTCCTCGTCGCCAGTGACAGCCGCCAATGAGGTCGCTGAAAGCGGAGGGAAGCCTAGAGAGGAGGTCACTGTCGTCTCTGTATATCGACAACCAGGGAGGGAAGGAGAGAGAGAGAGGCAGAAAATCCGAGTGCCTGTCCTTCCTCCCTCCCCTCGTCATCCTGTTCCTCTTCTGTCCTCTCCATGACAACGTTCAAAACTCCGGCAGGCAGACTCTGAACAGAGTTCCAAGGTGCAGGTGCAGAACCTCCTCTCTCTCCCCCTCACCCATCTGCGGACGCCTCCGAATATATTCCATCGAATCGCCCCACCCGGTTGATGACGTCAAGCACAAAATACAGCGGATACATAGAGTCAACCTAATGACGTCATTAAATAGTTCGGGGACGCGACGGTCAGCGGGGGAAGACGATAATGTTGAACTTCACTCTTAACTTTGGGAAAGAAGATAAGTGGGAGGTGCGGCTCTCCAGGTGGCTCGCGAGTGAAATACTACTATTATGAACGTTATTTTACGTGTTATGTCAGACGCAGGCGGGTGGGAGCACCTGTTAAAGCATAAGCAAGTGTCCTAAGATGAACTCGACGACAGAAGAAAGTTTATGTCAAACAATAAGGAAAAGGATTGTTTGATTTTGACTATGAACTGTAAATGTGTGGCCTATCTTACCAAATAGATAATTGGCTTGCGACATTAATTGTTTGTACCGCATTACTTTTTAATCATTTGGTGTCCACTCTTATTATCATTGTGGACGAGGATTTACCGGGAGTTGTGTTGTTCATCCACCAATAGGGAACTTGAGTTGGGTTTATACCATCGTGAGACAAGTTAGTTTTACCTTCTTGATGTTCATGATACGAAATGAATTGTTGATTAACACAATTAGTCATTGCATTTGGCTGAAAAATCAGTGGTGCCAAGCTACTATGCATCAGATTACGGGCGAACATTTCGAAGTCATAATCGTAACTAGCAATGGTGCCTTGTCCCGCCGCCCAATCGTCGTCCTGCAATAGGAGCCCTTATAGCTCCCAGAAGCCCGCGTCGGGGGCACAGCCGCACCAGTGGAAGCACTAGCCTGCCCCCCCTAGTGTGTTTATTATAAGTGGCGGAGTGCCCTTGTGATGCAATCCACTGAAATACAGGGCCATCGTACAGATCCGTTCCTCCCCACACACATGTGGCGGGGGAGATTCCGGCTCTGAATCCGGGTCCGGGCCGCCGTCGGGGTGGGGGACCACCGTTTGCGAGAGTGATGCGCCGCGCTCGCGCGAGTCGCCTCGCCCAACCACGCTCGCACTGTACAGCTCGTGCCGTGCCAGCCCGCCCGCCTCTCCGCGCGCGTCGCGCGAGCACGCTTCGATCTTCCGACAATTGAAGCGAATGTTCGAGGTGGGGGCCCTCTGCCCTTAGCACTCTCTTCCGGCACATGAGGGGGGCCCATAGCCAGCGCTGCCCGGGGCCCAGCCAGGCTCACTAGCGGCGAGCCAGGACCGTCGGTTTGGAGATTTTAATTTAATTCTTACTAAAAATCTGCCTCCGCTCGAAAGAGATTTAAATATTATATTTATCCCAGTCAGCCGGAACTGAGTAACGGAATCTGCCCCTGCCCGCCGTAGAGCCCGGCCTGTTTGTTGGGACTCTCTCTCTCTCTCTCTCACCTTGTGTGGCTTGAGGGTTTAAGGTTTGATTCATCAGTATCGTATCAAAGGAGTCTCAACATGGGCGACATGGACGACATGGGCGACAAGTCCAGCGAGGGAGGAGGAGGGCGTCTCGATGGGTGGCCCCCGTCCCCCAGCGAGGGCGGTCGCCGTGGATACTGGCGGTGGAGCAAAGAGGACTTTTTCCCCGGGCCATCCTTCGCTTCCTGGGCGGCCTACGCTGCCGCCGTAGCGGAGACGGGGCCCCGCCTGCGCTCTCGCCTGCTGCGTCGCTCCACGTCGGCTGCCGAGCTCCGCCTCCTCCCCAAACGCAGCGAGCACGGTCTCCGTAAGTGCCTCACCTGGTGGGATCTCGCCTGGCTCGGCTTCGGCGCCGTCGTCGGGTCCGGCGTGTTCGTCCTCACGGGCCTCGAGGCCAGGTACGACTCCGGCCCCGCCATCGTCCTCGCCTACGCCGCCGCGGGCTTCACTGCCCTCCTCTCTGTCTTCTGCTACGCCGAGTTCGCCGTCGAGATCCCCTCCGCGGGGGGGTCTTTCACCTACCTCCGCGTCGAGCTGGGCGATTTCGTCGCCTACATCGCCGCCGCGAACATCCTCCTGGAGGCCCTCGTCGGCGCCGCCGGGGTGGCGCGGTCCTGGACCTCCTACTTCGCCACCCTCATCGACCGCCATCCCGACTCCCTCCGCATCCGCGTGCCCGCCCTGGCCGACGGCTTCAACCTCCTCGACCCCATCGCGGTAGCGGTCCTGGTGGCCTGCTCCGCCTTCGCCGCCTCCGGCACCCGGCGGGCCTCCTGCTTCAACTGGGTCACCTCCCTGGTCAGCATCGCCGTCATCGGCTTCATCGTCGTCGGCGGGTCCGTCCACGCCGCCCCCTCCAACCTGACCCCCTTCTTCCCCTTCGGGGCAAAGGGGGTTTTCCGGGCGGCGGGGGTGGTCTACTGGGCCTACACAGGCTTCGACATGGTTGCCACCATGGCAGAGGAGACGAGGAACCCCGCCCGCGACATCCCCCTTGGCCTCGTTGGCTCCATGGCAGCCATCACTGCCGTCTACTGCGTCATGGCGCTGGTGCTCTGCATGATGCAGAGCTACGAGGCCCTCGACCCCGACGCCGCCTTCTCCGTCGCCTTCGCCGCCGTCGGCATGCGCTGGGCCAAATACCTGGTGTCGCTCGGTGCGCTCAAGGGGATGACTACGGGGCTGCTGGTCGGCGCCCTCGGGCAGAGCCGCTACACAACGCAGATCGCCCGCGCCCACATGATCCCCCCCTTCTTCGCCCTCGTCCACCCCAAGACCGGCACACCCGTCAACGCCACCGTGCTCATCACCGGCGCCGCCGCCTGCATCGCCCTCTTCTCCAGTCTCGACGTCCTCGCCACCGTCTCCTCCATCAGCACCCTCTTCATCTTCATGCTCACCGCCGTCTCTCTCCTGATCCGCCGCTACTACGTCCGGGGAGTCACGAAGAGGTCAGGCCGGCTCAAGCTCCTCTCCCTGCTCGTGCTCATCGTAGGGTCCTCCGCCGGCATGGCCGCCTGCTGGGTCTCGGACTACCGGGCCTGGGCCGGGTACGCCGGCGGCGGCGCGGTGTGGCTCCTGGCGACGCTGGGACTGGCCCTGGCGGTGCCGCAGCAGAGGGCACCCAGGGTGTGGGGGGCGCCCCTGGTGCCGTGGCTCCCTTCCCTCTCCATCGCCGCCAACCTGTTCCTCATGGCCTCACTCGGCTCCGACGCCTTCATGAGGTTCGGCGTCTGCACGGCGGTGATGCTCGCCTACTACCTCATCGTCGGCCTCCACGCCACCTACGACGTGGACCAGCAGCAGCAGGCGTCGGAGGCATCGCCGGCGGACAAGGGGGGCAACGCCAGCGGCGGCGGGGAGGGACCTTGAGCCGGGCTGCGACTGTTGCAGTTTGCCCCTCGCAGATCCTCTGCTTCTGCGAGCTTTCGGCGGTGGGATAGATTCTAATCTCCTCCCTGATCTCCATCCATCTCACCGGCGGAATCTTCATCCTTTCGCGGGACATTCTGCTCGTCGCCGAGCGGGATCCAGCGCCCCCTCATTGGTTAACTTCCTTAAGCCCTGCCCACCGCTAGAAAAATAAAGATTTTATCCTTGCGAGATATCCGGGGATTTTTCCAGGGTTGACCAAATTATTCCAGCGTTTTATGATTACGGCCTATCGTCAACAATGACGCTTCCTTCTTCCCGTCAGCGTCTCCTACGCCCTCCCGTCACGCAGTACCCCCGTAGAACTCAATAGGAGACCAAAAGAAAAACGCCTATGGTCATTAAAAGGGTAGAAACAGAAAAGACAACGAAGGGCTCGATAAAGTCTAGTACTGATATTGATTGTGACCGGGTAAATTATTGCATTCACTGGTGCGAAGTTGCTGCGTGATTCAAAATTCAGCAGTCTTCCGTGATGAATATATGTACCGATGGAAGAAATAAACACGGGGGCCTGGATTGAATAACACGGCCGGATTGCAAACTTAATAAGAGAATAAGATCTCGATTAAGGAATTTATACGTATATATATACGTACAGACGATCCAGAGTGGTGCGACGATCTGAATTGAACATCAATCAATCAATCAACGGCGGAATCGATCTCGGAGGAAATCGATTAGATGACGGATACCCCTTCCTGATCCGCACGGCCGCTGACCTCGGGTTTCGACTTCCATCTAAGTCCCTCCGGACGATGGCGGCTGCGGGTGGGGCTCCAGATTGAAGGCGGAGGAGGGGAAGGAACGCGATATCCCGGTGGTTGTCCGGAAGGTGATCCTGGAGGGGTCGCCCGGGTCGACGAAGAACTCGCTGACGGAGATCCAGAGGAGGAGCTCCCTGGACTTGACACCGGTCAGCCGCCGGATGCGGCCCGGTTCGACGAAGCCCGTCACCTCGGTGGCGTAGGAGACGAGGCGATTGATCTGGCGGAAGGCGTGGTTGCGAGGGCGCCGCTGCCGGAGCCAGACGAAGCCGGACTCGCGGTGGTGGCCGAACTCCTCGATGTCCTCCAGCGGGAGCAGCCCTTCCGGCAGCCGGAACTCCCGCAACAGCCCCACCGAGCTCTCCCGGCACGCCTCATCCCCTCTGCAGATCTCCGCCCCGTCGCGGTGGGCGTCGACGATCGACGCCCCCATGAAGAGAGAGAGAGAGAGAGATAAGAGCACCCGTGGGTACCACCAAACGTGTGGGCATAGCAGATCATTTTCGGATCAAAATATAACTGAGGAATTAGTAATTGGGCCGATGGGCCGACTCGGTCAGTCGGGCGCAGTGTGATAGTCGATGATGAAGTCGTAGCTAACGAAGAGGAATAGTAAAAGCCACTCATATTCCAGTAAATTACCTAAAGACCTGGGCGGTGACCAGCTCACCGCCACTGCTATGGCTACATCTACTGCGGTGGACCTCGGAAGAACTTCGCTCAGATCGAGGCCACGAGGAGGGCGAGCGCGACGAGCAGCTGGACAGAGACCGGTCTCCCCGAGCTGGTGGCGCCGCCGGAGAGAGACAAGACGCGGACGTCGTCCACCACTGGCCCGCAGAGCGAGCTGCGATCGTCGCTCCTCGTGTTGTAGTAGACGCTGTAGAAGGCAACGCGGGATCTCTCCGCCGTGGCGGTGAAGTTGAGGGAGGAGGACTGGTAGGTCAGGTTCCCCGTGGGCGAGTAGTGGACGTTCTGCGCCTGGTCGCCGGCGAAGGCCATGACGGCCATGGGCAGCTGGCAGGAGTCGCCGGCGCTGCCCAGGGCGAAGGAGAGGCTGTACTGCTTACCTGGGGTGGTCTCCACCATCTGGGAGATGATGCCTTCCTTGCCGGAGAGCAGCTCCACCGCGCGCTTCCCCTGCGGCACCGAGAAGTGGTACGAGTCGATGTAGCGGACGGCCCTGTCGGACTCGACGATCCAGCCGGGGAGGGCCGACGTCTCTTCGGCGAAGTTGGTAGGGAACAGCACGCCCAGAGTGGCGTTGGGGAACATCCATGGTCCCTCCTCGAAGTCGCCGTTCACGACGGCGTTGCCCTCCGGGCGGTCCGGGACGAAGAGCTTCTTGATGGCGATGTTGTCGATGACGGGCCCACAGCTGGGGTCGTCCTCCATGCCCGGGTTCTTGAACGCGACGGTGGTGGCGCCGGCGTCGTCCCCGCCCGCCGCCTGGAAGGCCCACGCGTAGGCGTCCCATCCTTCAACGCTGTAGACCGTCTGGAGGTCCACTGTTGAGGCGGCGGTCACAGCGGAAGGGGTGGCCGAGACGTTGAGCGACTCCAGCATCGCGCAGGTGCGGGCGGCGCAGAAGGTGAGGGCATAGGTGGCCCCGCCCTCCAGAGTCCCCAACTCCTGCTGCACCTGGGCGTCGTTCCCCAGCCTCACGGCGTGCGCACCTGCATCACAAGCATCATCATCAGACCACCATCACCGTACAGAGCTTAGCACGGATCTGGCACCGGCGGTGACATGGAGTTAGACATGGAGTTAAAGAGCACCTTGGGGGACGATGAGGATCATCCCTCCCTGCTTCTGGTCGGACTCGACGAGCTCAACCGTGCCGTTGGTGGTCCATCCGGGCACGGTGGTGTCGCCCACGACGCCACCAATGTTGTTGAAGACCGGAAAGCCGCGCGGCGGCGGCGTCTCGAAGTCGCCGTTGTTCAGCAGACCTGCACATTACCACCGTCATCCAGTCATTAGCCACTGAGACATAAGACGTCACGGGAGCTTCCTTTTGTCGCGAGGCAGACGGACACTGCTGCCATGGATGTCGGGAGAGAGAAAAGTAGACCCTACACGACGACGGCGTTGGAGCCGTGCTACGAGGAGGGTTACAGACTGGCGATAGAGGGTCAGGCCGCCGGTGGCCATAGAAGGAACGAGGATGGGGGAATCAGGAATATGTACTTTATCCAGCGAACTGGACTGCGCTGGCCATTCGCGTTTCCGTCTTGTTCCCAGACTTTACTCTCCTCCCCTCCGTTCATCTACCAGTGAGTATCGTCAGGGGAGGAAGATGAACAGTAAGAGAGAGATGTGAGTCAATTTGGAGACGGCGATAAATTTCCTCAGCAAAACTTCGGCCGGCGGAATAGTCAGAGGATGCTGTAGATCGAGACTGCGCACGGATCAGATCCGTGGCTAAGCGACTGCAGGAGGTCCTCCGCTCCGCATTGCAGCCTCATTTACGGAGATGAGAGAGGAAATGACTGAAAATCAGAGATCGATGCAAGCCACGATGGGAAAGAAGGCTAGTGCGATCACACGCAGTCTTGAACGAATTCTTTCCGATCCGACTGCAGAACGGCGGGGAGCCCAAGCAGCACTCGGGCCGTCCCTCTCCCCCGGGTTTCCCCAATCTCTTCCCCTCGATCGCCAAGAGATTAGCAAATAAATAAAAAGAAAACAGTACTCTATCCCTTACCATCTTCAATGGCCAAGCCAAGCGGAGGAATAGGCAACAGGAGCGAGCACAAAACTAGACGGATCCAGCAGCAGACGCTCCTCGGCCCCAAGCCCCCCGGCGGAGACCTCATCGCCGTCTTCACTTCACTGTCCCTTGTCGAAGAGTCCGCGCGCCTGCTGCCTCACCAAGTCCAACTCCCGATATATACTACCCCTGCGCTGGCCACCAACTCCGCCTTTGTCTTCTTCAATGAAATGGACTGCGACCGAGGACTACTTCCAGAGAGAGAGAGAGAGAGAGAGAGGGGAGGCGATCTTAAAGAAAACCAGAAAGAAAATAAAAGAAGGTGCTTTTTGGCGGGCCTCGCACGCTTTTGATGTGAAAGTTGGCTTTCATGGTCCTCATTCATTTAGATAAACTAAAAAAATATAGTCATCCATCTATTAAGACTAATCGGGTCCATTTTGGCCCGATATGTATCCGAAATGGGTCCCTCCTATCCCAGTGCCTAGGTCCGTTAGTGAATGGATGCGCCGTATTTAGCGGAGAGATGGAGAGAGACAGCGGTACGCACTCTCTCTCTCCCCCCTTGTCTCCATAGCACGTGAAAATTATTAATTATTTTTCTTATTATGTATAGAGGTGGCTTCACGGGACACCTTAGCGCGGCAGGCAGGCAGTGGCTGACGCAAGGGCCCCACATAGGGTTTTGTCGCGTAGAAGGTGGCGTCTACCCATCTGGCGGGAGAAAACCTCTGGGTAATGCTACTGGTCAAGGGGGCGTTTGGTCATTTTTCTTAAAGTAGCACAAAAAAAGTAATTAATGGATAAACCCCCCTCTTCTTTTACTTTTCTCGTTAGGTCAACGTAACTACCTACCTTACCCTTCAGCCCCTAGGGATGAGAGTGAAGGGCGGGGGTCCACGCGTTTAGAGGGCCAAAGAAGCCAGGAAGTGTTTCGATTCGTGCATGCAGGATGAAAGTCGGGACGGGGCTCAGACTAGCGCGGGTTCCAAGGCCCGGCCTGCTTCGCGAGCTCACCCGAGACCAGAGATGAAGAGAACTGGGGGCTCCTCTCTCTCTCTCTCTCTCTCTCTCTCCGACAGAGGCATCCCGAGGGAGTAGAGCCAGGTCGTTGTCCGCCGCAGATCAAGTCATCCCTAGTCCTCTCTCTCTCTCCCATGTATCCCTTTCAGAGAAACTAGCCTATGTTTTCTGTATTTATTTCCACTATTTGTAAGTTCTATATCTAATGTAGGGCATTACTTCAGAAAACGAGAAAAGACCCAAAACTGACCCAGGTGGCCTACAAACCTACAAACGTGGATACAAACATCTGAAAGCCTAGAATCTTCGAGCTCAACATCAATTTGGCCTAAAAATGTGCGGATATTGTGTTTGACTTATAGGATTTCAACTTTTGCGCTTGTTTTGTCTTTAATCTAATTTTTGTTGACTGATCATAGTTTTATGGCTAGTCAAAACATATTTTATCATTACTAGAATGCGGTAATTTCAAGGGAGGATTAATAACATGAATTTCTTTCTCTTTGTGAGATTTATAATTACTTATGGATTTAGGAACGTCCTCTAATCTTTATAGATTGAAGGATTTTAAAAATAATTGTCTAAGAATTCAAGAGGAAATAAAATCTTTCTTGTGGATTCAAAACTTAATTTTTATTTTTATATCACTTCAAATTTTCGTGTTATGGACTCAATTCTCAATTTTTATCATGTACACAGACTTTCACTATGTCAAGTGGTATTAGAGTGATGTTTGTAGATTCAATCGTGTTTTCTAATCTTCGTAGATTAACGGATTGGCCAAAACAATCTTTCTGAATTTAAACATTGAGAAAGTTTGTCTTATAGATTCAAAGCCTAATTTTTTTATTATTTAATTTATAATTTTTTGTCTTATGAATTCAAACCTTGATTTCTAAACAGCTTTCTCTATATCAAGGGATATCAAGGGAAGGTCTAGAGTTTTAGATTTATTCTTTTGAAGATGTCACTTGGAGGAAGAGTCAATTGTACTAAGGATGTCACTTGTGAGGTAGGCACCCTAAGACAGCCTTTTATGATTTTCAAGAAAATATCAGTCAGAAGTGTCAATATATTAATAATACAGTAAAAAAATTATAGCAAGGGTTATTACATTAGAAGATTTTTATTTGATATTCATAAAGTATGGAATGAGTTGAAACATCTTACATAGAGATAGCCAACTTATGAAAATTATATGAGTATATGTATTCTTTATTTATATAGATTTAGTAATAGGAAACATAACAAAGAATTACATTCTCATTTATTGGTCATGAAGAGACTCATGCTCACATCAAAAGAAGAAGATCAACTCCTACATCACAACTAGTACTAGTTTTTTTTTGCTTGAGTCTAATATTATTTTATATTGGCCTCCTTTCATAGTTTTTTTTGGAGAAATGTTGATTATATTGTTATATCAAATATTGAATGCATGAAGAAAAGAAACTTATTTGGGGTAGAAGTAGCAATAAAGATATTTGATGATATGACTGAAATTTCTTGGTTAGCTCTTAGATTATCCATATATTAAATTATCAAGAATATAAAATGTGATGCAAGAATTGTGAATGCAAGGGCTTTGTTATTTGAGGAATGCCATCTTGCATCATTTTGTTGGGAAAAAATGTGAAATTTTAGAAAAAAGTAGACCACTAATGAAGTAGTCAATAATGGAGTGTAAGTATGTAACTTGTTTTTCATAGAGTGACATGTAAGTATCTAATTTGCCATAGAGGCTACGTAAGTCTCAAAATCTATCATCTCTCATAAACATATAATTTTTTTGCTTTATGTCTAGCTACAATTTGTAAGAGATTTGATTTGTACTTGAAATTTGTGATATAATTCACTACCAAATCAATGGGCAATCTGAGGTAAATATAGTTGGTTATTTGACTCATTGTATTTTGAGAGATAAATCAAAATAAAAATAAATACAAGCTACAATGTTTTTGTCTTATTCATGTTTAAAATTTCGTAGTATTAGTCATTCCCAAATTAATGAACAAACAAAGATAATAAATAGTACACTTGGTAATTTGACTCATTGTATTTCATGGGATAAATCAAAGCAAAGACATGAAGCTTCTCTTCAAGAAAAATAAATATACAACTTGACAATTATTGTTATGGTAGATAATATCAAAGTAATGCATGAGGTTTTAAAAAGTAATTTTCATCTAATTATAAGGTGACAACTAATAAGAAAGCACAAAAAGTAGTCTTTAAATATGTGATTTAATCATGAGATGCTTGTAAAGAAATAGATTTATGGACTATTCACAATATTGTAATCATCATAAGTTGAAGAAGAAGAAGACATAAATCATTAAGATTAATGACATTTACAACTAGAAGTGAACATATCATCAATACTTAATATGAGGAATCTAAATAATTACTATTTTAAGCCTCATGAAGACTTGCTAATGAATTATTTACAAATAGGGGGGAGACTAATACAGCGCATCACTTCAAAAAATGAGAAAGGCCCAAAATTTGTGACATAGATGGTGTGAAAATGTAAAAACATGGATACAAAACTTAAAGGCCCATAACGACTTAGAGCCTAACATCTAAGGATTTAGGGCCAAAATCACGTGGATAATATTTCAAATTTGTACGATCTTAACTTTTACCCATTTATTCACTTTAATCTTATTTCACTATTTTTCTAAGTTTAAAGGACAGTTATAACATATTTCAACCTATTTAATGGCTGTAATGTTGTAATTTCAGGAGAGGATCAATAACAAAGTTCTTTCTCTTTATGTGATTTTTGAGTACTTGTGAATTCAAACAATCTTTGTCAATTCAAAGACGTCTATTGATATTTGTGGATTTAAATATTCTTCAAAATTAATCTTTTTGACTTCAAGAATATAAAAATTTCATGCCTTGTGAATTCAAAATATGATTTTTATTTTTTTAACACTTTGACTTTCATTTCTTGTGGATTCAATGTTCTGACTTCTTGTAGATTTAAGTGCATCTTTTGATCTTTGTGGATTCAAGGATCATTCAAAATTAATCTTTGTAGATTCAGGAATTTAAAAAATAAATGTATCTTGTAAATTTTACCTTTGATTTTTAGTATTCATACAACCATCATAACATCAAGTGGCATAAGATCTTAAATCCACACGGCTTCTGGATTCCAATGTATTTTTCAATCCTTGTGGATTCAAGGATTTAAGAATTTCAGAGCCCAAATTCTATTCTTCTTTAGTTTCTAATTTTGTGTCTTGTGGATTCATGACCTCATTTCTATTCTTTTGAAACTTCCGCTGCAGCAACACCAATAATTTCTAGAAAAATTAGTCAAATGTGCATCACCTAACCACTTTTCGATTAGCAAGAGAGAGAGAGAGAAGAGGGATGGTGAGGATGATGTGAAAGATGGGATCCACAGGCCGGACAAGGATTGGTGACTAAGAGATTCATTGTTGAGCGTTAGGTTTTCGTAGGACCTCCCTGAGGGCCTGGTCTGACTCGGTCGTGGACCGAGGGGGGAGGGGTCGGGTTTGAGCGAGGGTTATAGGAGAGGCCCGTCTGGTCAGGTGGACTCCTCTTCGGTATTTAGAGAGTGGGGGACGGAGGGAGTGTGAGACGCAGGGAGAAGGAGATGGCATCGTCGTCTACGGCGGCAGCCCGGGAGCTCCAGCGCGACCTCGAGAACCATGCCAACGCCCTCAGCAAGATCCAGAAAGGTATGTGCGACGGACCGTGCAGAGAGGGCTTCCTATTCGCGTTGAATGAACCCTAAATTGACATCGCCGTTTGATCCTGCGATCGGCTACTCGCAGACATTGCGAAGAACCACCAGGTGAGGAAGCAGTACACCATCCAGCTCGGAGAGAATGAGCTCGTGCTCAAGGTAATTTAGTCCTGGCCTCTGGAGTGCGTAGGCTCTCTACATCCCTCGAACGGATGTATTGATGATCGCTTCAACTTGTGGGCCTACTGGTTCCATTCCTTGTTTCCCTGCTCAGGAATTAGACCTACTGAAAGAAGACGCCAATGTGTACAAGTTGATTGGTCCTGTGCTCGTGAAGCAGGACCTCGCCGAGGCCAACGCCAACGTCCGCAAACGCATAGAGTACATCTCTGGCGAGCTGTATGCATCGTCCGAATTCCCAAAAATTCTTGGCTTGTGGCCAGCTTTACGAAGCTCTTGAATAATTTTGCGAAACTGATATCACTTGGGATAATTCCTGTGTGTTACTATAGGAAACGTCTGGATGGGACACTTCAGGACTTGGAAGACCAACAGAATAGCAAGAGAGAAACGGTTTGTTCCGTATTTATTATTCAATATTCATATTTGCATTGCTGATTATTTTGCCGAATGAGTTGGACGCATGATACCAGTGGCGTAATTTCGTTAGGTTTATATCTGTCCCCTGTTACAGGTATGACGAAACTCCCTGCATACCATTAGTTGTGATTACTGAAGCCAACAAGAACTAGCTTTCTTCTCTTTCTTAACTCATTTAATCTTTATAATTGGACATTAATGGATTCTGCGGGTTGTACATTTCATTCTCTTCGCCTGCAAAATATGGTCCTGTTTTGAATTTTTTTCTATAAACTCTTCAGGATAGTGTTTGGAGTCATATGTCTACGTGCTTATTCTAATGTGAATCAGGAATTTTCTCCCTCCTGGATCCCTAGATGTTTAGCATAATACAACAACTTTTAACGTATTGGTACCGGGAGCTATACATCTTCAGACATGTTACAACTAACGTCGTAATGACATGGATGCATACCTGAGCTAGTCCTTGAATGTGACTTCTAGGAGTATGGACAAGAAATATCTTTATTGATCAAAAAACCACTCATGCTAAACTTGAAGTATTTCTATCAGGAAAAGAATGCCCACTAAATAATTGTAAAAGGAAACATGCCTCTAATAGGACACCCCACAGAAGCACGTGTGGGAAGAAACGGAAATCTTCATGCTGCAGTAGTAGTTCGATTCTCTAATGCCACTCAAGTCCTTCCAGAAAGCTGTGTATCAATACAGAATCCAAGGAGCAGACTGTGGTGGGAGTTCAGGGTTTGATAATGCTCGGAACAAGCAAAGGGAAATGCCCAGACAATTGACAGCTTCCTGTTAAATTTTTTTTAAACGTTTGTGGGTCAGAACACAACAATGTCTGCCGATTCAACTGTCAGTTACAGACACATCTGATCCTTTATAAGATTTGATTGAAAATAATGCTTAGAATCGGAAGGAGACTACAGGAACAACTGTAGAACCAGCCTTCTCGCCTCCCTGCCTGCCTTTGTCTCAAGAAACAGTTGCATCTTTTGTCAGTGGTTGTCTCCATCTCCATTAGTTATCACAACTTCTTTTATTTTATGAGAAAAGGATCAGTTTGTGTTGGGTTGAAAGTATGAGGGGATTTTTTTTTCTTGTCTTTCTTTTCCATGCTATGGTATCTCGGTAAACTAATAAATATGCATTTTAGTCTTTGCATGATTCGTATTGAATAGGCAAGTCGTATCATAACACATTGTGTGATTCGGCCCCATTCCCTCGCAAGTTAGGCTACTTCGGTTCTGAGTTTGGCTTACTAGACTTGACTGCAATTGTCCTGATCTAACTGTGTGGTGGCGTACTCATCTGATTTCCATCTTGGTTCTATGATTAGATAAGTATAAAACCCAGGATCATTCGCATAAACCATGATAACCCAACAGCCACTTTTCAGAAGGTGCATCCACTGAAAATTTACACGATCATTCTCTTTAAGGTACTTGCTAATCGTGGACTCAGCTCAATGATAACTCAATGAGCTTTACTTGTTTTTCACCTTTTTATGCTAGCTTCTTAATTTTTTTTAGTACGAAGGTATTTTACAAGTTTTTAAGATGATATAGAAATCCCTTTATCTAGAGTTTAAACTGTCCAACTTCTTGTAAAATTGTTCATAAAGTTGTGTGCACATTTATTGAGTTGTCATTTTCTGTGTATATCCTATAAATATATCTGACACCCCTCATTATCTCACAATAAATTTAAAGGCGGGCTTAGAACATTTCAAATATGTTGGTGTCTTCCAAGCTTTATGCACTGTTTGCAACCATCAGAAATACATATCAAATCTTTTTCCGGCTTGTTCAGTAGATAGGTTCTGGGCCCAATTGTCTGCACTTCAGTGATGCCATTCCACATCTGGCTAGGTGTAATGGTGTTTTCATCATCTCTATTCCTTTCGTTCTTCCTCTTTCCTTCTCTTTTTTTTATCTGCCTGTTTGCCTGTGTGTCTCTGTCTGTCTGTCTGTCTGTCTGTCTGTGTTTATGTGTGTGTCTCTCTCGCTCTACATATATATATATATATATATATATATATATGTATATATGTATATATGTATATCAAGCACCTTCTTATATATATATATATATATGTATATCAAGCACCTTCTTTACCGCATCCACCTGTTCTGTCTCTTTTAATCATTTCTCGTTTCCCTGAAACTAGTTGGAGGGTCTGGGGTAGAGGATCAACCTTTCTGTATCCTTTTTATTTCTGTTGCCAAGACTCTTCTTCCGCCGATTTTTGGATCTGGAAAATTCTTCAGGAGGAGCCTGAGTTTTTGATTCCGCAATGTTCTTCTGTCCTTCATCTTCTCCAAATGCTCCGACGAGATCAGGTGGGGGAAGCGCAGTCCCAACGCTCGTGTCACTGCCGGCCTTGGCCGCTCTGTGTTGCAGATCTCCGGTGTATCCATTCTCGTTTTCTGATTTGTTGCATATAGCACAACAGCCCTGCCTTTTCTTTCCTTATGTAAAGGAGGAAGCGACTGGCAATTTTGTCACTCCACATCTCTCTTCTATTAGGTAAGGTTGTTGTACGAACTAGATGGTGTGTCCCTTAACCTCAATTCCCGCTCTTTTTCTCTCTCATTTGATAGTGGTGAGGGTTTGATCAACGATCTTTTCTCCTTTTAGGTCTGTGATGTTGGTAATGGAAAGAAAAGGGAGTGCTTGATCCATCATCATTCTAGGTCGATTTCGGTTAGTAACAGAGAAGGCCAAATTAGTCATCTGATAGCTTCACTGTGGAATCCGTGGAAGGGTCAATTGTGATAGCAACTCCTCTTCCGTTTTCTTTCATTAATGGCAAGTTGAGGCCAATCAGATCCAGATTTCTTTCAGTTCGTTCTCTCTATACCTTTTCCCGTGATTCATCTTACATCAGTTTATTAGATGAAAGCAGAAGGGGAGGTTTGGTGATTGAATAAACGGGGATTATGGAATGTGTTTGGTCAGCATCATCGTGATTTTTCTGCAGAAAGGGAAAGCGACTTCGTTGGTTGCTTGTCACTGTTGTTTTATTATTCATTTAGGTTGAACCTTTATGAAATTAACGACTTTTAGGCTAGCTATGTCATATGAAGCACAGTCTTGGGCTGGTTAAAGTGTTCTATTGAATCCTGGGCCAGTCGTGAGAACATCATCTAACTCTTGTATTAGGAGTCCATCCATGTGTCGGTTGGATGGATCTGGTGATAACTTAGTTTCTCATCAAAACGTCTTCCTACACACGCCTTCAGTTTATGCTATCTTGTGTTTCTTTTCCTCTTTATTATTTTGTTTGCTCTGTAAAATCCACGAATCCTACGGTCAACATTCATGCTTTTGGCACTTTTTGAGAGATTTTCTTGGCGATTCCGGTAAAAAAATATGGAGCGTTTAACTCTGATAGAATTGGCGGGGCTGCCTGGTCTTTTTACTCCGTATGAGACAGAAGTGGCGGGGCTACTTCGACAGGCCGTTCCGGGCTTTATTTTAGCTCAGGCTCAGAAAAAAAGAAAAAGAAAAAGAAAAAGGGCGTCTGATATTTCCACCCGAAAATCTTCTCAAAGGAAAATAACATCTATCGTTCAATACAATTTGGTCGGCGGTCTTTCAGAGTGGAGAATTTGCCTGTGTTATTTAACCCGAGATGGCCGGCCTTCTGATTTGAATCCGTCTGGTTGACATATTATCCGATTTCTAGATTTCCATCGAATTATATAATTCGGAAATCAGCGGGCTTTTTTGGTCAATGATCTTCATTCTGCAATGCCTTGTGGCTATGCTGTGGTAAGTCTCTCATTTTTATTTTTTCTGGTTGGATTCCGCGCAGGTCCTGAAATTGCAACAGAAGATTCAGAATCTACAGGCTGCCAAGTCCAAGTCGTAGCCGAGTCTCGAAGCTGTAGCCACCCATCAACTTTCTTCCGAATGCCCATCTGCAGATGTTTCAGCGATTCACAGCCTCAACCTCAGCTCCTCCCCCCATTTGGTCTAAGTTTATACATGTCTAGTTCGGTCAATCATCTTTTCTCGCTCTCTCTCTCTACTGAGGGTTGATAAGTAGGTACAGTGTCAAAGGATGGAGGTACGGGGTGATTGAGTGACATTTGTGGAGTAAAGCACGGATCTTCCTCTCTACGACTGATTTTGAAGCCAAAGCCCTTGGAGGACGAGGTCTAACCTATTTGCCTGCAGAGGCATCTATTTTTATTGATTTCTAGATATATCTAGAGATTGACTTTCGGGAGTCATGGTCAAACCTAGACAAAAACATGTCCAAAGATGTGCAGTGTTGAACGACTTTGACATCATGTCAACATCGCAACAGTTCTATTCGTTCATGGACTCATTAGAAATGGCTTTGCTAAGTCATGTCCAACTTGGAACTAGCTTCTAATTTTGTTTGGTTCCATACATATAAACGAACATGAATACACCTGAAAATCTGCACAAATTCAGATAAATTCAAACTCGTGAAGCTACCTCCAAAGCTGTGGTGGTTGTGGCTTTCAGAGTTCATCACACTTTAAGTCAACCCTAAAACATAGTAAAAATAGTAAAAACTTTGAGGCAGTACATGCATCGGACGTGGCAAAAAGTTAGATAGAATTTCAGAAAAGACCGATTTAGGCCTCCTCTCATAATTAGAACAGCTTTAATGGAGTGTCAATTTGGTAAAATGTCTAATTTACAAGTAACTTATTAAGTTATTTTCACGAGTGTTTTTTGAAATTATATAAAAATATTATATCTTAAATTATTTGAAATAAAGTTTCTGAATTTCGTTGCGGAGTTATTTTTACCGGTTTATGCGAGCATATTTTTGGTATGAGCCCAAATCAGCAACGGTTTAATGCTCTGATTATGTGAAGACCCACACTTAGTGTTTCTTTAAATGGGTTTCAGTTCGTGGGAGCAACTAAGCGCGACTGCGGGTTAAGCTGCTGCGTTGCTACGTGGCGTGAGAGTGAGAGGTCGGCATGAAGAAGGGCAAGTTAGAAGGCGCCCGTCCCTCCTTCGGAACGCCCTATAAATTGGCGAGCGGAGAGACGGGGAGGCTCGTGACGGTGTGTCTAACGCGCCGTCGCCGCCCCTCTCGGACAGATGGAAGGCGACCGAGAGGGGTCCGGCGGCTGCTCTCCGCTTCTGGCGGCCTCTCCGCCGTCTTGCCCGGTGCCGCCTCTTTACGTGGAGTTGGAAGTGGCGGCCAGCTCTGAAGCAGGTCCTGTGGCGGAAGGATCGGCGGATGGAGGTGAATCAGCCGAGGGGCGTAACTCGGAGCCGACGGAGGTTTCACCGATGCCTGTACCTCCACGACAGTCTCCTCTTCTTCCTCCCTTTTTGGACGGAGAGGAGGCCAAGGAAGTGACTGTGGAGGATGCCGATGGTGGTGGATTGCCGGTGGTAGAGGCTTCTGCATCAGCTCCGGCCGATATTTCTCAAAAGATCGTGCGCCAGGTGAAGGATCAATGCTCGCCTTGCATTTTCCCGCTGTCCTTATGATACCTTTTTTTTTTGGCGTGATATCTTTTTCAAAATGGTGAAGTCATAGCAGGAAAATATGCCTTCAACCTCATTCAGAGTAGTTTCTATTTTTTTTTTTCAGTTTATGCATTTCTGGTTCAGCACTCAACCTAAATTGAAAAGTAGAGCTCTTCGGACGGCTGCTATCCCTTGTTTCTGCTATCGTGTCTTTCTTTTATCTTTTTTTAAATGAAATATCTCCCTGGAAGTCGGTGATACTTAGTTTAGAGTCTCGGAATCAACATAAATGCTTCAGTACGATCTGTGCGGTATTTCCTTGCTTGCAATCGGCTACATTACAAACAACATTTGCCTTGATGTTACGTTCTGCTGTTTTGTACGGTTGGTTTCTAAAATATAATTACCATTTTTCGCTCCGATTTTCTCTCATGAAGCATTCCTGTTTCCAAATGATGTGTGGTTTCGCTACGACTAACAGTAAGTGGCATGAATGTCTTGGCGAGACCTTTCTTCTTGTGCCTTGGTTCTATCTAAAGCTTTCTACAATTTTAGTGCGGACTCATGGAGTAATGTTTTAATATGCTGTCATTTCATTGACATGAATCACATAATAGCTCAAAACTTTGGCTTCATATCTGGTAAACATTTTCTTTCGATTGACCTTAATTTTCTGTGGGAAATCTTACAGCCTCATTTTGAGCGGTATGACCATTTTTTAATCTCCCAAGCTTAATTTCCAATAGTTCGATATATGTGGATGCATGCTTGAAAATAATATCCTCTTTTGTCGTAGTAGACAAGGAGATGTTCCAATTTGTTTTTGATCAAGTGTTTTATGCTATCTATTTGTTAAACATGGAGAAAAACTGTTAGAATCTTAAAGGTATAAATGCCCTCTGTGGAAGTTAGATTGCTACTCGTGTTATCCACCAAGAATGTGCATACCGAAAGTATCACTAGTAAATATAGTATAAAATGTAGAATAGAGTATAAGAAGATGATGCCATTGGGATTTACATATGGTGAAAAATGTAGAAGAGATTATAGGAAGATAATGCCAGATTTACGTATAGTGAAAAATTTAGAAGAGATTGTACGAAGATAATGCCGCTGAGATTTACGTATAGTGAAAAATTTAGAAGAGAGTATAAAAAGATAATGCCACTAAGGTTTATGTGGCTTGGAGGGATTCTTCTATATTCAGTGAGAAAGGTTGAGAGATCTCACTCTATAGAAACTAGTATGAAAGAGAAGAGAACCTTGTATGGACAGAATGGAACTCTTATCCAAGCTGATTACACCAATCTAATTACTTCCTCTTCCAAAGGTGATTCCTAAGTAGTTTTCTGGACTCCACAATCTCTGTGAACAAGAAGCTGAGAGTAAAGGAATAAGTAATCCAAAACATCAAATGCGCTGCCCCCGTCTGTCTACCCAGTGGAGGGAGGGAGGGAGGGAGAGCCTTATCCTGCTTTCTGTAACAGTTATTATTATTAAGGTCTCATGATATTTACAGAAATAGCAGAAGGCTTTAAATGAGAGGAAACACAAAATTAACATCAGTTGAAAGAAAAATCTAAATTGTCAATGCCTCTGATTTTGGGTGATAATGTATCATCTGATCTGTACAAACTTAATGTCTTTTCTGTCTTGGAAACCTTAAAAAATGTGCATAAATTGGTTATTTCAGGTGGAATATTATTTCAGTGATGAAAACCTGCCCACGGATAAGTTTATGTTGAAGTACGTGAAGAAGAACAGAGAAGGATATGGTAAGCCTCAATGATTTTCCGTTTGCCCTTTCAGGTTTTATGTTAATTGCCTTTGCAGTCCAGGAACCGCTATTTCCAGTTTTTAGAGCTCATTACATGCGTTAACATCAAGCATCTTCCTGATAAATTTCTAGTTATTTTTCCTGAGAAGAATTAAGAAGATACGAACTTCATGAGAGCATATTATTCGTAAACAGGCTGAAGACATTGTGGTGACATGAAAAAGTCTTTTGTGGTTTCTTATATTTGTAGTTGGAGACGTAAAACGAGCCTAAGGTTCTTGCGCACTTGCAACATATCAACTCAAAATTTGAAAGTCCGTCATAGTTGCTAAATTTATTCTTCTAAATGTGCATCATCTCTGTCCATGCACAAAAATGTAAGTTGGGAGACGATGAAGACCGCATCATGATGACCCCATATGTGATGACTGCTGCCCAGTGATGTGCTGGAGGTGGCTTGCTATCATATTGATGTGTGGAACTGATTTACTCCTTACTCATCTGAGTCTACCCTTGTTATCGTTTTATGATTTGTTATGATCCCTTTCCTGGGCTTCCATGACTTCGAAACGAATCCACAGAAGGTGTAGAATAGAGATGAAGCTGATGAGATGAAGCAGGTACTTACGACAGAAATCCCAAGCTAGAAGTTTTCCTGGTTCTTCTGCTATATACAGCTGTGCCGAGCTTCTAGTTTGGATCCAGATTGTCTGAACTAGATGCTTACCCTGGTGCAGCTGGATTGTGGTTGTGCCGAACTCCTAGCTTGATTCTGTATGACTATGCAATAACTGCTATCTGATTCATTCTCTGTTCCCCGAAGCACGGCGCAAATTCTTCCTTTTTGTCGCTATTTTCTCGAGTTAAGTCCATATCTACATATTTTCTTGCTTGTTCTTTTTTTACTGGCGATGGGTACCTGTCCCTTTCTGGTGACCTTCCAGTTGGTTTTTCCTATTATTTTTTGTGGTGGAAAGCGTTTCTGCCCTCCTCCTGAAATCATTGTTGATATTTTTCCTTTTTATTGTTACTTCACTCTTTCTTACATTTCGATGCATTATTCTACAAAGCGAAAAATCTGAACCATGATCAGGTTTTATGCCAAATGCTCTCTGTCTCGGGTTAACTAGACCAGTTAATCTCGAATCTGCAATTCCGATGATCGCCAACCTTGACCAAAACTGGTCAAATACTGTTCAGAGGCGGGTTGAGCTGAACGGGGATATCTTTATCCAAATATATTCGTTTTGAGACAACAATATAAGATAGCAATTGAATACTGGTTTTGGGTTCGTTCAATATCTTCATGCCACACCCGTTCAAGTTTTCTTTCTCATCTTCTTGGCGGTTTCAGTCCCCATTACAGTGATTGCATCCTTTCGGAGAATGAAAAAGCTTGTTCAAAATGATGCTCTCATAGCCGCTGCCCTCCGGACATCATCCCAGCTTGTGAGTCCCCCCGCAATCTACACCATCTATTTTGAGATGCACCGCGTCTCAGTGCATGAACGAGTTCATAGGTTTCTTTGTGTATGCAGGTTGTTAGCGCGGACGGGAAGAGGGTGAGACGATTGCACCCACTTCCGGCTCCTGATGCTGAGGACAGAAGGGTATTTTTACATTGCCTTCTTCTCTCGATTTGTCGGAAGCTGTCGACTAATCTTTTCTTCTACTGATTGATCTCTCAGCCGTGCACCGTTTTGGTGGAGAACCTTCCAGAAGACTGTTCGGTGGAGAGCCTGCTGAAGACCTTTGGCGGCTCTGGCAAGTATGCTCTGCTTCCTCCACCTTTAATATACTATGGCGAACCCTCAAAACTCTTTCCCCGTAAGTAATAAATCAGCATCATGAGAGTTGTGCATGTTATCTGCCAGAATCAGGGACATCTCTATTCGCGACCCGCACAGTAAAGATGAGCCGAAGATCAGCGGGAAGGTGTCATCTCCCGTGTTTTTGTGTTCATCTGAAACTCCAATTGGAAAGAAGAAGAGAAAACAATGTTTTCCAGTTTTCCTGCTTCTCAGGGCAATGCTCCTCTTTTCCTTCTCAGGTGCACGCGCTGGTCGAGTACGAGACCCCTGATGCAGCTGAGCGTGCCGTAAGACACGGGGATCCATTCATTTTCTTCCAGAAAATATATGCCGGGCTTTGATCTCAGCGTCGGGGGAGGGATTGGGAGTTGACTGTCTAGTGTTTCTGGATGGATTTAGGTGGCGGTTCTGAATGATGAGAAAAACTGGAGGAGCGGAATGCGGGTGGAGCTCCTTCTCAAGCGAATGGTATTGAATCATTCCCCCCGCCCCCCCGGTGGTCCACCTCCCCTCCCTCCCTTAGCTAACCATTTCTGCTCGTTCAGGAGAAGTTCGGGCTCATATCGAGAGTCCGCCGGCCCGGTGCACCACCCGCTGAGAAGACTGCCTGCGATGGACCTGCCGTCGGAGAGGGTGTTGGCCCAGAGGGCCCAGTTGAGGCCGCCGGCCTGGAGGTGTGCCTGCTGTAGGATCTCTTTCTCCTCGTCTTCGAAGAACACCACTCATCATTAAATTGACGCCTCTCGTCCCCTCCAAATCCAGGCCGGACGAAGGAAGCAACGAGGGAAGGGCGGCCAGAGAAGCTACGCAGCCGGCCGCGGTACCCACTCGCCATCTCCATCGTCTCCGAATTGGTTCTTCTGCCCTGCATTTTGAGAAGTTTTTCTCTTTTTCTGCGGCGCAGGCGTCGAAGGCCCGAGCAAACCCCCCACGGGGCCGAGGATGCCCGACGGGACCCGGGGCTTCGCCATGGGTCGTGGCAAGCCCCCGCCGTAGCTCCGGTCGACAAACTCCGCCAGATTTCCGCCGTGAAGCTTGGGTCTCCCCAGGCTCTGTCTCACGCTGTTCAGGGGCGACCCCAGTTTGTTTGGTGGTGTAAAAGGGTTTTTTGTTAATAGGCGTGTTCCGGTCCCGCCTGCTCTCTGCTGGCCGTTTGATCTCCGCCGAGACCGGCCGCGGACGGGGGCCCCGTCCGAACCGGCCCGGACTATCTTTTTCTCTCACGTCAACGGCCCTCGCCCGCTCAGCCGTCGTCTTCAGCGCGGGTCCTCCCTCTCCCCTCGGCCCCGCCGGCGGCGAAAGGCCGCGCGCACGCCGTCTAGAATACAAGGTCCGACGGCGGCAGGCCGATCTCTGCTTCGGTGTTCGGCCGCGGCAGGCCGATCTTCAGTCTCCCCTTCTCTCCCTTCCCCGTCGACTCCGATGCGGTCTCTCCGGAGCCCGTCCCCGTCGCTTCCTTGCCCTCCTTCCGTCTGCCCCAGCGCATCCTGTCGCAGCGCACTTGCCTCACCGTCCTCGTCTTCCGCTCGTGTCTCCGCCGGCAGGAGCCCCCTGAGGTCCTCTCGTGATATCGAGGTTTGTATGGTCTTCTCACGCCCTGTCATTCGCTCTCGAACTAGGAACCAATTGGTTCTCTCGTTGCAGCTGCGGGGCTGGTGTTGGAGAAGCCACAGATGGAGCTGCGATCGGCGGCTCTTCTCCGCCTGGCCGATTGCAGCAGCGGCAGCAGCGGACGATGTGCTCTACTGGCTCTCGCTCCTTATTCCCTCCCTTCCGTCCGGACACGCGGCCGTTTTCGTGACGCCTCCGCTTCTCTGATGCTCTTCAGGATTTTGCGTCGGCTCCTTCGTTTCTCGACGAGAGCAATGATCTGCTCGGTAGCAAGCCGTACATACTCTCCTCGAGCGAGGGCGAGGAGAGCGACGTGGAGCTCATGGTGAACCCAAATGGCGACCTCGAGCTGCCCACCAGCAAGGACAAGCGGGAGACACCTGAAGCTGCGCTCACTGTGGCAGCGCACCGGATTGCGACTCTAAGGGATGGCCGTCTGAGGAAAGGGTACTCGTGGTTGACCGCATAAACCTATGGCATTTCCTTTCCTTCTGTGGAAATTTTAAGCGGGTCTCCGAAAGCTTTTGATCTCGCTGATTGATAGAACATACAAACTCCTGTCGAAATCGTTATTAGAATAATCCTGGGTTATCATTGCCATACCTCTCTACATTCTGCATTTATAAATTCCATGTCATTTCTTTCTCTCCAAGTCGACATACTTTTGGTGGGGAAATGTATGCAAACATTACTAGTTGGAATGAACTGTGCTCGTGTTCCTATAGGGTGGGAATTGTTGTGCATGATTATGACTCTAACGCATTCAATGTTTGCCAGAGTCAATGCAAGATATGCCATAGTTTTTTCTATTCATGTCGTTTTCAAAAACTGCACTTTGGCCAGCTCGAATTTCCTTTTCTTAATTAACCAGCATTTTTTAATCTGTTTTAACATGGTCTATTGGTTTACATTTTCTTCTGCAGAACTGAATTCGGTAATTAGATAGGCCTTACATTCTCGTTGCAACCTTCCATTATTTGGTTTTCCTGATTTGAATCATGAGGTCCAAATGGGTTTATTAGACGGAATTATTGGTTCTGGATTTTTAACCATCTCCCTTGGTTCTGGAATCCACTGGCACGAGGACTCCCGTGTGCTTGGTAGCGCCACTCTGTTAGTAGTTTTTAGCTGTTTGCAGCGAGGCATCACTTTTTAACTCTGTAAATTTTTCATGCTCTTCTAAGTTGGTGTTTGGTGCGGCAAACCTGCCATATTAGTAAACTATAGTTTGCTGAAAGTCTAACCTGTTTTTTGTAACTCAAAAAATTTGATAAATATTGTTTGTGTTTCGGACTAGGTAATAATAGGCTGTAGATTGATCATGATCGGTGGGCTTTTCCCAACACTACTTGACACAACGTCATGGATTCATTTTTATTAATTCTTCACTCATATAGTTTGTCTGGATGAGTGCACTTCTTGTTTATTAACCAAAATAGTTGTTGTGTAGGTCTTCTTTTTTGATGAATGATTTTTTCATGCCTGAATGTATCTGACCTCTAGAAATAAATTTTTTGGTGCATTTTCATGATAGCATGGCACCCTATCTGCATGTCTTTTCTTTTTTGACAGGTCCGTGGCCTAAATCGATTCTTTTATGGCAGAATTCAACCTGGAGTCTGGCTTAACCTGGCACTAGTCGCTTTCTTGGGTGTGCTTCTTTTATTTGTGGACTGGTGGTCTTGGCGGGTTGTTAGATTACCACTTGAACCATTTTACTTTATACGTCCTTTCTGTATTTCTGCCCTCTTGACAGCATTGGGGGGATATCTTTATGTTCCATTGGTTCATTGGGTGAGAATCCATCAGGTCTTTAGGGAAGGGCCCAGTATGCACTCTTCCAAAAAGGGAGCTGTTACGATGGGCGGGCTTTTCTTCATTCCAATTGGTGTTTTAGTCGCAGGAACAACCACTGGGTTCTCTTCAGCTGTGGTTTTTGGGTCTGGAGCAATCACTTTTGTTTTTCTAGTGATTGGATTGCTTGATGATGCCTTAAACTTTGTCAAGAATCGCACTTATGGATTGCCGAGATGGATTAAACTCATGCTGCAGGTAAAGGTATTTTTAGAAAAGGTTTATATTTTTCCATGCTGTCTTTTTCTTGATCATTTTTAGCCTTCATTTTGGTTTTCCGAACAGGTGGCTGGTGGGGCTTGCTTTTCCTTTTGGTTTTGTGTCTCAGAAATGTCTTCACGGTACAACATGTATGCTCTTCTCGCAAACATTATGGTCATTCTGGTGATATGCACTATGCATTTTATAGAGTTTCTTCTATTGTTTTGAATTACGAAATGGAGTTCTATACTAAGGCTGTGCCAGGACTTGGTTCAGAATCTAAGGCTGTAGTATTGACTCAGGATTTGCATAGTCTGTGGGCATCCTGTGTAAAGTCCTGTGCATCCAAAAGATTTTGATGAGAAACAGATTTGCTGAGTCTATTCTAAATTAGTGAACAACCTGGATCAGGAGACTTTGCTGGGTCTTATGAGGTTTGAAGCGAGTGTTTCCTTGACTTAGAATGGATCAATTTGTAGGATGCCATTTCTGAGCAGTTTATTATTGTCATGAAAAGTGGTGCAGAGGAAAAACTCGACTTGTATTCACATCATGGATGACTGTTATATAAAAGTACCGGGGCCACAAAAAAAATGAAACTGTCTAGCAACTAGGAAACTGAGAAACTAAGAAACGGTCCAACTAAGAACCAAACTCCTAATTATACATTCTTTCCCACAATCATTAAGTTTTATATTAGTTAATATTTTTCGTGAAAACATGAATTTTTCTTACTGTTATATCATTAAAAACTATGAAGTTTTTATTTATCCAGATCATTTATTAACGGGGATTTTTCAGATTGGAAGTTTTGTTTAGGCCTCTTCCACTCTTCCTCATTGGATTCAACTTTGTGATTTAGTTCACTGACGGAGCCTCCAGGAATTACTACAATACTGGATCCATTGTAGGAAGTACTGTGTAAAATTTTTAATCTGCATCCAGGACCGGTCTAGACTAGCTCTGTTCTGATTCACACTGCTCGGACCCAGCTGTATGCGAATAATTAAAAAATGAAAACAGTATGAACATACAGTAGACCTTAATAAATATGAATAAAAATTCAACACAATCAATGATAAAATGATAGATTAAGGACAACACTAGTTTTGTTTTGTGATAAACTCTCTCAGGAAAGATATCAGATTTGTGGCCATTGGAAATATCTGAAGAAGTTGTTATATAATACCAGAGCAAGACATTGAACCTTATCTTCTCATTTCTTGCTCCTCTTCCACCGTAAAATTATCAGTAATTTTGACCATTTTGACTATCGAGAGATGACAACGATTTTTAGTTTGGTCTTGTATAAAATATAAATTTAGAGAGGGATAAATCCCTAGTTTTGATAGAACCGAAAGAAACAAAGGAGGGAGTGAGATGAATCTTCTGTTCTGAGGGACAGAGTGGAGGAGCGGCAGAAAGACACCTCAGGTCTTTCTGTCACCCACTATGTCCCTTAAATAGGGACAAACTCTAACATTTTTCTCAAAATATCCTTTAACCTAATTACCCTTATACCTTTTAACACTCTCCCTTAGGATGAACTTTGGAAAAGTTCATCTTGATTAAGTTGTTGTTGATGTTAGTACCTGCCCTTACAATGGTCCGTGGTAGCTCCCTTGCAATGGTGTTGAAGAGCTCCTCAAGTAGGCTGAAAGCAAGCTCCCTCAAGTAGGAGTGATGCCACCTTGAACATAGGAAATGGTTGACTGGATGTAGACTCCTCTAGATAGGAGTTGCGTTACCTTGAACAAAGACAACAGTACTTAAACAAGGCTCTGCCAAATAGGAGCAACGCTACCGCAAATACGAGCAGCAATATTGGAAACAAGGCTCCCCTATATATGAGTAATACTACCTCCAATAAGGGCAGAAATATTGGAAACAATGCTCCACTAGATAGTAGAAGTGCTACCTCTAATAAAGGCAGCAATATTGGAAATAGGGCTCCACCAGATAGAAGTAATGTTACCTCCAACAAAGGCAGTAATATTGAAAACAAGTCTCCCTTAGATAGGAGCAATGCTACCTCTAAAACGAGCAATAATGCTGGTGGTATCACAGCAGCAGTGCCAGTTCACGCCCGCGAATGCCTTCAGATAAGGATGAAACCCTAAGACTATAGCAGTGTCAGACAAGGATTGACACCATATTTAGGGCTATGTTGGACTGTTGAAGGGGATGACAGTGGTGGTGGTGGCGGTGGTGATGGCACTAGCGGCAGACGAGAGATGCTTGACAAAGCTGATGCTGAATAGAGGTGGTGGTAGCAGTGACGACAGTAGTGGTGGAAGCGGCACTAGGGTTTACCTAGCCTTGTTACCATGTAGAAAACATAAACATAGAGATGGAGAATATCTTAGCTTTGACAGAACAGAGAGAAACAAAGGTGGGAGAGAGAGGAATCTTCTTTCCTGAAAGAAAGAGAGGAGCAGTGGAAAAACACCTCGTCTTTCTCTTACCCGCTAAGTCCCTTAAATAGGGATAAACCATAGCAATACTTTATCCAAAATACCCTTTAACCTAATTACCCTTATACCTTCTAACAGACCTATACGGGATCACCAGTTGACTCATCAAGAACATTTCACTTCATAGTTTTTAAGTTGCCTAAAATTGGTTGCTACACAGGGTATCTGGATGACCATGACACCAGAGCACCTTGGCCATTTGTTTACTTTAAGATGGTTGCAATTTGTGCACTTACATCTAGCATGAATTGTGGAATAGTTTTGGAAGTTATCATTTAAGTAGAGTGAATAATAGAGACAACGGAATAGTAGGACACCCTGGCTCGGTATTCTAGCACTGAGAAAAAAACCTTGCTGCTCAACCAGGGGGAGAACTGTTTACTTGATTGATTCATTTTCAGGGGAAAACCTGGTGTCTAGTGCCTTCCATGGGAAACCCCAGCACAATTGTGCCTTTTGCTTTCCTAAAATATAGTTTGAAGTGCACACCATGTCTTAACCACATTCGGTCCCTGACAATATAGTAGCATATTTTGAATCGCTTTTTCACATTAGTTTTCTTAATAAAATTGGTTGATGCATCATTGCTCTGTCCTCATTGAGACTGTATATTATCCTTTCAGAACTTGATACTCTTTTTATGTACTAGTGAAGTGATGATTTTGCTTTAGTTAATTCGTTGCTTAGTTGAAACTTATTGTGGATTGATTCAGTATGGTTTGCATCAAAGTCCTTAAATCAATGTATGAAAGATACAAGTCATTTTTTAATTTTCATATTTTATCTTTTTTAATTCTTTATTCCTCTGCTGATTACCTTCCCTTATTTAATGAAGGAAATTCGTGGTTCCCTTGCCTCAACCTCTTGGCTTGGTGTACTTGGGAAAATTCTACTTGCCTCTTATAACATTTTGTTTTGTTTCCATGGGAAATGGAGTAAATTTGACTGATGGCCTTGATGGCTTGGCTGGAGGGACAAGTGCATTGGCTTTCATAGGGATGTCTGTTGCTGTCCTTCCAATTAATCCTGGTAGGGGTTATTATTTTTAAAAAAATCGTAATTCAATCCTTTTCTTTTTTCCCTCATGGACTGTAGACCAATTTGATGTAGTGCAAACGTTTGCTTTTGTGTATGTATTATTATTGTTATAAATGTAATAATAAAGTAGCTGCGGAATTTTTATTGAATATGACTACCATGTTAAGAAAATTTGGATAATCCTTCTGAAGTTCTCTGTTTTTCTTTTGCCCACTGCAGAAGATAGTAAGATTCACAATAAGATTCTCTGTTTTTCTTTGACGCTAGTATTTTTGATAGATTTTTGGTGAACGCTTCACAATAAATAACCTATGTCTGCATAATTTGCTTTATATTAAAGTATTTGTATTTGTTGGATTATAGCTAAACCTTTTCGTTTATTGCGGATCTTTACATTTGTCGCCATCATACCTAGGCGTTTTGTTTGATTCGTCCTTTCCATTCTTGCCTTTTTAATAAAGGGCAATCTTTGGTTGGTTGCCAATAGCATTGTTATGGAAGCCAATAGGTTTATGTTTTTCAATTAAAATCCAGCCAAGCTGGATTTCAATTGAGATTTTGATCTTTTTAACACACAATTGACTTTGACCTGTTTTAAAGTTGGACAGTGATCATGATAAAGATGGGGTTCTGTGAAACATGGAGAGGAACCTTGGGCTTTTTCTTCCTATGTTCGGGTTGAAATTTAACGAGCAAGAGATTTGCCTTCCGTCTGTTCTCTCTTTCTTGGCTGGAACTTCTTGATGAGGCCCATGATATGGTTGTTTAAGCAGTGGCGTATCCAACTAGTGGATTTTGTGGTCATTGACGGTAGCCACAGTGCTTGTTTTTTTGGTTAAGGAAAGGCATTGGACATGTTGGCAATATATTTAGCCCATCGTCTCTTTCTCTTTTCTGAAAAATTCTGCAATGAAATCTGTCCTTCGGAGACTAATTTGGGGACACAAAACCAGACATTCCGTGTCTGGTAGTATCTAATGTAGCGTCAGGATGATTATATGCTTCCTTATATTCATGAGTTTGTTTTTTATTTCTTCTTTATTCGCCAAGGAATGTTTTGGTTGCTTTTGGCAGATTGCTTACTGCTAGGTTGGATCAGATGTCTTCCTGTGGAGGCACATCTTCTGACTGTTGGACAGATTTCTCGTTTAGTTTTCTTGTTCTTTGCCATGACAGCTATTCTGGGACAAGCTGGTGGAGGAATTCCTAATTCTTTCATGAATAAGACTGATCACACCTGATCAGTGATTAAGTTTACAGAAATTTGATGATTGAGAATTACTCCTAGACGAGGAGATCATTTTTTGTTTGAGATATCTTAGATGGGGAAAACATTTTGGTCCCTACTAGTACTTTTCAGAAATTATCTGTAGAACGTTTCAGAATGTGTCCCTACTGTTGGTGGCAATTTGTGGAGTTTTCTAGAACATAGTTTCCAATCTGTACTAGGGATTCTGAAAGTTCGCATATATTGATTCATTGCCTATGTTCACTTTAAATGAAAAATTAATATCTTCCTTTTCAGAAACTTGAAAAATTATTCTTAACACACTGCCATTTCGGAAAACATGAAAACAATACACAATTTATTTCCCTGTCACTTTTCATCTGATTGAAAAGTCAATAATTTATTGTGTAGCTTTTGGGGTGTGTTGAAAACTTTTAAAAGTTTATTGCTGCAGCTTGCAAAGGATTCAGCTCTCAAGCTTTGTTTACTGGTTTTCATCATCATTTATATCTTTTTCTCTCTGTGGCAGAGCTCTCAATTTTTGGTGCATCAATGGCTGGAGCATGTGTTGGTTTCCTTTTCCACAATCGCTATAAGGCATCAGTTTTTATGGGTTATACTGGATCCTTAGCACTGGGTGGAGCACTTGCTGCTATGGCTGCCTGTACAGGAATGTTCTTTCCCTTACTTATTTGCTCTGGTACTTTCGTCTTGGAAGTATCTTCAATGATAGTGCAGGTAGGGTCGCATTAATATCCCTTCTCTGTTTCCTTTAGATGGGTTTCGAACGTTTAAGCTGATGTTTATTGCTCATTTGACATCTGAAGAAGTCAGCGTGCACCTGAGGGTGGACGTAAGAATAGTTTTATGTTGAATGAAATAGTTAGATCCTGCGGTTAAAATCCAAAGATCTACTCCACTCATTAATATTTGGTTTTCATTTAGACAACCCTATCAAAAATACAAATAAAAGTAGATCATCTCTTAACGTAACCATGGTAAACAACTCGAGTTTTTGAACTACTGTATACTTTTTATTGGCTAACTATGTTCTTAATTCCCACTGGCTACACTGTGGTTGAATTTAATATTGCCAAGAGCTTGTGTTTTGATAGCCTGCTTTATATTTACTTTTGAACTGGTAAATTTCCTTTATGAATATACAGTGCTCGTATGTTGCAGAATCAATGAGCGAATTTAATTCATGTCTTTATGTTAATTTCTGTATGCATTCATTTTTTTACAGACCCTTTATCTATCTCGTTTTGCCTTCTTCTAAAAACTGAAAAAAATTAGGAATATCTGAAGCAAAGCTCTCCCGCTTTATGGAGAAAATATCCTTATTGCTATTCTCTCCTTAGCTAACCTTGACTATCGTCTTATAGGTTTTAGTTAAACAATCTTGGGAAAAAGCAATACCATCATGCTGAATTGAGGAAGATGTGGAAATATTTTTGCATAATCTGAGTGTTTTCTATTCTGTATCAGGTTTGCTGCTGTAGGGCCTCCAAGCTCATCTCTGGAACTGGGCAAAGCTTTTTCCAAACTACTCCATTCCACCGCCACCTCGAGTTTTGTGGTTTCAAAGAAACGTCAATTGTTGCATGTTTTTACATTCTGTCATCAATCTTGTGCCTTGTTGCTGGATATGTGGGACTGTCTTCTGCCTAAATTTCTAGGATATTGATGCTTATCCTAGTTTCTTGCTAAATTTGAGGATAAATATTCGGGACGCTAATACATAAACCATCCTAGCAGATTTTAGTCAATTGTTGAAAAATCTCTTTTGACAGTATTTTGTCCACAAATGATGTAACATCAAGACACATCGATTAGTTTAAGACACTTCTGTTCCCACCTGTGCAAGTAGTTGATCGCATCGCTAAACGATCAATAAAATGCTTGTCTGTCGGAAAACTAACTCAGGTTATTTACGAAGCTGTTTGGAGGATATGACTGCATTCATCTGAAGTGCTCTTGAAAGGAATCCAATGTGATGAATGTTGGTAGAATTTGTCATGGTAACGTTTTATCCAAGGTAGACTTGTGTTTTTTACCTGGGAATAACTTAGGGAGTAGAAACAAGTGCATTAGACCATTTCAAACACAAGGATCTTTAGTTTACTGTGAGAAAGATCCATTGGAGGTTCAAAAGATTGACGGAAATGGTCCATAGTAGAAAAAATGTGGTCTTAATTTGAATTCTTCAGCATCCAAGCAGCATATAACATGGACTGGAAAATTGTTCACATACAATACCGATGTTGGAGGATTGGAAGTGTGAGATTGGTTCATATTCAACTGGAAATGATTGAGCTTGCCGCATTCAAAGATCAATTCTCAAAAATCAGAAACATTCCAATACTTCTGAGACTTGCCATTATTTGATGAGGCCTCTCAAGTTTTGAACTTCTGGGTACCATTTGGTGTCAAAATGGAGAAAGTTGTTCCTGCCCTTCCAGGAATGCAACATCAACCGTTGGATTTCCCTACTGAACATGACAGACTTTTTGTTTGTATGGTTAGGAATCGAAGAGAAAAGGCTAATCTTAAAACGACCACCTATGCGTGGAAATATAGTGGAGGGATACGGTGATGCCTTTTTCCTATGTAGCAAGTTTACCCTCAGTCTTCGTCAGGTGAATTCTCTTGAGTCTTGAGCCTGCATGTTAGTTTACTGTCTCCTGACTGTGTGAAAAAGGTAGAGGTCGTGAATGAAGAATCTATGAGCTACGAAGCAAACCCAAGATTCCCCAACTTGTATTAAACTAAAATCAAGATTGAAGAAACAATGAAGTACTGCCAATAAGTGTGTACATATTGTATCAGCTTACTTGGGCTGTTCCTCAAAATGAAAGAGCCATATTGTTTGAATTGCCTTTTGGAAATGTTGAGTGAAACTTTCAACTGAGACCATTGTCGGTTATGATGGCTTTATGTGGTTAACTTATTTTAGTTCTTGAGTCTATATTGCCAATTTTTTAAGCCTTACAATTCTCTCATAGAGACATCGTTGCATAGGGGTAGGACAAGTCACGAACATGTAAATAAATGTTTGCTGATATTCATTCTCATACTTTGCTGTTCTGTATTAATGTTTGCAAGAGCATATGGAAGTTTAGAGTCGTGTAACAAGCTTCAGTGTGTTTCCAACTATTTTTGACGTTGTTATGACCTTTATTCAAATTGGATCAGTCTTTGTGGATTTGATGTTGTGAGTGGACAAGAACATAGAAAATGGAGACATGCACAGGAATGAGAGTGGCAAAGGAAGGGAAAGATATAGCGAAAGAGTAGCATGGGGTTGGGATGTGTGAAATGGTATGTGGAAGGAATGTTGTAGTGTAGGACGTGCTAATAGGGCTGTGCAAGACATGCGACATTGCATGGAAAAGGAACTAATTTGTACCAGCTTTTCAGACAAAATGTCCAATGAGGTGTATGAATGAGAGAGAATAGATGCACATTATCTTACTGACGGCTCACATCGAGTGGATTTTTTTTCATCTACTTGTAAATCTTAAATTGCCCTTTTGTAGTGGCCATGGAAACAAATGATGCGCTCCAGATGTCATTGCTACTTGGGACTCCATCTACTTCTCTGAACATCATAAATAAATGCGTGAATTGAGTGTAGACAACTCAGCTGTCATCATTTTGTTCCTCATTGCATATCTGTTTCTATGTTTTCTTAGTTGATATTAGATTCCTACCAGTGTCTTTTTGGTACGTTCTCAGGAGAATTCATGATTTACGTGGAGAACTTATGTGGTATCATTTTTTTTTCTCATGCTTTTCTTAAGTAATGTATTTTCTCATTATATGTTACATTCCTGCAATCAGTTAGCAAGACACGGAAATTATTCGTAGAAAACCCAGTTGGAGTCATCCTGTTCTGCCGAAACCAGCTGATTATCTCCTTCATTAAATGCTAATTATCCGCCACCCGTTGGTTTCCTCCGTGGAGGCCGGTACTGCTTCGTCCGTGTGTCTGAGAGAAAATCTAATTACATATATAGAGATATATTTATCAAGCTTGCGGCTGAAATCACGGAAGGTAGGGCTCAGTTAGTCTATCTGGAAGTGTGGTAGTTTCCAGCGGCGACCAAGAGAAAGCAGGGCTCTCTCCAACCATTCCGAAGAGGGGGAGATCTCATGTCTACGAAGGTGCCACAAATTCGCATGTTAAAGAGTCACGATCGGCTTACGTTAAATCCCGGGTGCTTTTCGCATCCCTTGGTCCTTTCTGACAGTCCAAGAACAGGTGGAACCTCGGCGTGTCTGGAATCACGCGAGAATGTTCTTTCGCCGATATTATTACCAGTATTCGATGGCGGCCTCGAAGGAATCTAATCCCGTATTGAGTTGGGAGATTCGATATCCCCACCGCCTTGGGTGATCAGATATAACTAACGTCTCTGGATCGACCTTAGTTGTCCCTAAAATCTTACGAGCAAAAGTCACATCTGTGGGCGCTTCAAATAGCTTTTACAACATTATTACACTCAAAATGGATTTGCAGCTTTACAAAGCCAACTACGACACTTATCAACAACTTAGAGCCAGCACATTTTGCCGGTTGTCAAGTGATCACCAAGGAGGCTAAGCTATAATACGAGGAGGACTGAGGTAATTGCTGTTAATTTTTCTAAATAAGATTTGAATGATTTTGGCAGAAGTTCAAAACACAACAGTGGAAAATGACATAAAAGTATGATTTTTTCAAATTGTTTTGCTTTAGCCTACATTCACTATTTCCAGATCTCCATTGCTCTCTCTTATCACAGATCATATAAAACGTTACATTCTAGTTTCTCAACTTTCAACATCAACAGTAGCTTCATGAAACTATTTGGCTAATCCCAACTGGTTTTCATTGTAGAGATACACTTTTGTTGAAACAATAAAAGTGACAAAAATCGATGACAATAAAGTGTTTGAACAATGTTTAAAAGCTTCAAACATCATTATTCTTCAGTATATGCTAGTCAATGGTCTGTAATGATCAAGGATTTGTATAGAGCTTTATTCACTGTAGATGATATAAAGAGGGTGGATTGATTATTTAAATAGATGACTTCAACGGTAGGTCATTGGATATTTACGTGTAGCCCAATTGTTAGATTTCAAAGCTGTATATAGTTTCTAAACTATTAAATGTGGTATGTTAGAGAAAAATCCCTTTGTTCGAGTTTAAAAATCACTGTACTTTGAGGAGTAATTTCAAATGATTCCTTCAGTACTTCAAATCATACTCAAGATGTAAATTTTAAAAAAACATCTTCCTAACTATAAAACTTAATTATTTCTTATGATCTTTTTCACCAAAGTAAATTTCAAAATAATCCTACTTCATAGCATAATAGATAGAAATTAGTTTGATTACATGTTTTGTAAATTTTCAAAAATACTTCTTTTCCATTGTTGAAATCAACAACTAAATAGGTTAAAGGGATCTAATCCCTCCTCACTAATTATACACATCTCATACTTCAATTATTCAATCACTTAGTTAACCAATTTGCTACCTTTATTTTTTGTCTACTTCTAACTTCATTTCTTTGCCTTTAGCAAATAGAGAATCCTCAAATATTATGTTTTCAGTCAAGTAGTAGAGGTGTTGGTTTGATTTAAGTTTTGATCATGTATTTCACTAACATTTAATTGGGTATTATCCTCATTTGCAACCAAGAAGGAGACTCAATGATAGAAATTTAAATCTCCCTTTGCAACACTATATTAATGTTTTCATACAAGTATGATGCATACATTCAATTAGGCTTAGTAAAGGGTTGCATATATGTTCAAATAAAATCGCCCAATTGAAAATGATTTCTTTATAGGATTATTTAAACTTAATATGGTCACTATGACATATCATAGACATCATACTTATTTTAAAATATTTTTCTCACATACTCTTGGAATTAACACTTTCACTATAAAGTATAGTTTCCATCTTCTAGATGTGATAGATAACCTAATATCATCCAAAAAATATGAAATATGATAACTCCTAGTCAATTGACAAGTGATAATTTTGTTGGCCATAATGGTAGACATTGTATAATAAATCATGTAAATTTAAAATTTAGAAAACTAAAAGATACTAATTTTTAGATATTTATAATTTTTAAATAAATATATTAATTATAATTTAATAAAAAATTTAAAAATAATAAATATTTTCTGGCTAATCATAAGGATATAATATAATAGTAGGTAATATTTTAGAATTTTTTACAAAGAATATGATTTTTTATAAATTTTAGACTAAAAAATAAAAATAAATTATATTTAAAATTTACAAAAAAGGGAAATAAGGGTGCAGATGTTAGGATGATGTTAATGCATGATGAATATGAATCATATGAAAATAAATTTTTATTTGACAATTCTTATGTAAGTGATTACATATGATTTAATTAGTCAAATTAAGATATTTAAAAACTAGAAGAATTGTAATTGAATAAAGAATAGTTTAACAACTTGACATAACATAAATTAACACTAAATAGAGTAAAACTTAAGTTGTAAATAAGCAATATAGAGTTTTGGCCTCACGATAGTGATCATTGAAATTCTATGTGTTAGAAAGATCACCGAATAATGTCCACAACCTCAAAGGTTATTCTTGGACATGGATGACTTGAGTATTTGTTGGATTTTGTTTTGAAGTCAAAAAAATGATGGTGAAAGTTAAACTAATTAAAAAATAATAAAATAGAGTTTTCAATATCGCAGTAGTGATGCATCGATAATCTGTCAAAATCTTGAGCATTCAAAAAAATTGTCATATAGTGTCTACGACCACAAAGGCTATTGTTGGACAAAAATGATATAGGTAATATTTAGATCTTCTCTTGAAGTCTAAAGATTAATGAAATAAGTCATTGAATTATATTTGCAACTATCATTTGTTAGAACGAAAAAATAGTGACTTTATGACTCTCCAATGACTATCACTTAATGAAGATGAGTTGGATGGTAGTGGAGCACATCTTAGGGAGGTTCATTTTCAAGTCTGCACACCAAGATGAGGCTCTTCATCACAACTAGTATGCTCTCAAGAGGTGACAACTCGTCTCTTAATAGATTATCCTCTTTTCAATGACGATTTATTTGTTGATCAATTGGAGATGTTTTACTTGATAGATTCATGATCCTTTTATCATAAATCATTCAATAATTTTAGTAATGATGTTCTACAAATTACTTTGATGAAATTTTTATTAATGATTGAGTAATTTTGACAACTTAATCCATCATTAATGATCTACAGAAAAATCACAATCTAGTTAGATAAAATATGAGTTTTGGCTTTAATAGAATTCAAAATTCTCATCGGTCATTGTGAGAGAGAGTGAGATAAGTATAAAAATACTCTTATAAAGTGACATCATTAGGGTACCTCTTTCTAATGAATAAAGAGTATTTGAGGTAAAAAATTATAAAATCATTCAAAGAAAATGTGACCAAGGTTTAATCCCACATCGATTATACATGAATTTTTGAGATAAATATATAGTAATATGAGATTTAGGAATCAATGAATCTTTTTCTTGCATATGTACGACCACTCTTTACCTTATGCTTGATTGGCCACCGATGACATAGAAGGAGAGTGACGCACATATGCCCCCTATCAGTCCATCCTTAGCCACTTGAGCCCTTGCTCACAGCTCCACTTGATTGTGCTTCCGACCCACTTGTGGGCCTAGTTGGCTGACAAATTCTCCCCCTTTTTCTATCTTTTTATTTTATTTTATTTTTCTTTATTTATCTCAAAAAATATTTTAAAATTATATAAATTCACATAAAATCATGTTAATTAACTAAAAACTACTTCTCTCAATTTAACATAAATATAAATTTATTTATCATAAATCAAGACTAAAAATATATCATTTATTAATTATTAACTCATGATAATGAAGACTTATCAAGCATCTATCTAATTCTTAGATGTCTATTTAAGTATCTAAAATGGTAAAATATGTTGCCAAGCTCATGGCATATTAGTAGAATCAACTTTATAATTTTTTTTTTCAAGTCTAATAAAGCTGTAAATTTAGGTGTAATTTTGAGTTCTTTCATTCTCATAGATTTGGAGCAATCCTTGTCTTAATCAAGATGAAAGAGAAATTTGATAGAAGAGACCACAATAAGGACTGGAGCATGTATGAATTCACCCACTATTCACTTGAGAGAACTCAACATGATGATCATTACATTATCTATAACATTGCTTTATTGTCAAATATTAATTCTCCTTCTAAAGATGACCTCTTGCATTGAATAAATAAATGAGATTTGGACTGACAAGTATGAATGCTATTCCGAAAATTCTAATCCCAACTTATAATCAATAACATCGAGTTTTAATGCATAATCACACTTTTTGTCCCTTCTAGCATAGTTGTGACATAAGTATGAATTTCCATAGCTGATAGCTAGAAACCTGCCAAATAACTAGTGGGTCCATTTACAGCTGTAAGACGTAATTTTCATTTGACTCTACAGACATTTTATTAATATATGGCCCTATTCTAATGGGTACTATCTGTTCTTGTTGCGCGTAAACCCTCCGCGTGGTCGGTCCACCACGTTGTTCTCGTGAGGGGGCCTTACCCGAGTGGCGGCTTCCAGCGGGAGGACGGTGGCAGATGACTAACGTCGGTGCCGCGGATGGGGGTACCTCATGGAGCACGGGTCGACAATCGCCTGATTCTTTGTGCACGCGCCGCTTGACTGACTCTGCCCGCGTATTTTCTGATATCAAGTTGAGGCGAGAATTTGTCGGTTCCGTTCAGGTTTCTCGGGGCATGCCATTAGAAATCGGCGAAGCTATTCGTCGACGGTATGGTCAATGAAGATGCTCAGCCATTCATTCGGCGCTGCAGCTGTCGAGTTGGATTTTTATATGGGAACGTGAGATAATAATACTCTTATTTTATATGGGAACGTCAGTAAAAAACAAAATGAAAGCCCATATAAGGGAAAGTCGACTGAACAACTGGCCACGTGGAAAATCGGCGTTTCAAGACGAGAACGAAAGCCACTGTAATTAAGTAGAAAGACATTGACCCTTCAATAGCGTGACATAGGCCGAAAGACACGTGCTCATATAGACGGGTTTCCTGAAATATTTGGTATTACAGTTCGGTCAGAAAAATGGCCCTTCAATGATGCTGATATTTGGGGCAGGCGACGATGAACTCGTCCATACCTGTGGCCATCTTGAAACCGCCGATGCCCATATAAGGGAGAGGCTTCCCTCTGCTCAGAGTTAATCCACCGCCATGGGCCAACGGGTGCACTTGGTGGCTGCCGCGCTCCTCCTAGCTATCCTCATCACGGCGAACTGGTTCTCTGGCGACCTGCGAGACCTGATTGGCTACTGCCCGCGGATAGGATACCTTCTTCAGACGGTGAATGGAGTTGGGCGGGGGCCTTCCGTCGCCGGCGACAACCATGATAACAGACCTCTAGCTGCAAATCTATCCGCTTGCCACGCGTCGTTAACCGACGCCGATCGCCCGACTTACTGCTGCCCACCTAGGAGGGACGCAGATCAGATTGTGGTGGAGTTTCAACTACCAGAGATTGCTCCATCCCCTCTCCGTGTGCGCCGCCCGGCTCATCTCCTCGACAGCGATTACGTCGCCAAGTATGAGAAGGCGGTGGCCATCATGAAATCCCTCCCTTCAGATCATCCTCACAGCTTCCTCCGCCAGGCCAACAACCACTGCCTCTACTGCACCGGCTCCTACAATCAAGTGAACTCGACGTCTCTTTTCAAGATCCACAGGTCATGGTTCTTTTTCCCTTGGCACCGGGCTTTCCTGTACTTTCATGAACGTATCCTCGGGAAGCTCATCGGCGACGACACATTTGCTCTACCGTATTGGAGTTGGGATAATCCGGAGGGGATGGTGATGCCGGAGTTCTACACCAGGGGGGCTTTCAACAGCACGCAACGCGAGCCAGGCCATCTGCCGCCCCATGTTGCCGACCTTAACTACCAAAGGGAGGAGACCGGAAGGAAACCTGAGGAGCAGATGGCCGTGAACTTGGCATTCATGTACCACCAGATGGTGTCAGGTGCCAGGAAGGCGGAGCTCTTCATGGGGTGCAAGCTTACTGCCGGCGCTGAGGGAGGTTGCGATGGACCAGGGACGATCGAAGATGCGCCACACAATACCGTACACGAGTGGGTCGGAAATGGCCTCAACCCGGAAAGAGAGTATATGGGTGCCTTCTACACCGCCGCCCGTGACCCCGCCTTCTACGCCCACCACGCCAACATCGATCGTCTGTGGACGGTGTGGCGAAAGATAATGGATTCGGCCGCGCCGGATTTTACAGAGTCATCCTGGCTCGACACCTCATTCACTTTCTATGATGAGAACCTTCGCTTCGTCAGGATCAAGGTGCGTGACTGCCTCGACCCTGCGAAGCTCGGGTATGCATATGAAAATATCGACCTGCCGTGGCTCAACGCCCGTCCAAAGCCGGCGGTCCCACCAGAGGTCGCGCGCAATATTCTGAAGAAGAAAGACGAATGGAGCACGTTGCTCGCGTCGGGGAATCCCGATGGGCAAACCACGTATTTCAACAATGAAGAACAAGCACTTGGCGCCACAGTCAGAGCCAGAGTGCAGAGGCCGAGGAGGCACGGAGCACAGGCAGAGAAAGGGGAGGAAGAAGAGATATTGGTGGTGTACGGCATTCACGTGCTGGGCGACGTGTACGCCAAGTTTGATGTGTTCGTCAATCTCGTTGCTGATGAGAAGAAGGCGGGACCGCTTGCAAGGGAGTTCGCTGGAACGTTCGTCAACACGCCGCGGGGAGCGAGGAGGGTGGGTGAGGACAGACTGTCCGCCGCGTGGAGGAAGTCAACTCTGAAGCTGGGAATCTCGGAGCTACTGGAGGACCTCAAAGCCGATCGGGACGAGAACGTGTGGGTATCATTGGTGCCGAGGGCCGGTAGTGGAGCGAACATTATGGTCGACGGGATCCGGATTGAATTACTTAGATGAGTTGATGGACCATTATGGCCATTTGTATTCAATGCAGTCGTCGTCAGTGGCCGATGTAATGCCGGATACCTATATTCGTTTGGGGCACAGAATTCTTTCTGAACCTACCAATCCTTTGACATACTTCCATGTACCTCATGCTGTAGAGACTGGGCCTCGTCCGAAACGACTTGAATGGCCTACATAGACTTTGATACGAGAGAGCCTTGTGGATCGTGATGACAAGTTAATTCTAAGTCAACCCTACATAGACTTTGATACGAATCGCGTTCAGACGGTTTCGTCCACTGCCGTTCGGCATTAAAAAATATTATGCGATAGTTGACTTTTGTCGACTCTTTAACAGAGATTGATACTCAGAGAGAAACATTTCCTCCTCGGGATTATGACTTCACTCATGGGACCTCTAACTCTGTGTCATCAACGACGGCTACCAAGTTGGCGTCTTCCTTTTACTGTAGTGGAGGTACGTTTGGGGAGTGATTCATTGAGAACCAAATAAGTTGACTTCAACCAGTACATTAGCTTCCTGAATTAACCACCAAACCCTAGTGATTCTCAGCCAAAAATGATGAGAGCGTGATCACGACTTTGACACCACGATACTAAGCCCCCGCCATTTATCTCAATTTAAATAAGATTTACGAAGATTTTTCTTTTTGTTTGACAACCTTAATTTATTCTCTTCATTTGATCTAATTTTCTTGATATTGATCATGATATTTAAATATACTATATCAGCACTAATTTCCTCCCGGACATTGACCAGTTTCCAGGTGACTGAAGAAGACAAATTCTCAACTTAACATGAAGAGTTAGATGTAAGAGAACCAGCCCATTCTCCCCCCTTCTTTATTTCTACGCCCGCCTGGCCATATCTACTTGTCTGCTGCCCTGAGTCCTTACTTTGTTCGTCTGGATGGAAACGTGCACGGTCCCAAATGCGTCCCCACACAGCCTGTTATCTTGACATTTGTGCGTCACAATCAGCAACTTCTGCCACATCCCTCGCCTATGCACGGTTCCCCCACACCATTCACGTGTAGCCAACTGCTACTTGGATGTGTGACCACGCTCTCCCACTTGCAATTGCATCTGTCTGCGTTTACTCCTACACCACCAAAAGCACCGGTCGGCCCACACTAGTACACGTGCCCGTCCATTATGATCTGCCGGCTCGTCTGTACGCCATAATGGCTCTGTATGGTTACGCCACAGCGTCTCTGGTGCCCGCGCTGTAGTTTCGTCGTGCGTCAAACTCTGCGCTGTCATTCGCTGGTGCGCTTGCACCGCAGACGCCTACTGTGCCCAGGCCCCCCCTACAAGATCAAGCGTGCTCGCATTAGCGCAGATCGGCAGATCTTTTCGGCCTCGGCAGTGCCTGTGTCAACAAGTCAACATTGTCATCTATGCCTGTACTTGTCTACCCATATCCACCTGCCCTAGTGCCTTAATTTGTGTTCAATAGTAACACGATTGGACTAGTCTATACTGGCTTATGCGCTAGCCCATCGTCCACACATGCACTCTACCCAGAAGAAGCACAAAAATGAAATGTGTGTACTTTTTCAAAAAGATAAAATAAAATCAAATATGAGGAGAGAAAAAATCTTTTTTTAAACATATGCCAAACATATTTGTAGATCTTGCTCAAATGGTTCTTATTTATAAAATATATTTTAAAAGTCAAATCTATGCATTAGATGAAATGATTTACTTAAGCTCAAGATTATTCCTCTTCTTCTTCTCAAACTCAAGTCGAAGATTTTGAATTAATATGTTGAGTTTAAGAAATTAAAGCAATTTGGTGATGGAGAAGGACAATTCAATAAATTCATATAGAGTCAAGTTATGAAATTTATTTAATAAATCGGATGATTGATTAAGTTATAAAATAAATTAACAAGAAGCTTGTTATCAAGGATTGTTAATCTTTGCTTTATCATAAATCTTATTTCGCTTACACTTGATTATAAAATTTTCATCACTTGACATAGCTTTTTATGAATGGGATAATATTTTAGTGGCAAAATTTAAGTTGAAGATCTCGGCTAAAGATGACGAATTCAATACATCAATTAGAACAGTAAAATTCAAAGGTTCTGTTTTGATATGACTGTTATAAATTCTGAAAGTATATTTTTCTTTCTATATGCAGTATATTGTCATCATAGAGAAAGTATGTTTCGTAAATTCAGATGCAACCCATTAGAGGCTAAATGTGTGGCCTGCTTAGGAGCAGCTTGATTAGGCCTAAGGGTTTGCTGATTAACATGTAACGTGAGGCCCAGTCTGATAAGAGAGAACCGTTCAGGCCCAAAGTGGTCAAACTATCATAGAGTTGGTAGAGAGACGACTCAGCCCATTAAGCTTGAGTATAAAAAGGGCCTTTCGCCCATATTAGGGCATGAAATCAGAATGAGAAAGTTAACGAGTAGACTACGCAATTTCCTTCTGCTTCTCCTGATTTGTCTTCAACAAAAATCCGGCTACACATCACACTGTCTTGAGCGTCATCTTCATCAACTAGTGTTCCGGCACTCAAGCCTCTAGGAGCCAACACAAACATCACCTTCTGTCACCCCAAATCTCCATGATACTTAGAACGAAAATATTTGCAGCATTGTAGTACATGTGGTGTGTGATTATGTGTGGGTAAGGTTGCTAGAACTTTCATTTTTAGCAGGATGATTATTGCAAAAGGTTCCTGAACCTTACAATTCATCTATATTCACTAGAAGTAATAGTGGAAACTGAATATGGATTCCTGGAAGAGTGGATGTAGGCTTGGATGGCTGAACCACCATAAAATCCAGATAACTTATTGTGGTTGACTTAATTCAAGCATTAATGACCATCAGAAAGATGTATTTCTCATGAGAGTTACCATATGATGCATTACTTCATATGAACGTTTGAATCTTAATTAGATGTGCATTAAAAGATCTAAAATAACCCAATAAAAGTGAGGATAGATTGAACCCCCACTCTCTCTTCCTAGCCTAGGCGATCAAGGGACCAACATAATGGATTATCATCCTCTATCCTTCTCACCAGTTCAGGCTGGAGATCATGGCACGTAGATGAGTTGTTCATGCTCATGTCTTCTTCTTGAAAGGCTGATTAGGAGGTATCGGCGTGCAGATGATCAATCTTCTCCTCTTGAAAGCTTGGTAAAAAACTATCAATGTGCTGATGATTGATCCTCTCTTCTTGCAGGCTTGATTGGAAGAAATCGGAGCGTGGATGAGATGATTTCGTCTTGTTCTAATCTTTTCTTTTGTAGGTTTGTGTTGGGAGATGGCGATGTGCTGAATCAGGAGTTCCTCTCTTCTCCCCTTTGCTGGGGATGAGGGGGAGCACAAGAAGGGAGATGGTGGTGTGGATCGAGCGTTCTTCTCTCCTCCCCCTTTCCTTTTCTTTCTTCCCCGCACTTTCACAAATGCGAGATCAGGATTTTCTTCCAAATTTTATTATCATATAAATACATTTGCTTTATTCGGTCGGAAATGGGCTGTCTAACGGGCTAAAAACGGTCCAATAAGTTTTAACCGCAGATACGATGCGGATAATGGATGGACCAGTTTTTCCCACATACTCGTCTCTCTGTAAGATTCAGATCCGTAGGGTGTAACAGAAAAGTCTGATTACCCAGTTGTAACATGATCAGAAACCCTTTAACCTGCATCTTGGAAACCAGAACCAACATGCCAGAAAAAAGAGCTGAAACAGTTAACCCAAGCCCAATAACTAGATCCATAATGCCTTGAACTTAAGGCCAATAAGTATTATTTTATTTTCATATCTGTTATTGACCTAAAATAACTCTTGATAAAATGCATAAAGAATACACACTAATATTTGAGAGCCAATGTTCTAATCTAGGGCCCTAAATTTTTACTTCTCCTTAAACTCACCTAGAAATACTTAAGATTTTGCAATCAAATTATGCAACAATTTACTAAGGCAAAGGACTAAACTATCCTCCATGGTTGTCGTCATCATCAAAACACCAAAAACTCTAAAACCATCAAATACATCTATGAGTATCTAAAGTTCGCTTAGAGTATTTTAGAAAAATAGGTGCCGAAGAGAATTGTAGCCTAAAATTATAATCATATATTTTAGGAAGGTCTTTGGTAAATGAAAGCATCATGGTACTTAATAACATACTGATTATGATACAAAAGGCATAAGAATTATTTTATTCAAGAGCCTAAATCTTATAGTATAGTATGTTATTATATTAAAAAATAAAAAAAATATTATTTCTTTGAGTATTTCATGAAGTTTAATATTTTAAAGAATTTTTGAGATTTTTTTTCTGAGTTTAAAGTCATAATTAATTTTTTGATTAATATGAGAGAATTTCAAGAAATTTTGATATCTTTTTATGATTTTTAGGAAGCCGATATATGTTTCGACAAACGAGATCTAATATGTGAAGATGAGTCAACAAAATCAATGACTGAGGTGTTGACATGTGGCATCATCAAATGAGAGAATTGAAAGCCATCAAGAAGGTCCACATAATCAATAGTAGATGGAGCATACTTACCGAGGGTGCAACAGATTTCAATATTTAAGAAGATCTTACATCTACGATAACACTTTCAAATCTAACACTTCAGATCAACTCAAGATGAAATCGACTCTCACCTAATTTTATTGCAGCAAAAAAAATAGAAATATCCTCCTTTAATCACAGTCCTACATGTGTATTCCCATCCTCTTGTATAAACCCTTATGCATTTATGTCACTATTTAAAGGGAGAAGAACTGAACTTCGAATGTCTTGATGTTTAGTCGGCTTGAATAAAACTGCATTGAGGTTCCACATCAATTTTGATGTGTTCGAGTTCATTCAAGCTTTAGTTTGTAGTTGAGATCATTAGAGAAATGTACTCAAAGAGAAAATCGTCTAGCTTTGATAAAATATAGAGGCCTGAGGTAAGTTTCTCCAAGTTTGATGCATTATGAGTGTGAACAATAATCTAGCT